AAAATCACTGGCTGAACAACAAAAGGCAATCGTCGGTTAAGTACGAGAATTCGCTTGTATATTTCTCTTTTTTTTTTTTGTATAATTAATTTTCAATATGGCTGACCTATGGCAGGAAGTCATGTGTATATAAGCAAGAATTTATGGGCATATAGTATTTAGCCTCACTACATTTATTTCTTTTGTTTTGAAATTCTTTTCACAAATACTTATTTTTCTTGAATAAGTATTTCTTTTTATTTTGTCCCCACATACATATATATAGATGTTGATAAGGCCTTCTCTTTGTTGTTGTTGTTGTTGTTGTCGGCGACTGAACGACCGCAGAGGCAAATTGTGGAACCGCCATGGGGATGGGGAATGGGGGGTCAGAGGGTTTTGAGGAGGGAGGCGGTACCAGGGAACGGGCCCCAGTACTTTACTCGCATTTTGTTTTTCTGTCGTCCCAACCGCTATACATGCTTGTGTTTATATGTACAAATAAATATGTATATATAGGCATACATGGTCGCAATTTAAATGGTTCGAGCATGAGTATATGGCCACTTGTTGGGTGACACCGCCTGGAGCCCAGAGGCAAATGGCCCACCCCTTCGATGGACGGAGCCCAGAGTTTCGTGCTTTTTGGGTTCGTTGATCGTCATGCTGGTTTCATGTAATCGTCATAATTCTTCCTACTTTTCCTTCGCCGACCCTACAATTTCCTTTACTTCTCAACTTTGTCTTTTCTGGGTTTCGTTGGGAAATACTATGCAAATTGGGTAACTGTGGTGTTAGCAACTAGTACTTGATACTTCCTAGTCGATATGTTTAGGGGATGCACTTAAATTTAATACACAAAATAAAGAAAACTCTAACTTTGGAATATATTTACAAAATTCAAGCTAATATGTATTGCCTGTAGTTGTCTTTTTAATAAGAAACTAAATTTATGTTGTAGTGACCTCCATTATGTTTAATTGTTTCGCGGAAAGAGTGGTAAGGCTGAGCAAAATAAATAAACATAAATACAATATTTTTTTATTTTTATTATTTACGCGTTTGTATAAACTTTCTATTAAGAGCAACAAACTCGAACCAGATAAGTTGAGTTTAAACCCAAACTTGACTGTTTGCACAAGCAAAAAGAAAAGATGCATGACTAACCAAGTGGTGATTAAAATATGACAATTAGTAATAATTTTTCCCTAAATAACATTCTTGGTTTTCCACATTAAGTTTTGACAAGCCAAATTAAACACAGCCTCTTCTTCCGACAGTTAATTTGACTCTGGGGAACTTACCAAGTGGTCCAGACGGATCTGACCAGATTCCCAGACACAAATATTCCGACAGCGATTGGGAATACATTTCGGCTGGGTTCGGAATCCAGAATTGAACGCTCATTATGAGGGGCGTTCGGCACATGTGGTTTACATCGATGATTACCGAATTCCGAATCCGGGCATCTGGCGATTTCGAGCGTTCAATTTCGGCTTCGATACCGATGACCGCCGGATTCCGAGGGGCGTTAGCCCGGCAAATGAAAGTGTCACACAGATCACGCCGACGGGTCACAACTCTTTCGAGGAAGTAGGAGGACTGGGCGAGTGTGGGTGTGGGTTTCCCAGGCGCCCAACTGCCGATTATTTTGGCTAAACTCACGTCGCTTTTGTGGTTAAACACATTTAAAGGATTTCCCGTTGCGCCGGCGCAACTTTCCTACCAAAAAATTTACCACACGCTAAACGGGTTTTCTTCGGTTTCACGCCCGCCAGATCACTGTGATAATCGCCGGGCACAGCCCATGGAATCGGGTAGATAGATAGGATGTGGACCCATCCCGTCCCGTCCCGTCCCGAACCGACCAGACCAAACCGGACCCGCATCCGAGCTCCGACCTACTACTACAACTTTTCAAATGCTACTCGGCCGGGAGCCACCCAAAGCAATGCGAGTAAAATATTCTTGATTAAAACTTATCAGAGCACATTTCATATCACCTTTTCAAAAACGCAACAACAGCAAAGTAACGATTGTACTTATTATCGGCGACGCAACCGTCGAACTCATTGCGCCGTGTACTCGGCACTTTGGCGTAGTTTGGCTGTCGCCGGTTCGGTTCCGCTGATTGGACGCCGTCCAAGATATGGCTATCTGAGCCGGACCCGGCCCACTTGGACACCCAGCCCCACAGACGCCACCGCCAAGTAGCCACCGCTCACGGGAGCGAGCAGGACGCCGCCAGAAGATAGAGCGAGAGGCGGCGACGAAAGCGATACCAAAACACGATTTGATTAAGTTGCATCTCGCGCCGCTCGCGCGACTATCCTTATCGGCGGGGCAACTCTCCGACTTGCCGGGCATCCATTCAGTTCGCCAGAGCGAGTCCTTATCATCTGCGGCTTGGCCAGATTTCGATTTGGTGACGACAACGCCGAGAATCCCAGCCGATTCCCACTATCGCGGGCGGTGAGCTTCCAATTAAAAAGAGGTAGTGGGTCAACCAAATTGGACAGGAAACTAGTATATTATTATCGAATCATAACTTCAGCATCTCATATGGATAAAGAATTAATAAATAACGAGGTGTATCTAAGATCAAAGCAAAATAGAAAATATTAGTATAAATATCAGTTTGTGGAAATTCCATTATAAAAAAGTAAGATGAAAGTAGTAAAGTTAAGTTTCATTGCATGAAAATGTAGATCGGGAACAACATTATTTATTCTTCTATAAACAACCGAAAACGACAAATAAATTGTTTATATAAATCAAAAAAAAATTGAGAATACAATCTTGAAGACTTTTTAATTTTATTAAATATACATGCTTAAAATAAAGCTCAACTATGTGAATCTATCCCTTTCCGGAGAACTGATAGCAAACGGCCTTGCCTATCTGTAGCACACTTTTTTACTGGATCACTCCCTTTAGCGATAAAGTTCGACAACATAACTTAAAAACAAAAATATAAACACTGCGCATTCCTAAGGGAAACGCCAAAGTGTCTGGCTGCTCAAAAAAATTTTACCAAAACAAGTAAGTTTTGAGTAAGATAAAAAGTGTCAAGAAATCCGTATCAAATAACAAAATGCCGGCTTTAGTGACGTCACGCAGATTGATAAGAGGCCAAGCAATCAAGTAACAATAACAAAAGAGGAGAACAAACATATTGCAAACAGAAACATTGATAAAACCAAACGAATCGGAAGCGAGGAGCGAAGAGTGAGGAGCGGGTGACGAGGCGAAAACAATGCTGGCGAGATAAGGAGGTAAATAACCTGGTGGAAAACTTTAAGTCGGCGCCTCGGGCGGCAGAGGAAGATCCGGAGGAGGAGGCCCTTGGCCACGGGGTGCGGGTCACCCATGCGGGGAGGAGCAGAGCAGGAGGAGGAGGAGGAGTAGGAGTCGAAGCATAGCGATAAGGATGCAAGGGTGCGAGTGCGGGTGCTGCCCCGGGATGGCGGCTATCAGCAGCAGTAGCAAAGTCCGGATGATGCCTTGTGGTCAAAAGATAAAAAGGCCTTTAAGCAAAAAGAAAGGGAAATCCACTGAGAAAAATGCATTCTACATCGGGATACATAGGCAAAAAGATTAAGATTTTTTATGAAACATTACAGTACTCGTTGTTTAACAATATTTAATACTTGGGAAGTAAATGTTAGATTTATAAGCTATTTGTCGACTTTAATCTGTTAATCGAACCGAAAAATTATTTCAGTATTTAAATATTTTTTTATTACGTTGTTACATAAAATATGTAATACTAAAAACTCTATAAACAAAATAAAGTATCCAAACTTACTTATTTCTTGGACGCAAATCTGTGGGTACCTACTACTCAGAGATCTAAATTTTATGACTAAGTTTAAATGAATTAAGTAAAGAAATCATTGATTACTTATAAATATATTTATACTTTTAAGCTATTCCGCAGAAATCCAAAGTCAAAGTCAATGACTTTTGAGCCACTTTTCCCGCAGTGTGGATTAAAGCGAGAAAAATGGCAGCTTATCAGTATTTGGCTCTGCTCGACTCAACTCAGCTCGGCTTTTGCTTTTGTTTTGTTTGAGCTGGGCCTTTAAGTACAATATAATAATGTTCATTTAAATGGAATTTATATAAAGAAAGGGAAGACGGGCTTGAGTAGAAGGCAGAGATAAGGCTATCCTGTACCACGCTCCGAATCCCTCTTATGCTGGCAGGATTTATTGTTTATAAATATTGAAACTGAGGCTCCGTTGCGATCGGGTCGCGTTTAACACCCCGCGTACACATAAATAATCTACTCCATGGATGTGAGCTACTTATATGCTTTAGTACGAAGCCATTTCATCGTGACGGAGCAATAAGGAGATAAGCCGGGATTCGTATGAAACAGAACCGAACAAAATTGAAAAATAAATCGAGTATGCTGTGTGGTAAGAGGTCAACTAACTATATTTACTAGCTCCTAATGGACTGGCACCACTGATAGCCCCATCAAATTCAAGGTACTTGGGTCACAGCGCGCCAGATTCCAACGAGAGCAACCCAAAATATTCCCCCGCCACTCAAGCAAAACGATCCACCGATAAATGAAACATGAAATCGATTTCAACTGATCAGATAAGTTGTGACATTATGAGCACATTAGTCAATACAATGGGTACAGATGCAAGCAAATCAAACACTAGATAAGACTGAAATTAGGTGTCTTATTGTCCGAGACAGGAGAAAATATTTGCTGGGTAAACTATGCACTCAAACAACTATTCTGTTTGACAAACATTTGTATTGGCCTTCGCTGATAAAAATTAATTCGAATTATATGCGCATATTTGAGAATTCAGCTTGAATTTTCCACAAAGATGGAATTTTTCTCTATCGTCCTTCTGTATAAATGTTTTTCTAATTTTTATATTTCGCCCAAAAGTATGAAACGTTTTTCATATAATTTGCTTCCATATTTCAACTCCGAACAAATTATTTCCGAAAAACTGAATTCTGCAAACTACACTCTGCAAAATACAAACGTATTTATTTCCAAATTTTTTATTTCTTTATTTTTATTAGTTTCTAAAGGTTTCCGTTTTCGATTACAAAGGAACAGAGGACAACTTTCCGAAAAATACAACTTTTTCACATGTTTAATTTCTTGTTTCATTTAGCATCTAGCCTAACAGAACTTTAAACTGGAAGTCTTGGAGTGGGAAGCTTTAGTCTACTTTTTCAGTGCCTGCACAAAGTTGCCCAGATCGTATTCCTCCTCGTACTGGTGCTCGGACCACAACTCCGGCAGGTTCTCGATGATGGTGTTCATGGACATGGGGCCCTTGGCTGATCCTGCGGCCGCTGCTGATCCGGATACTGCTCCCTGGTCCTTGCCTCCGTTGAAAAGATCAAAGATCTGCGATGTGCCCATCGTCTGGAGCGAGGCGTTCTCCGCACTTACCACCGTGTTGGCGGTCAGGATCTTGAACTTCTGCAGCCCCATAATCTTCTCCTCCAGCGAGTTGCGCGTGATCAGTCGGTAAACATTCACCACCTTCTTCTGACCGATTCGGTGGGCTCGGTCCATGGCCTGCAGATCCTTCATGGGGTTCCAGTCGTGCTCCACAAAGATTACCGTATCGGCACCCGTTAGATTAAGACCCAGACCACCAACCTACAAGCAAATAAAACTTAGAATACGTTCCAATCATGAGGAGAAATCACAGTCTTACCAGAGTAGTTAGGAGCAGTACGTCGATGCTGGGATCGCTGTTAAAGTTGTTGACTATGTCCTGGCGTTGGGAGGCGGGCACGCTGCCGTCCAATCTCAAATAGGTGACGCTGGGCAAATGGCGACGCAGCAAGTCGTGTTCTACGATGTCTAACATGGCCTTTAGCTGGCAGAAGATCAGCGCACGATGCTGGCTAACCGACTCAGTCTGCACACCAATGCCGCAGTCCAGGAGTAATTGCCTAAGGATAGAGATTATACCGTAAGTTATTACTTCTTAAATTTGAGAAAGTTTAAGTTAACACTTACTTCAGAGCCGGAAGTTTAGCCGAGTGCTCGATGTCGTCCAAGGAACTGTTGGTGAGCGCCAACTGGCTGGCCACCTTGGTCAGCTCCTCGGACTGGCGCAGCACCAGCTTGGGATGGTTGCACACGTTCTGCAGGTACCGCAATGCCTGGAAAATGTGCGTCTTGGCGCTGAGATTCTCGGTCACCATCGCTGGCGTCGACGATTCGCCCAGCTTGTCCAAACAGTCTTTCAGGTGCTTATTGCTAAAGTCTTCGTAGAGGCGAAGCTGCAGCGGACTGAGTTCGCAAAGTAGATCCTGGGTAATCTTGGGAGGCAGATCCTTCAGCACGTCCTCCTTGACGCGACGCAGCAAGAAGGGCAGAACTTGGCGATGCAACGCCTCCATTGCGAGTACTCCGGCCTCCTGTTCCTTGGCCGAGCTCTTGGCATCCCGCGATGCCAGAATGGGACGCGAGAAGCGCTGCACAAACTGCTTCTCTGTGCCCAGGAAGCCTGGCATAAGGAAATCGAACAAGGACCACAGCTCCAGCACATTGTTCTGGATTGGCGTACCCGAGAGAATCAGTCTGTGGTTGGCCTTCAGTCGCTTGATGGCCTTGGAGCTCTTTGTCTTGCCGTTCTTGATGATGTGACCCTCATCCAAAACGCAGTAGTTGAAGTGGATGCCACTGAAGAAGTCTATGTCCTTGCGCACCGTATCGTAGGATGCCACCACAAGGTTACAGTTCGTTCCGATCTCACTCCTCAGCTTCTCCCTGCCCACTGGGAACCCGTAGTAGTGCAGCGGACGCAGAACAGAACTCTGGTCCAGGAACTTCTCCACCTCGTACACCCAGTGACCAGTGAGAGTGGGCGGGCAGATGACCAGACTTGGCAGATTGGCCAGGTTGGCTGCCTGGCGGTGTAGATGATCGCCGGCCAGGATGCAGATGGTCTGCAGGGTTTTGCCCAAACCCATATCGTCGCAGAGGATGCCGTGCAGATTGTATTTGTTAAGGAACCACAGCCAGTTGATTCCTGCCTGCTGGTAGCATCGCAGCTCAACACTTATCGGCACCGGAACCTGGTAGTTGGGAATGCTCTTTGGATTAAATAGATAGTCGAGGAATTCTCGGTCGCGGGTCTTTCGTGCTTGCAGCGGCTCGCTCTTCAGTTGCTCCGCCTTGCCATCCAGTGGCATTAGCTGGACAAGATTGGCGAAGCAGTGGGTGGAGAGCAGTCGCACCGATTCATCTGGATCGCTCATTGCTCCCAGCAGAGGCACCACCAGCAACACGATGTAGGGCACCACTTTGATCTGCAGTCGGCTGACCACTCGCTCGATGGCTTCTACTGCTCCCTGGCGTTCGATGAGCTGCTCAATCTTTCCGAGCAGCGGCAGCAGATCGTGCACCACAAACTGCATGGTCTGGCAAGCATCGATCTCGGCCAGCACGGCGATGCATCGGGCGGCCATATGTCGAACCGCCTTCAGGGGATGGCAAACGATGAACCCAAGTGGTGGCAACAGAGCAAACATTTGGGGGTGCAGGGCAGCATGAAGATGCGGGGCTGCTGTTTCGATTAGCTGCAGAGAGCTTATCAGCTCGTTGCAAGCTGTCAAATCTGGCAGTATGCAGCCCAGTTGCCAATCGAAAGACTCCTTCACGAACTGCTCCACTTTGCCGAACATTAGCTGTTGGAAAACAGCCACCTTCTCCACAATGTGTTCTCCGAATGTCCTGCACAGTTTCTCTATGGCACAGGCCGCTCCCAGTCGCTGGATGCGGCATTGCTTCGCCTCCGCATCTTTGGCTTGCTGGGCCTTTAGCTCAATATGAGCAGTAGAGGTTGTTGCGGCTGGAATTTCGCTAGCAGGCGGTCGACCAGGTCCGCGGCTTGGGATGACGGTCGTTGGAGTAGTAGCTCCTCCAAACCCTCCTCCCCCACCACCACCACCTCCTCGAGCGCTTGTCGTTGTCACTGCTTGTTGAAGGGCAAGAGTAAGGATGCCATAGTAAACGCAACTGTTGGCAACTCCCGGCGAAGGAGGTGTCTCCTTGAGAGTCTGGAGTGGATTAACCTGCAGGAGATTAAGATAAATGATAAGACAGTGTCTAGGCATAAAGATTCATTTAACTTACCAGCTTTGGTGTGTGCTCAGCATCGCTTCTCAGCAGAGTACACAAATTGTTCAAGATCTTACTATTTGGACTAGGATTTCTATCACAGACCTGATCCATCAGGTGGACCAGGAACTCGGCGGACAGCTGCTGCAGCTGCAGGCACTGCTCCCGCTTGATGGACTCCATGAGGGGCTTGACCACCGGATTCAGCTTCTCGGGCAGGCAGTGCAGGGCGCAGATGGCGCCGGCGAGAGCTGCCTGGGCACTGACATGGTAGGCGCTCTGCTCACTGGTCGTCTGCTGGTAGGAGGCCTGCAGACTCCGCCGCCGCTCTTCCAGCATGTCCAATAACTTTGGCTTGAGAGGATAGATGCGTAGATTCTCGCTCAACGTGGTTGCCACCGCCTCGATTTGATCCAGAGTGAGAATCTTGGCATTGTTGAAGTCGTTGATGGGGATCTTGTTCTGCTTCAGCGTGGCAATAAAGTCCTGTGCCTCCTGTAACAGTCGGGTTAGCGAGATGCCCACCTCGTCGTAGTAGACGTACTCGCTCACGCACTGGTGTAGTTTTTCCTGTAGATTCGGCGGTCCCGGACGCACTGGCTCATCTTCCAGAGCCCAAAAAGCTATAATCAGTCCGCAAACGATTCGCTGGACAGCGGAGTGCGCATTCAGGTGGCCCAACAGCACTTTCGTATAGCACTCGGTGGGGCTCTCGGTTTGCGGGGTGTACACCACACCCGGAGCTGGCTGCACCAGGTAGTGGGAAAGAGCTCCAAGTGCCCGCGATGAGGATATCCGAGCGCGCATAAAGTTGGCCTCCCGCAGCTCCAGTGGCGTTGCCTCGCTGCCACCCAAATACAACTTGAGCGTGGCACTGGAGTGCGCTAGAGCAGCTCCGCCCAGATCATCTCCTATGCGGGGCGTTCGTTTCCTCGAGGCGCTTCCTGCTGTGCTCGAATCTCCGCCAGCTCTGATCAGCACACTCGCATCGAAGGCAAGCCTAGGTGGCTGCATGGAGAGACAGATCCAGGAGGAAACGTACGGGCAGGCTGCGTGTAGAAGGGCACCCAAGTCCGCGTGCTCGATCAGATTGGACCACACTTGGCGCGCCAGTGCCTGGATATCCGCCTGCGGCTCCACAAGGATACGCTGATATATGTGACGGAGTGCCTGCTGGAGCAACTGCCACTTCCAGTCGCTGACTCCGAAGTTCAGCTTCATCTTCTGATCCGGTTCCCCTTTAACTTGCTCCTCTTCTTTTGGTTCAGCTTTCACCTCATCCGCATTGGTCAGTGTGATCAGGGTCTTCAGTGTGGACCTCCGCACCGAACTGGTGCTGTGGGAAAGGAAAGGCCACAGGCGAGGCACCAGCATGGCCATCGGTTCCATCTCTACCCAGCTGGCGGCTTTTGGCAAGCATAAAATGGCCGCTAACAGACCCATGAAACTGTTGCAGGCGGATGTAAGTTCATCCTGATCCAAGAGCAAGTCCCACAGCATCTTCACGATTGAGGATACTTGAGTGGGGTTCAAAAGCTTGGGAAGCCAGGAGGAAACCGGAATCAGAGTGGATGCCGCCACTGCTCCCACATCATCCACTGCGTCCAGTAAACCGCTGAGGATATTGGAAATCGATTGCGGCAGGTAGATGGGCAGCAGCTCCTCGCGCACAACAAACACATACTTCAGGCCAAGCAGTCCACCATGCCGCACTTCCCACTCGTTCTTGTGCTGGATCAGCTGAAGCAGGATGTCCACGATGCGTTGAACTTTGGATGCCTGGATCTCCTTTACCAGGGTGCCCAGAACTTGGGCGCATGTCTCACGAACGGGTGCAACCACTTGATCCGACACAAAGTCACCGAATCGATCCAGGCAGAGAACACATAGCAGACGCAGGGCGGCATCCTCCAACCAGCGGCTGTGCGCTTCGTCCATCTGATCGCGACTCTGTTGCACTGCCTTTCCAGCTCCTTGTGCATGCTGGTTGATCAGCTCTCGCAGTGCTGTGGCCGCTCCATGGCGCACCTCCCATTTGGCGTGAAAGAGATCGATGAAAAGGCGTGAGCAGAAGTTCTCCAACGGCCAGGAGACGGCATCCACCCAAGTGCCAGTGGCATCTGGCACGGCAGCTGCAAAAGAAATGGAGGTCAGAAATTAATAACATTTATAAACAGTTCAGTCATTCTAAAAATAAATGCACTTGACATGCGAAAGAGCAATGAAATCACTTGATAACACAAATAAACTTAGTTTTTAATAATTGGTTATCTCGTTTCTAGAAACTTTTTCCTCAATGATAACAAGATAATTAAGCAATGAGACAATTAATTGCTGCCCACTCACCATTTAAACTGTAGAAGATTTCCTGTCGCTCCGTCGCCTTCATTTTCTTCTTCTCCGGCTCATCCAGTGCCAGCGAAGCGGTGCCATTGTTGCTTTGGTTGCTGCCCGTACTGTGGTTGCTGTTCGAGTTCCTCCGACTGCAAGTGGGCGTCACCACTGTGGCCGAGGCGGTGGTGTTTTGACGGGCCTTTCGCTTGGCCCGATTCATCTCTCGGCAACTCAGTTGCGCTTGCCCAGAACCATTGGCCGCTGGCTTTATGTTGAGTATATGCTCCACGGGAAGCTTCTCGGCATTAACGTTGTAGCTGCTGCCACTCCTGGTGAGCGCCACATCCTCGTCCGTGATCATGTCGGTAAGATTTACGCCAAGCTTTGCGGCCGTTGTCAGACCTAGTTTGTCATTAAGCACAGCTCTTTGGCGACTCAACCGACTGGCGAGACTGCGATCCTCGTCACCACCGCCACTAGCCGGCTGCTCCTCCTGCACATCGAACTCGTTGCCCTCGGAACCAATGAGGCGGGCCCCTTTGTGTAGGATCTGCTGCAGGTCAAACTCATCGAAGCTAAGCAGACGTTCGCTAGACGTTGTGGAGCTGGAACCGCTGGACTGGCAACTGTCCTCTTCGGCAGCAGCTGCTGCTGTTGCGGCATCACTGCGCTCCTTCTTGGGCGGCACCTGCAGCTCCGGCTGCCACGGCGGCACTTGCTTCAGTATCGCCTCGACCGTCTGGGCCGCTGCTATCCGCGTCTCCCACGACGAACTGTGCAGGTAGCCCACCAGGCGGTTGAGCAGAGCGTGCAGCTCGTGTGGATAAAGCTTCTGGACCTCGCCAATCTGTTTGGCGGCCGCCTGGCGAGTGGCCGCTGTGGAGCCAGTCTCAAGTAGTATGAAAAGTCGATCAAGTCTGCAAAGAATTATTCATGATATGAGTGCTATACATTTTCCACGTTTTTAAATTCTTTACATACCTGGATGTCATTATAAAATGATAATTATTTGTGATACGCTTTGTGTTCCGTCGATCTAAAAATCGAAATATTCTAAGTAACTAATCTGGAAAGGGAAGGAAATATTATTAATTAGGTTGCAATAAGTTGCTATTGTTACGACATCAAATAAAGTTAAAACCCAATTCAACACTAGTTTGCATACAAAAATCTTAAACTACACCTTTTATGGAGGTATTTAGTTCTGTAACATGTAAATACATTTTTTTATTTTTTACCCCTTTAAAACAAATATCTATAAATTATGTACATATGTATACAGCCCGTAGAATATTGATAATAGCGCTTTGCAAAAAATGTTTGGAATGAAAGCTATTTCCCTACGACTGATAAAATAACGAAGTACAAAAACCAATTAACGTTTATGTGCACCATAAACAAACTGACATAGTTAGGCAGATTTTATGTATACAAATTTCTAGTTTGAAATTATATATGAAATAGTATTATTCCTGCTCACAACAACTATTGGAAACATAAGTGAAATTTGTTTTCTTTTACTGCAAGAAACTATAGTAGAAACACCATGGCAACCCCACAACCATTTTCCATTTAAAAACCCTAACAACCTTTGTAAAGTCTTACTTAATACTTTCAGTTAATTTAAATTTCAGCAGATTAAGCAATTAACAACGACTAGAGCTACAGAGCTGATCTAAATTTCTGAGAAGCCTATTATTAAGAGTCTTCCGACTGTTGTTAAAACACTTTCATAGCTATTTAGCTGTGACGCACTGTACTATAAAATGACCGCTTGCTCAGCCGAACGCCTGGCGCAATCTCGAAATTCAGCCTTTCTCGGCGCAATCCAATCGACCAATAAACTCTGGACACGTGGTCGAGGAAAGCGAAAGACATGGATCCGATGGGCTGGGTAGGATTTCCTGGGGAGCATTCATACTAGCTTGGGGCAACCAAGTGGGGTTATGCTGTGTAAATTGAGTCACTCAACGTGAATGGCGAATAATGACTTCGTTGTGGCCACCGAGGCGTTCTTAACAGCTTAGAGCAAAACGTGACAATTGAGCAAATTACGGCATTTCCATATTCCGGACTAGTGCAACCGAATTACGTACGTTTCGGCAAGGGACACCTACGGAATTATTCGATTTGAAGTGGACCTAAACCGGCTTGACAGCTAGTTTACCTCGATTTATTTTGGAATGGTTACCAACAATTCGAACTAGCAAATACTTTTACCCCTGAAACTTGAAATTTTTTAAGGTGTTCCTATCAGTGAAGCGTGTTGCGGCCGATAAGTAATTTTTTAAAATCACGGTTCACTGAACCAAACCAAAGAATTTAGAATCATGAATTTGTTTACGCTTAGAGTGAGCAATCCGAAAATTGATGAGTCTTCGCCTTCAAGGCACGTGCAAATTTATTGTCAATGTTTATCCATAAGTAATCAAGCCAATAAAGCACACAAAACTTACATAAATAACAAAGAAATAATTTCAGCAACGACGTAAAAGTCATAATGAAATCGTTTGTATGGCATGTCGCATGGAATTGTCCGACCAACCATAAAGTCAATTTATCGGCGACAAATCTGCTGTACTTCGATTTGTCAGCGACCTTGTCGAAGCCACCCACTGGGAGGGGCGGGTATTGGGTTGTCATGGAAGTGAGGCAGGAAAATGGCCCATCGGCTAAGTAATTAAATTTCCATTAGATGAACATCGACGGCAGCAATCGCAATCATCGATTTTACCCAGTGTAGTGGGTCGCCCATTTATTTATACATTTTCGCCAAACGATAAGCCACGAATGTGAACGCTTTTTCATTATCACCGTTGGTACTCGTAAAACGACGATTAGGTGCCGCCAAATGTTTCGAATTTGTTGTGGCAAGTTCTGCGAGCTTTTGTATTTATAGAAGGCTGTTATTGTTCAGATTAAAACGGACCCAGCGGAAATGCTGGGTCATTCATTTACACTAAAGATAAGGCTCGACTATTTTGCTTGCCATATTGCTCGAACATCGAATTTGTATTTATGTGGCAAGTTTGTTCAGGGTTTTTGGTTTTATCATGTTTTTTTTTGTTTTCAATAATATCCTACTTGGGATTACAACGATGGAATACAAAACTAGTACCAGCGGACCCAGCGGAAATACTGGGTCATACAATTACACTAAAGATAAGACTTGACTATTTTCCTTGCCAGATTACTCGAACATCGAATATGTATTTATGTGGCAAGTTTGTTCAGGGTTAAGGTTTTATCGTTTTTCTTTGTTTTCGTTCATATCCTTAGTCTAATGATGAAATTAAAAACAAGAAAAGCGTTCAACTTTCATTATCAACAGAAAAGTTTTTAAGTTTTTCTTTTATACGGGGTGGATTCGTTTGAAATGTCTAAGCAAGATTAGCCAATAATGCACAGAATTATTTATTGCTTCCATAAACGAACGTCGAAAAAATCCCGATTTATTTCCATTTAATTAGCTTGGGTTTTTTTTTTGAATCTACAGAAGTGGTTGTGGATGAAACTGAAATTTTCGGCATTGATCGCACCATCTGTGTTAAAAGCATTGAAGAGGTTAATATTTGCACGGCTTTCGGATAATATTGAGTCAGCTGGCGCTGCATACATATTTTCGCACAATGCAGCACCCGCGATCGGGATCGAATTAATGGGGACGAATGATAAACAACGAGGTGTTTAATTTAGCAGCATCATCGCCCCAGCAAGTTCGGCAAGTAAACTTTGAGTATTCAAATGTTCTCAGAAGAAACTGTGACAAATGTCGCAGATGTTGCGAACTGCGGGAAAATGGCAAATGCGAAAAAGCTGAAAAGGCCGAGCTCCGCCGTTTGAAACTAGTTCAGGTTGCCCTACCCCAAAGTTGTTGGTGGAGAGAAAGAGAGAGCGAAGCGGCGACTGCAGTCGATTACGGCAGCGGACCATAAATAAACACAGGTGCTTGTACCGCCTGGCATTGTTGTGCACAGAAAGAAATAGGTTTGATGTGAAATATAATTAAATGTTAAATAAAAATTAAATTTGTACCCCTTTAGATATTCATAAACGGGACATATTTAGCATTTAAAGTAAAGAAAAATTAAAAGTTTATTAAGATCCATTTGCATATCGCAATGCTTGTTCCACGAAATTTCTTTCTGTGGATCGAACGTAGCTTAATGTGGACGTGGACAACGCTTGGAGGGATTATTTGTTAAATGCCACCCACTGAAATTGGAAAAAGAGCCCGATGAATGAACGTATGGACGACACAAATAGCGGTTGGCAAATTGAGCAATGTGCTATGCGCTGCGACTAAAAATACGCGTACTAGAATAGCTTGCCAAGAAGAGAGTGGGAACGCTAGAGACTAAGCGCTAGTAATTAGCCAAGTTGGCGGCGTACTAGCCTAAGGATTTCGCTGTTTTGCTGCGTTGGCGTTCTCTCTTTGGCTCTCCGCTCTTATCACAGACCAGCGTGCCCTCTTGGCCCCCGCTCTCACAGAAATGCACAAACACACACGCAACGGGTAGCGATAAGTGGGTGCCATAAAAATAGTATTGGAATCGAGGATAAGACTGTCCCTTACACCCGAAAACCGTATCACTCACCTTTGGCAATGGTTGCTCTCGCCGCCGCTCCGCTCTGTCTCCCGCTCTCTCGCAGCAGTCAGCTTTTGTGGGGCGCCCACTCACGGCTCAACTCATGCGCTCTGCATTTTCTAATTGATTTGTTTGCTCTAAAACTGTACAATCGATGCTGCGTTACTATGGCCGTGCGTATGTGTGTTTTTCGGCAGGGGTGTGGGGACTGCTTTTCGCAGCGGGGTCACAATCGATCGCGCCTTCCCACTCACTCGCACTCACGCACCATTGACTTTTTCTGCACGCACACGCACACACTTTCACACGCGGCGAATAACGGACGGGACTCCGGCGTGGAGAATCACGCGGGGACGCGGCAACCGTAGCTGGGGGCCTGGGCGGGGGCGTCACCGCTTCAACTTGACACTGGGCTTCACGCTGACACAAACACACTCCGACCGCACGGTTTTCCTCGCTTTTCCTTTTCGGTTCCCAGCAGCCATGATGTTGGCCAGTCGAAGTCACATTTATAGTGTGCTTGGTTTTTGGGGGCGCTTGGTTTTTAGGCGGCGAGAGCGAGATGGCGATGTGGAGCCGCGATTAAGTAGTCTCATCGGATGCGTCAGACCCTTAATGGCATTCAATTTTTAATTTTGAGCTCTCTCTGCGGTTCGGCCTCTCGCTTAGTCAGTCACCAAACCATGGTTGTTATCTTTGATGGGAAAACATTTTCCCAAACGGTTGAATAGAGGACAACGTTTTCCTAAATGGATAACACGATAATCTAAGTGCGCAAGCCGAATGATAAGGAACTGATCCCGACCGATATAGCAGAATTTATAATTATTCTATCAAAGGTTAGGCATCTCGCTTAGTCAATCATCCTTTAGTGGTTGCTATCTTAGGACAATCTCAATCGGTTCAGCAAACCCGAAAGCAGTGTTGCCTTTTTAACGTATTAAAAGCTAGATCTAGCTTATTTCTACGTCCTAAAAAAGATCCCTAATTTAAAATAACTGAAATTATTTTCAAATTGTTTATCAAATAAAAAAATCAATAAGGTGCATTTTACAAGATTTGATATGCGTTCCTATTTAGCTAATTTTTCAGTGTGTAGTTGTAGTTTGTTTTAGCCTTATTTAACAATCAAAACCCGGCAGCACTGTTCCAGAGAGCCGCGAGAGCAACCCGAACGTTAACGGACTGCACCCGAACGATTGCTTTAGGCGTCAAGAGCGGGATGGCGATGGGGGTTGGAGCGAGAGAGCGATGGACCAGTGTTGTGAGCTGACTGAATGGGGTAGTTCCTAAAATTTCCACGGCATTTTTTTTTTAATTTTCGAGATGTTATAGTTTTATTTATGCTGAATTAAAAAAGTGTTTTAAAAAAGTCAACTTAGAATTAATTTATATTATATTATTTTGTTGTTAGATGGGGCAAGTCAATAAAACCGATTTTAAAGACGAATAACTAAGAAATTAGTATTCGTTAACATATCATATGGATCCTGTACACTTAAACTGGATCGGAGATTAAACCCATAAGAAGTTTCCTAAAATAGAGTTAATACCTATTTCTAAATAAAACAATGAGCACGCGTTAAAGAACTTTTGTAAAAACCTTTTGGTGTTTGCCCAATTGTTTCTTTTCATGAGATTTTGAACGCAATTATCACGCAGGCATTTGTGTCAATATTTAATATTCCAAGAAGGGAAAGTATAAAACTGAGAAATTCTGTTACCAACTTATCACAGTTTAATCAAAGCTTTAAAGATGAAGTTCTTCGCCATCCTTGTCCTCCTGTGCGCAATCCTTGGATTTGCTATGGCCGCATCCAGCACGTCAACGACGGAGGCTTCAGACACTACTCAGAGTCCTTCAAAATCTCCTTGTGGTGGACCCTGCGGCAAGAAATTGTACTTCTTCTACAAATAAGAACTCAAGTCTTAGCAAAACACAAATAAACAAATTTGAATACTAGCAAGTTGTTTAACAATTATTATGGGCAAAACGAAATCCATATTTCGCAATAATACAAAACTAATACTATACAATTATACTAAAACCTAGTCAAACAGATAAATCTTAAATTTTGTCAGCTTCGGGCAAAGTTTCATAAAACTGAATATGGTCTCAAACAAAAGCTATAAGTCATTTTCTTTTATATTAATTATATTTTTTATATTTATTTGTTTTATTATAACTTTTGATTCTTAAACGCTATTCAAAAAGGTGCATATTTCTTCTAATTTACTCCAAAAGACCATTACAAGTGATTTTGTTTTTCTAAAAAACTGACTAAAATTCGTTACCCATTCTCAGGGGCGGACGCAGGGGGGGTGGTCCAGGGTGTTTCCCATTCTTAATACTAAAGTTTACAAAACGAAAAAACCCGTAGTTTTTTTATAATTTAGACCAAAACATAAGTGCAAAATATTTTTTATAAAATCTGTTAAGTTGCACCTCTTGTTGAAATTATAATATTTTTATTCGTAATTCGTGAAGTCTTAAGACTTTATTAATAGAAGAAGTATAGCTTCTTGCCGCCGCAAGGTCCACCAACCCCGCCAACTCCTCCGGGTCCACAGGGGCCGCAGGGTCCAACTCCACAAGGGGATAATGAAGGTGCTTGGGTAGAAGTAGAAGAGCCAAAAGATCCTTCCGTGGTCGTTGTGGAGGACGCGACAAGTCCAACGATTCCGCACAGAAGGAATATGATAGCGAAGAACTTCATCTTACAAACTTGAAATCAATAATGATATTTTGGTGGCAGAACCTATCATTTATGTATATACCTTTCCTTTTTAAAATCAAATATTGGCACAAACGCACGCGTCTTGTTTGCTTTCTAAATCTCAAGAAAAGAAACATTTGGGCAAACACCAAAACTTTATCGCCAAAGAGTGTACTCCGTTGGCTGTTTGCAATTACGTAAAAGCTTAATTTTGAAATTTATTTACTTAGTCAAAGAACTTATGGGTTGCTGCCCCTCGCTGCCCCCCTTTGCGACGACCTTGACTAAGTGTACCGTTGAGTCTTCACTGTACTATAAAGATTTTATGGTATATTTCTTGTCTCCCGGTGGTATTTCTCAAACTCGGGCACATTGGCGCCTCCGATAGCCACAAACGCGGTCACACTTTTATCAGCTAGTTTATTGGCTTTTTCGGCGTGCAAAACTGAAAATATAATTGACAAAAAGCCCGAAAAAGTGCCGCAGAATGAACTCACTGGGTCCTAAGAAGGACGGAAGTCCGAATATAGACTTTTTCCAATCCCCGGAGACGCTGCAGGGCTTCGAATCGATTCGCCAGTGGCTGCAGAAGAACTGCAAGAAGGTGCGTACCAACAACAACGCCACCGCAAACAAAAATGGCGCTTGGCTGGCAGCGAAAAAAGACTGTAACGAATTCCCTGTTTCTTGCAGTACTTGGCCCACAGCTCGGAGCCCATCACAAAGGAGTCCCTGGCCCAGTTGCTCATCCACTTCCTGCAATATGTGGAGGCGAAGTTGGGAAAGAATTCAGCGGAGCCGCCGGCGACTAGGATTCCGGTTAGTATTTGTGTGCCTGAGTGTGCGTGGTACAGGGTGACCCGTGTTGCGTGTGTACACGTAAATATTAACCCTCTGGGGAAAAAAGAGGCTTATCTAGACGGTTACTAATATTATAGTACCTTTAAACTCTAATAGTTTTAAATATTTCAGATTAGAGTCTATCCTCTTTAATTCTATAAAAAGTAACTTTTAAAACAAATTAACTTACGCTATTGTTTTCTTCCCAGATGCGCTGTTTTCTCGACTTTAAAAGCGGCGGTGGCCTGTGCATCATCTTCTCGACCATGTTCCGTTTCCGGGCAGAACAGCGTGGCAAAAAGTTCGACTTTTCCATTGGCAAGAATCCCACGCGCAAGGACCCCAACATCCAGCTGCTGATCGAGATCGAGCAGGCATTGGTTGAGGCGGATCTGTACCGAATTCCGTACATCTACATCCGTCCGGAGATCGAGAAGAACTTCGAGGGACGGCTGCGCGAGATCCTCGACAATCGCCGGGTGGAGATCGTCTCGGACGAGGAGGACGCTACCCACATCGTCTATCCCATCGTTGATCCGCATCCCGATGAGTATGCCCGGCCCATATTTAAGCGCGGCGGACATGTGATGCTTCACTGGTACTACTTTCCCGAATCGTACGATTCTTGGGCTGTGAACAACTTCGATTTGCCGGATCACATTCCGGAAAATCCGGAGTCGCCGGCTGAGCGCTGGCGAGTGTCTGCCTCTTGGATCTTGGACCTTGAGCAGTACAACGAGTGGATGGCCGAGGAGGATTACGAGGTGGACGAACACGGCAAGAAGAAGACGCACAAGCAGCGTATGTCCATCGATGATATCATGTCCTTTGGCGACGAGAAGAAGAAGCCCACTGCCAGTGGCGGAAAGCAGAAAAGGCGGCGATCGCCATCGCCAGCCACATCTGCGTCCACTTCAAAGCCGGGTAAGCGTAAGCGATCCCCCGCCGTGGTGCACAAGAAGTCTCGTAACGACGACGACGACGAGGATCTGACCCGCGATCTGGATGATCCGCCGGCCGAGCCCAACGTCCAGGAGGTACACAAGGCCAATGCCGCGCTGCAGTCCACCGCCAGTCCGGCCCCAGGTGGCAAATCCAGGGGCGACAACGATATGATGCCCATCAAGGGTATGTCCTTCTCATTTGAAAGATACAAAATTATTTCATGACTAATTAAACCTACTCCTATCCAGGTGGGACTATGACCGATTTGGACGACGAGATGACTGGAGGAAGCGCTGCTCAAGCCATGTCAACCGGAGATGGAGACAATTCGCAAACAGGAAAAACAAGTGACAACAGCAACACGCAGGAGTTCTCATCGTCGGCCAAAGAGGATATGGAGGATAATGTGACCGAGCAGACGCACCACATTATCGTGCCCTCGTACTCAGCCTGGTTCGACTACAACTCCATTCACGTGATCGAGAAGCGAGCCATGCCGGAGTTCTTTAACAGCAAGAACAAGTCTAAGACACCAGAAATCTACATGGCCTACAGAAACTTTATGATAGACACCTACAGGTAAGTTTAATGACTACTTTTTTAAACTATTGAGGAGTTATCTAAATCTATAATTTTAGGCTCAATCCAACCGAGTATTTGACCAGCACCGCCTGCAGGCGGAATTTGGCTGGAGATGTGTGCGCTATCATGCGAGTGCATGCCTTTTTGGAGCAGTGGGGTCTGATAAACTACCAGATAGATGCTGATTTGCGACCGACACCTATGGGTCCGCCACCGACCTCCCACTTCCATATTCTGTCGGACACTCCATCGGGCCTGCAGGCCATTAATCCGCAGAAGACGCAGCAGCCGTCGGCGGCCAAGACGCTGTTGGATCTGGACAAGAAGCCGCTGGGCAAGGATGGTGGTTTGGAGTTGGGCGACAAGAGTGGTCTGGCTGGAATTAAAACCGAAGCTCTGGAAAATGGCGCTGGCGGAGGTTTAAGCTCGGGTGTCAGTCAGTTTGGGCTTAAGCTGGATCAGTACGCCAAGAAACCGGCGGCCATGAGGAACCGCACTGCGGCCAGCATGGCTCGGGAGTGGACCGACCAGGAGACCTTACTATTGCTCGAGGGTCTGGAGATGCACAAGGACGACTGGAACAAGGTGTGCGAGCACGTCGGTTCCCGCACCCAGGACGAGTGCATTCTGCACTTCCTACGACTTCCTATCGAGGATCCGTATCTAGAGGATGACGGCGGCTTCCTGGGTCCCTTGGGCTGCCAACCAATTCCGTTCAGCAAGAGCGGCAATCCCATTATGTCCACGGTGGCATTCCTGGCTTCCGTGGTCGATCCTCGTGTAGCAGCGGCTGCAGCCAAGGCAGCAATGGAGGAATTCGCAGCCATCAAGGTAATTTAAAAAACTACTACATAGAAGGTTTTATTTAATCCAAAGCTCGTTTGCTTTAGGATGAGGTGCCCGCCACGATAATGGACAATCACATGAAGAACGTGGAGAAGGCCTCTGCAGGCGGAAAATTCAATCCGAACTTTGGGCTGGCAAATAGTGGAATCGCAGGAACTGGAAACGACAAGGAGGATGAGGAGGGCAAGGAAGGAGGCGCCTCTGCTTCGGCTGGCGGCTCTGATGAGGAAACGAAGGATCTAAGCAAGAAAGACGGTAAGAAACCAAAAAGAGTCGGTTTAACGAGTTTATTGGATGTCGGGGTGTATAAATTCATACAGTATCAATTTGGATACTGTTACCCGATATTCAAAGAAAAATATACTTATTTGTTGGTTCCGATTTTATTTTGTTGAACTTTTGAGTTGCTTTCATCCAAAATTCGATATGTGTTCTCCATTTGGCACTGTATTCGTATATTGTTTCGTTTTTGTGTTGCGCCCAATCTACCAAACTTACATCAACAACACCACCACCACCAACCCAAATAACAAACCACAACAACAGACGATGCCAAGTCCAAAGACAAAACGAAATCGGATAAGACCAACACGAACACAGACTCGAGTTCCACATCATCATCAGCGACAGGCAACACCAACAACACCGACAAGAAACCAAAGGAGTCATCCAGCTCCTCGCCCTCGGGCGACAAGTCAGCCAGCAAGTCAGACAAATCAAACAAATCCTCACCCACAGAACCAGCAGCATCCACCAGTGGAGGCGAAGTGGACATCAAAACGGAGGACAGCAGCGGCGATGGCGAGACCAAGGACAGCAGCGATGTCAAGGAGGGTTCGACAGCCGTATCAGGAGCAAATACATCGGCCAAGGAAGGAACGTTCAGCGAAAACAACATGCAGACAGCGGCGGCGGCAGCTCTGGCATCGGCAGCCGTCAAGGCCAAGCATCTGGCCGCTCTGGAGGAGCGCAAGATCAAGTCCCTGGTGGCGCTGCTTGTTGAGACGCAGATGAAGAAGCTGGAGATTAAGTTGCGCCACTTTGAGGAGCTAGAGGCCACCATGGAGCGCGAACGCGAGGGCCTGGAATATCAGCGCCAGCAGCTGATCACGGAGCGCCAGCAGTTCCATCTGGAGCAACTGAAGGCAGCCGAGTTCCGGGCACGCCAGCAGGCACATCACCGCCTGCAACAGGAGTTGCAGGGTCAAGTGGCGGCCGCAGGATCAATGATCCTCCAGCAGCAACAGCAACTGCCGCAGCCACAACAACAACAGCCACAGCAGTCGTTGCCACCACATCCCCATCTGCCGCAACAGCAGCAACTGCCACCACATCCACATCAGCTGCCGCCGCAGTCGCAACCGCTGGTGGGTCCGACTGCCCAGCACCAACCGCTGCCACCGCACATAGTGGGATCCGTGGCTCCGCCGCCCAATGGCGCTCCATTCGCAGCGCCACCCATTGCGATTGCTGGTGGACCACCGCCCGGTGTGCCAACGAATCCTAGCGATCAGACCGGACCAGCAGCAGCAGGAGCAGCGCAATCTCAGGCTCCTACTCCAATGGGTAAGCAAGAATCCTGAAGATCTAACCATGTTTTTCTTGGTTTTAACTCTTTTTAAACATCTTACAGACACTACACCGCCAAGCAGCGCACCAATCCCAGATGGTAGTGGTGCTGTAACGGGATCCGCGATGCCCCCAAACACCAGCATTCCTCCAGCGACCACTGCTCCTATCGCCGGCGGAGCTCCTCCCTCTTAACTTTTACTTTTAAGCCAGAAAACGTTAAAGTAACTAGTTTTAAGTCGTACGCTCTCAGTATGTATTATGTATACTCCACTTTAAGCCCAACTCTTTTGTGTAATCCGGAGGAGATGCACTACATCTTGACGTGTCTCCCGCTTCGTGTGAGTTTCGTTTTGTGTCCGGTCGCGTCAACAAGCTATTGCACAAATATTTTGAACCAAGTTTCAAAGCCAAACTGGCATTCAATAAAAATCTATTTAAATACAAGTTGGGAGCTGAATTTTTTTATTATAAAAAAGAATTTGCACGTCTTGCAAAGAAATCAAGCTTTATTTTGAAGCTTATATATTAAATTTACGGTTGAGTTCAATAGAGCAGTCGGTTCATTTACAATGAGTTGGTAGTAATTGAGGGGAATCTAATATATATCCTAGGGTAGCTGCGTAAAATGCAGCCAAAAGTTTAATGGATTTTATGGATCATTGAAAGCATGTGCGGCGCCGAAGGATGTTGGGTCGCTTGACCTCCCTTAGTTCGTTGCTGGATGTAGCGCGCTTCAGGTGGGGTGAGTTCGATGTAGTCAGTGGTGATGCGGCAGGAGAATCGGGCGGCAGACTGGAGCAGGATCCACTTTTGCAGATTTTAGGTGGGGGCGGCGAGGTTATGCTTATGTTTGCTCGCATGCACTTTTGGTTGGGTGACATCTCCTGCAAAATGGTATTAATTCTGCTCGATTGTTGAGGTGATTTTCGGGATTGCTCGCAGTCCAGGTTACGACCATAGTGGCCCATATTCTTTACGTAAACGCTGTTGTAAAAACGAATAATATCAGCGGTCTGGCCATTGCCCAGGCTGACCTCGCGGTAAATGCTCCTTTTGGCGTGCGGTTGGCGGCGATAGTGCTGAATAATCATGCTAAAGCTAAGTCGAAGCTTCTCGAGACGGACATGCAGATGGATAGCGCATAGCAGCAGCTGGTCCATGTGGCGGTTACGCAGCAGCCGGCCACCGTCCATGGTAAAAGAGTGCTCGGCCAGGTGCCAAATACGCGGAAATGATTCCACCAGGCATAGACTCTGGCAAAGAAGCAGCAGTCGCCTGTTGGCCAGGCCGTAGAATTTTCGCAGGCAGATGTCAACTCCTGTTGAACCGTTCTCCTTGCCATCAGCCTCCGACTGGACTTCCTGATAGCCGGGTAGGTTTTTACCCAAGCTCCACCAGAGCTGAGAGGCTTTGCGGAATATCAGCGATCCTAGGCACTCGTCCTCAATTACATGTAGATGCTTAACCAGCTCCCTGCCCAGAAATCCCTGATCGTGACGCACCACAAGCTCAATGATCTTTTGGAAGTCGAAGGCATCCAGTGAGTAGCAGTCTAGGACAAAGGGAAATCTTAGTTCCTGCACTTGCTCGTCGTTAACGTGAAGAGCCAGCTCCAGACAGCAGGCCAATAGTGTGGTGGTTAAAGTCCGCTGTCTCAGCAAATGGTTGATCTTTAGCTGAGGCTTGGAATCCAATTCCGAATTCACAATCTTCATTAAAAACTCGTAGTAAAGACCGCTGGCCAACCGGAAACGCTTTTCGGCCGCCCTAGCATCCAAATAATTCTTAGCGGCTGTTATAAAGGTATTCTCCATTTTAAGCAGAGTCTTTTCTACATTTTTAACAACCACTTCTCCATCTTCGCCTTTCCCCAAATCTTTAGTTATGCAGATGGGAAGGCTTTGTGGTAGATCCTGGGTTAGAAGCTTTTTGTGCCCTGGAGAAAAGCTGGATCGAGATGCGGCCAGAGGGCTCTTATAAGAATTCCTTTCATGCACCTTCGTTTCCTGGTAGCAGAGCAGCACCCGTTCATCCATCTCACTTATATCAGCTACATGGCTAGTGTATTTGCGGTTTAACGTTCCTAGATTGATGTCCAGCATTCCCTCCTTAATGATTTCCCGCATGTGGGTGTCGTCGCCCACCAAGCTCTGGTCCATAAAAAGCAGCATAAGGGACTTGTGAAAGAAGGCATTCTTCATCTGCTGCACCCCCTTTAAAGGAAGTTCGGGGATCAGTGCACCCATGGCGTCTAGGGTGTTATATTTGTTGAGAAAGCCAGAGTCGAAGTCCTTGCTGTCCCAGTCTTTAGGCACGCCGGCAAAGTCCCGACGGATAACCTCGGATTGTGGCACCTCCAAGGCGTTAACAAACAGCAGATCCATGCTGCAGACGAGCACTTGGCAGCCGTTGACTAGGTTCGAGGTGGCAAAGCCGGGCAACTCGTTGCGGATGACCAGAAAGAGTAGCCAGCCGAATTCGTAGAGGGACTGGTAATGGGCCAGAACATCCGGGTCCGCATTATCGGCGGGCTGGACAAATAGCCTGTGAAAGATGTGCTTGTAGTGGCGTAGCAGGGTCAATGTGATTCCGAGTCGGCGACGCAGTTCCTCCACCTCCGACTGGATGGTTTTCTCGTTCTGGGCCAGCCAGTTCCAGTGCTCCATGCGACGCAGAAACTGCGATACGTTCACCTTAAAGCTGCGCAGAAGTCTGGTTAGTGAAAGGTTCCAGCAGCTACTCTTTGCCGGCAATTCGTTTGTCTCAGTCTGGGAGTTTCGGGACTCCTCCCGTATTTCCCGGATCTTTACCCGCTGGAGTTCGCTGTAGACGGCGCAACATAACCACTCTTGAACCTCCCCCTCGTTGTTGGACAGCCTGCCAGCGGTATCGAGTCTTCGGTAGGTGGCTAGGGCGCTCTGCACAATTTGGGGATCCAAATCCAACTGGTCGCAGCTTGCAGAAAGCCGCCTCACAAGAGCATCCCCCTCCTCCTTCACTTCGCAAAAGTTCATAACTGCAGATTTGCTGTATATATACTCTACTCCTCTTGGTTTGTTTATTTTCCGGCTTAGTTTACACGAATGTTTGGACTGTACAAAATGCAAATTTCGGAAAGGCGCGAATGGTTTCGATTGCTGTATACCTCTCCGCCATTGTTATCGAGACCTAGCCCTGGCAGCGGACAGCGCGTTCTATCGGTTATCGGTTCCACACGATGGGGGATATATTTAATCTATTACTGCTACTCCCAGGATACTTAACTTCATGTTAGTATCGTAAAAAAGATAAGCTTTAGTTATTAGCTTATATTAGCTAATAATTATGCAATAATTAAATTATTTCGCTTCTCCTTATATCTTAGCGTGCCTAGGACGTCTCCTCTTTTTAACCCAGGAGGCCTTAAAGGGTTAAAAGTTAATTTTTGTTTTCAAATATGCTGCAATCAAATCGTGTCCTACAAAAAGAACAAACTGAACTCTTTGCCATTCAAAAGAAGTTAGAGCAAGTGCTGCCAGTTATCCAGGAGGCTCTAAATTCACTAAAGGTAATTAGGATAACAGTCTTTGTGGGCCCTAATTTTAAATTTACTGTTCCACAGGTGGAGGAACTGCATCTAAAGTCGCAAGTGGTTGGTCTGCAGAACGCAAATATGGAGACCACTCCGTCCAGAGATCCGCTTCATATGGATCTTACTGAACAGCCTCAGCCCACTTCTTCTATGGAATCCCAGCACATTAATAGCCAGCGAATAAATCTCGATACGTTCAGCCAACAGAGGCAGTTTGACGAGGAGGTCGACTCGGACTAAAACGTTTATTATCGGTTGCATCTTGGCCAGAGCTTCACCAGACCACGTACATTTAGGGGACTTAAATTATAAATACAGTACATATATACGTAAGTGTTATATTCGGTTAAAAGTTCCTTTTCTTAGGGGATGGTGGGGCAAACTAAACTACTAAAGCTATGTGCTACGGAACCGGAAGGGGTCACAATTATTCCTGCTCATCGGAGGATTCCGCTGAACTTTCGGCTCGCTTTTTTTTCTTTTGAGGCGCTCCCTGTTTTTGATCCTCGCTGCTGTCGCTGTCGGAGGAGGAGCCACTGCCACTCGATCCTGAGGAGCTGGCATCTTCATCATCAGAGTCGGAACTGGAGCTGCTGGAGTCCGATCCCGAGGAGGAATCCGATTCACTGCTGCTTTCCGAGCTGTCCGACGAACTGGATGAGGACGATGAGCTCTTGCTTGACTTCCGCTTGCGACGGATCTTCTTTGCGCCCGCAGCGGCCACTTCCAGGTGTTCCTCCACCTGGTTCTTTGGCGCCTCCGCTTCCTTTTGGGCCAGATGCTTGCTCAGTTGCTTGGTTCGCGAACTTCGGTGCACGAACTTGCGCTTCTCCTTGCACTCGTAGCTCCAGTGGCCAATCTGTAGGCACTTCTGGCACCGGATTCCATTGGGAAAGTCGGCTGCCTGTTTTGCAGATCTGTTTTGGTGGAATTTAAAGCAAGGTTAGGAGAAAAAGCCGGCTAGGTTCTTCACAAGCGGACTGACCTTTTTTTCTGCGCCAGTTTGCGGGCTGCTAGTCCCACCAAGGTCATCCTAAAGCACTCGCGCAGTCGTTCTTGGGAGGAAATCTTGATGTGGGTAGAAACCAACGTGGCTGGGTGGAAAAGCTGGGGAAAAATGAGTATCAAAAATGTTTTTTACAATTTTTTTCGTCACATTAGAGATGGAAAAATGGCCTACTGTATGCTTCGTGAATCGATTACGGGTAGGTGGCTACCCTAACAGTTATCGCTTATCGACACCTAGCAGCTGCTTGCTTATATTTTGTCTACCTGGTAATTTAATGTGTGAATTTAAGTCATTAATAAACTTAAAGCCCATGTAATTATGCACGGGACTGCAAAAATAAGTAACAAACTCCAAGTGACCGCTATTTCACCCTGAATTGGCTGGCACACTTTGTCAATAAAAAACAATAACAAAACTCTGTGCTGAGTAAGCAGCGAAAGTGATTGCAGCAAAGTCCAATCACTATCACTCGGTAAACGGTTCGCTAAAGGCTAATTGCTGGACACTAAACAAAGGTTTCATCACCAGCTTTCCATGGAGGACAGTGCATTAGTGCCGAAGGCGGGCAATCGCCCCATGCCGCCCGAGGAACTGGCCATGCAGGCGCTAACCAAACAGCTGTACAAATCCCGCCTCTTCCGCGGTTACTACCTGGAGCGCTGCTTTGTGGAGCAGGTGGGCGGTTACCGGGACGTGGTGGTTTTGCAACGCAGCGAGCGGGAGCTAGAGAAGCTGCTTCACTCGAGCGCCGGTCAGCTGCAGAAATTCTACCAGCGTTTTGTGCCTAATATGTGGGTGGGCATCACCTGCGGCAGCTATGGCAGCTATAAGCACACACCGCATCCGGGTCAACTGGAGACCTGCATCTGGACGGAAACGAGTGACCTGGCCTTTGGAGAGTACTGGTTCAGCATAAAGACCCTGCGCTTCAGGGATCAGGAAGTCCAGCTGAAACTAAAGATGGTGCGGCCGGTGGAACCCGAGCCAATGATGACACCAAGGCGCTCTCTGTCCCTCAATCGAAGTAACCCCACCAAAGCAATCACAGCGGGCGATGGCTCCTCGAATGCCGACGAGGTGGCTGAGCAGCTACATTTAGGCCTCAATGATTTTCTGGACGTGTTGCAGCAATGGGGCGATGGGGTCAAGAAAACGGTTTACGATTTCATGGCCAACGATGTCAACAAGAGGAACATTATGGGCACCATTCGGTTTCTAGGCCTGCTCATCTTCTCTGCTTTGGGTGGAGCAGCAATGGCCCTGAAATTCCTCGGCGTTTTTGCTGTGCGCTTCCTCTTCGAGTTGAGCCGCTTTACCCACACCGCCACTCCGATAGTGTTTAAGCTTATCGAGTTTCTGAACAAAATTGTGGGCGCTTTCTTCATACTCTTGACTATGATTTGGAAAGACATTGTCAATCGCGGCCAGCCGGTACAAAAGCAGCAGCTAGAGGCGAATAGTCGCTTCAAGAGCATTGAATACGAGCGCTCCGAGCCGCACCGACGAAGTCCACGCTGGTGACCCCGAAGCAAATATCTCTAGGTAAATTTGTGTAATTAGTCCAGGGTGGAAGGGCAACGATAAATCATTGAAATTGTGTTATTAGCCGTAAGCCAACCGAAGCCAATCCCAAACCCCGCTTCGAGTTTGAAGGTATTTGCTCCGCAAATATGGGGGCGCCTATGAGATTTCCAGATTTTAGCCAAATGCAATATTGTAAATTATATGATTGGTCTGCCACTGGCAAACAATCGCATGCTTATTAACTCTCACTGTTAATTCATTGTGTATTGTCCAAAATTTGTTTTATTTAATCCGTTTAGTGTAAGGTCCTGTATTTAATGTATCGAAAATTATTGTGAATAAATTGAATGCAATATGCGAAAGTCGAAATGAAAGAGCATTGGTTTTCGTTAGTTTTAATAGTTATACACTTTCCCTTTATTACTTTAGTTGATTTTAATCTCGTTAAATTGTTCTCATATATATTTATTATGTATATACTCGTATGTGTTCATGCTGTTGTCTTCGGTCTGTCATCGAACTTTACACAAAATGTTTTATTTATTTTCCGTTTGCTGTGCTTAGTTTCAGGGTGCTCTCGTCAGAGAAACTCCGCGTTCTGCGCTTGGTTTTACATTGAGTGGAAAATGTTCTATGGCATTTCAAGGAGTGTCTCTGCTTTTGCTGACTATTTTTGCATCCGGAGGGTGCAATGGGGCATCCTCTGTGTCTAAATATTATCAATCATTAAACAACTAAATTATACTTTTTGTTTTCCGTTTCGGGGTGATATACTTTAATTAGTACATATACATATATTTTATTTCATTTTGCAATGTTATATTAATGGAATGCTGCTCAACAAACTTTGCTCATAAACATTAATTTAATTTTTGCTTTCTGTTCGGTTTAATAATAAACTGTTTGCAGACAATAAAAAATGTGTGAGAGAGTCAATGCAGGGGCTTGATATATCTTTTTGGGATTCGGTGAGGATCGGGTATTAGGGTTGGGTTTGTTCTGCCTTGTAAAATACATATGTATGCTGTCAACATTATTACATTATTTATCATTAATCGTTAATCTTTATTTTTATTATTAGTTCGGTTTATGCACTAACTTGCTTGTCATTGTGTCGCCAACATGTTTAAAAACGCACAAAGTAAATATAAATTTTAAAATTTCTTTAGTTTATCATATTCCATGCCGTTTCGTGTAAATACATTTCATTTGTTTAAAAGTAAATGTACAATATACAGTTTAATGTCATAACTGTTAATTTTTTCGTTTCATCCGCTTGTTTTTAATATATTTCGTCACTGCTAACAAATAATTACACATTCATAGCATTCTCATATAACGTCTTGTCTGCAGAAAATAATTTGATTTTTGGTTTTATTAACAATTAGTTAGACATTTAGAGCAAAAACATTGATAATATAGAATTTGTTTGGTTTTTAGTTTATGCATAAAAATTTGTCTAGTGAAATATATAAATATATATGTGTATATATTTGTTTCAAAGGTTTTGAACTGCTTATTGTTTATAATTGCATTTACTTTCATTTGTTATTTGTAATTTGTTAATTGCGTTTTTAGTTCTTGATCTTTCAAGTCCAATTCAGAATATTATTGTTTTGGCATTTTGTTTTTAGTTTCGTTCAAGGAAGTTTCGTGTCTTGTTAGTATGGAACAGCAAGGTGAGAGTTTTTTAAGAAAAAATCCTAAAGAAGTTTAATTCGAACTAAAACTGTTCGGAAAAGAAAACTTGTTGGCGCGCCTTAAATTGAGCTAAACAATTGGTATTTTATTTATATGCATTGTTATTTATTCTTCAACGTGTTGTGTTTAAGCATCAATCAATGATAATTGAATATTTTTTTAATGTTTAATATTTTTGTTTGACTAAAAACTATTTGAGGGAGAAATAATACTCTTGAATGTTATTTTCTTGCTCTCAACTAATAAAATTACTAAGTTTTATTTCGCATGTAATTCAATTGCAAGTTTTAAAAGAAAAGAGCATTTTTGAGGATTTTCCAACTCAAATATTCAACTTTTATTTTGGGTGTCTCGTATCTTTACATATTTATATCTATATTTTATTATAATAATTTTTACACATTAAATTCAAATGCATTAATTTATCTGTATACATATATATGTGTATATATATTTATATATAATTTATTTATAAATATAAATAACAAAATTTTCCCTTTGAAGCTTGTTTTGTTTACTCAATTTTTAGTCACTATATTGAAATATGATCTGCATTCTATAGCATTAGCCAGTTTCTCGTTTAGACTGCATTCATAGTTGTGTGTCTATATAAGTACTTATTGATAGGTAACTGACTGCCAGATTTTCGGATTTCGTGTGCTGAACAATTGGCAAGTAATACCGACGACTCCCTCTACCGCTGCCACTCGGTGTGTCAACCAAATAAAATGTAATATAGTCGATATATTTGAATACCAGATTGGCTTGGGCTTGGTTCAATTCGATTCTTTTCGGGTAAAACGTTAAGGTTGAACAAAATCGTTTTCATTTTGCTTTAGTGTCTTATATCATGTCGGAAGGTAACTGAATAAAACGCTTTGCTCTGGGGCCAATAATTGAGTGGGTGTGTGTGTGGGGGGATAGTATCTCAACCAACTTTTCCAATAGGCCAACCCAAGGCAGGTCCCTAGGGTTATGTTTGCGGACCACCGGCACTAGAAGAGCGCTGGGACTACCGCCTCGTCTCATGGATAGCCCAACATCGTGCGCTTTAGGCACTTCAAAGTTCTGTGGTTTCGAATGTGTTTTTTGTTTTTTTTTTTTTGGTTGTATTTCGATTGGGTTAACAATATTAGGGTAATCAATCAAGGAGGAAACAAAGGGTAGAAAGGAATGGAAAGAAAGATAAAGTAAAGATAGTTATAAACTTAGAGCCAACTTAGAAGAAACTACGATATAAGCTCTTAATTACTTTAAATCATCGGTATCCTCAATTAAATCGGCGTACTCCTCCCAATCGTTGTTAGTCGAGCGTGTGCGCAAGTTTGATATTGTCGGTTCGTCCTCATCCCCCTCCCCCTCCGCATTCGCGTCGTCATCCTCGCCGGCCTTCCTGCCTTTTCTGCGTCCTCCGCCGCCGCCGCCGCCGGTGCCGCCTTCGTCAACCACCTCGTAGTCCTTGAGTTCAGCTTCCAGATCCTTTTCCCATTGTTCCTCTGGCAAAAGACGGAGCAACAAGCAGAAATATCGATTAGAACTTGCGTGGCTTAGCAGCTCGGTAACGGATATCTGCTTATGTAAGGATATATAATAGGTTTAGCATACATGGTTTACACATATCGTATATATTGGTATATAGGTTTAGTATCAAAGGTGTCTAGGCAAGCAATTGAATTGTGGTTAGGTGACCATCCCAAGCAAGTACATGGTTGTTCTCAGTTCAATCATCGCTTACGTTTACCTTCGGCTAGTCTCTGGGGATATAGCTAAGACACAGGTTTTCACACACTGTAATACGTTTGGGTATTCGCACCGTAACTGAATAATAGCCGTCTACAAATAGTTGGAAATTTTTGTTTATTTTTTCACTTAGTCAATTAGCAAAAGTCAGACCAAATTTATGGGGTTAGATTTGGGGATTGGCTGTACACCGTATTCGAACTAGCACTAATTAACGGATAGCGTGCACCCAAAGGTTCTCCGGTTCCATGACTTGCTTGTAGTCCCGAAACACCAATTTGTGTTTTTGGTTTATTACTGTTTCACACTCCATCAATTAACAAAAATGTTTACAACGAAATCATACATTGTGTGTATTTACAGCATTTACGCATAAAAAGCAAGCAAACTGAATAGTTAATCATATTTATTTACATACTCATTAATTGACGAAGCTTGCCAAATATAAGATTTCCTATAAGCTGGCAAACAAAATGTTTTAATATCAATTAACTTAAAATGCCATGTACAGATAGAGAGAAACAGGGGAAAGAAACTGAGTCATCTGCGGCTTCTTCGGGTTTGAATTTGTTTTGCCAAAGAATTTATATTATCTTGAACAGTTTAATCATCGATTTTGTGTGGTGAGTTGATCCAAAAAAGGTACGATTTATTGGTTTAGAACGTGTTCCCCGATTTGTTTAATAGTTGTGCAGTTTAAAAAAGCATATCGTTTTTGAAAGAAGCACCAAATTTGTATAAAAGGTTTCTTTCTGCTTGCCCTCAACAGGTTTTCCACCGCACGCACATCAATGAAAACAATAATGGAAATGCTAAACTAACAATAAAGCATTATTTGCTAGAACTACTAATCAATTTACACACACATACTAAAACGTACACAACGATTATATAGACACAGACAGTAGAGGGAAATGATTGAAATTGCAACTACTTTGAATTGTAGGATAATATTTACATACAATATTGCTAAACGAAAACTTTATGCAATTGAAAACCAACATCGAAAGGAAAATTATCACAACTAAAACGTGATGCAATTTGTATATATTTCACTTTTGTTTTTGTTTTTTTTTTTGTTTTGCTTTTATTCAACCAACAATTTCTAACTTACCACACAAAATTTTGTTTCGGTTTTTGTCTTTTAGTAACATTTTTGGGTTTTCTTTCTTCGGTTTATATAAATAATGCGTTTTCTGGGTTCAACTCAAATTTTCATTGTTGTCAAGTGAATATCTTTATAAGTATTTATATAATTTTGTTTGTTGTAGTACTTTTTTTTTGTTTCGCTTAACAATTTCTTTTCTTTCTTGTGGGCAATTTTGTAGTATTTTTTGTATAATTTTGTTCTTCATTATTTTGTTAGTTGTATTTTTTTGCGTTTTGAAATTTAGATTTAGCATTTTGTTTTGTCTTTTGGTTTTAATCCATTCAATCTTCTGCAAGATGATTCGTAAATAAATTAAGAAATACATGAAGAAAAATAAATGTTTTTGTTAAAATGTTTTCCCATACAAATTCAACGTCAATATTCATGGTAAGATACTTTTGGAAAATTTTGTGTATTGCTAGGAGAGGAGGTTCATTTTGTGTCGCGGTCAGTTAAGAATATATTTTGAAGTTTAAACATTGTGGAGAAATGTGGTAATTAAAGTAAAAGGCAAACTTAGAATCGAACCGAAGGTAGGTAAGGAGGTAACAAAAAGTACATCTAGCTAATTTTTGTAAATGAACTTGAATTGCAAATTGAATAAAAAGGAGCACGAAATTGCAAAGAGAGAGCGAAAGTTGTATCAATAGGATATATGTAGTATTATATAAGAATTTCTTGATCAGTTTGGTCATACTCAACTTGTTCGAAATTTGTTTTGTGGCTTTAACTCTTTCTTAAACTGTTGTTAGATACTTGAAATCAAATCTTATGCCATATGATACATATATATACTCATTATTTTTTAATTTGCTAAATGGCAAACGAAACTTTTGAGTCGAGTTCGATTTAATCCAGGGTATATAATTATACGTGTTTATATAATTTATAATACTTTTGTTATCCATTAGTTGCTTTACTTCTATATTTATTATGTGATTTCGTTTATTGGTTTAATAGTACTTTCAATTGATAGATTCGCTTTAGTAATTAAATGCCAGAGCTTTAGTTGGTCGTCATATAATAAGTAAAAACGATTTTCATACAAAATGTAATTTACACAAAAGAAAGAAACAGAGCAGAGGAGAAAAAAGAGAATTGTTCGGTTTTTACACTTGATTTGTACACACATTTTTTGTTTGTTTGTTTTAGATTGTTTGTTCTGTTTGCTTTGTACAACAAAAATATATATTTAACGTGTGGCTGTGTTTGCAAAATAGATTATGAGATGTTAGGAAAACAAAATACGCGACTCAGACAAGAGACATTATCGTGTTCGAATGGCAATGAGTGTGTCTTGACAACTCCCTAGAATCTAGACGAAAAAAAAGGGCTAAAGCTCGCTGGCCAAGCAACATAACTAGCTACGCTTAATGTTTTCCTATGTTTTATGTGGCATGTGTATGAATGAATGTTTCGTGTTGACCAGAACACCAATGAAATTTCGTTTGATCAATTTCATGGGGCCAATGTATGTACAAATAATGTTAGTCTTAACAGGTAACGAAGGTAACACAAAAGTAAGTAACAATAATTATAAACTGAAAGGGAAAGTAAAACGATAAAAACAAACTCTTACCATCAGTCGTGGCTAATGCCTGTTGGGTCATGCTATCAATGCCCAATTTTCGCATGCCGTCTTGGATTTCAGCCAAGTCCGATTCGCTCGAGGTCTGAAAGTCGTCCGAAACGAATTCCGACTCGGAGATCTTGTGGCCCAGTTCTTTGCCCGCCCGACCCTTCGACTTGATGGCCTCATTTGGCTCCTGAACCTCAGGCTCTATCAATGCCTTCGGCTGCTCGGCAATGGCTTTCAGACTCGAATCGCTCTTGGCTGGCTCGACGACAGTCTTGGATGTGCTCTCTTTATTGGCCACTTCTTTGGCTGTTCGTTAAACACACACACAGTTGAGTTTTCAAACGAATTTCGATAGTCAAGTTCGTTTTCGCAGTGTAATTTCGTGTTGGAAATTCATAAAAACAATAAGTAAACGAAAAAGTAAGTAATTAAAAAACTGAAAAGAGGAAAAATGGTAAGTAAATCGATTTGAGGTGAGGCGCTGGGCGGCTGGCGACGTTCGTGGAGCGATTTTCAATTGAGCATCGAGGCGCGACTGAGATGAACGTTGGGGATTGGTGAGTTGGAACCGAAAACCAGGACTCGAGTCCTCGACGACACAAGCCAGTGCAGGTGGTTGGGACGTTTACAAATCAAGAGGTTCAAAGTTCAACTTAAAACTTGAGCATACTCTTAGGCGGTGTAGTACAGACGCTAGCCAAGTTAGTTAGTTCGAGACTCGAGAGGTAGTAGGTATGTTTAAAGATATAGAGATTAAGAGAGAGAGAGAGAGAGAGAGAGAGTTGGAGAGAGCGAGAGAACGGAAAACTTTGGGTAGCTAGCGTGTGTGAAAAGGACTAAGAGGAAATCATAAGTTAAACAGGCGCGTGTGGCTAAAGTGAACCAAAAATGAAAGACTTAGACTTAGAGAAAGATAGACAGAGTTCGTAGGCAGATAGATATAGGTATAGGTACAGATACAGATACAGGTACAGATAGATAGAGAGCGCGCGAGTAACGAGTGTGAGTGTTTGGTGAGCGAGACAGTCTGTTAATCCTGCACTTCGATTGCATTAACTATTTTCCAGAGTTTCGTTTTCTTTTTTTCCAAGGGGGTAGGGAGGGACTATAACCGACTTACCATCTTCACCGCTGGAAGCCTGGCCCACGCCATCGGCGCCGAGAGTGCCCAGCTCGGCGGCCTGGATGATCAGTGAGACGCGGTAGAAGTAATTCCGCCAGAAGTTCTCCTCAGTGATGCTGTTAATTGAATAGAATTCTCTTAGAATTCGATCGCAGCAATAATGACTTGGCTTACATCTTGGGCACCAGCTCGAATCGCATCGTCTCGAGCGCCTTGTCCTCGGCCATAATGGCTATGGCCGTGGGATAGGCGGTGTCGTAGCTGAACTCAAAGTCCACGCCGGCTGGTGGGGCGCGCACAAAGTTGCGGCGATCCTGCGACAGTCCCAGGATCTCCTCCTTGATCTTGGACTCGTTGGCGTGTCCGATCCACGGAGCAGCTCCATTGCCCACGCCTCCTTGGCCCTTGATGAAGGCCTCCTGCTCCTTGTTGAACGAGTCGAGAATGGTCTGCAAAGGGTTCGGTTTTAATATAATTTCATTCTATTACAGCAATGCCATGAACTCACATTATCCTTAACTGTTTCCTTGATTTTGCTGCCAGCCTTGCTGATGGCCGAAGACAAGAAGGATCCAAAGTGTTTGGCCTGCTGTGTTACTTTTGTGGTAACTGTCAAACGGATTTTTGAATCGGTAAGCGTTAAATTCAACTTCAATGATTGCAATCAACCCAAAAGGGTATGCTACTCACTAAAGCAAACTAGACTACAAAGCAAAAGATTAAGCTAGGGGACTGAGTGAGAGGGTAGCGGGATAAACTAACTACTTTAAACTCGGGGTTAGTAACCTGTCACCGCTTTCTATCTCAATCTTTTTGAATTGGCAATTGGAGTTGACATTGATTCGACATTTAGCACAATGTGTTTGAAGTTGTCTCTTGTAATTTGGTTACCAATCAAAGTGTGACACGTACTTTTTACTTCATCGCCCTTACCCTGTCCGATTTGACCCTCGTCGCCGGTGGGTGTTCCACCGCCCGATGCAGGATGCGAGTCGGCGCCCTCCGTGGCACTGCAGTTACGCAATTTCAAGTGGATCGGGGGAGAAACGAGAGGGATACAAAAAATAGGGGGTTAAACGTTTTGCAATTTAAATATCTGCCATGTGGTTATATAGTTATTGTGTAAAGCTCCAAGAATAATTCATGCAGCATTCAGCAAAGCCAAGTTAAAAACTTAATTACTCATTAAACACATTCTGAGAATGCCTTAAATATGCTCATAATAATAACTAAATAAAAATAATACAACTAAATTCATTTAACTATTTACACAGTCATGCATTTACAGCCATCAAGCGTGCAATCTTTAATTTATATATAAAATTTCTGTCTGAGTTCTGTCTCTCTTATTCAGTTTAAGCAATCTTGATTTCGATCGCATTTACTGTACTAATTCATATCAACAAAATATATTGCCTTGTTTTTTTTTAATAGAATTTATGACCTTTAAAGAATTTCAATAATTCTTGATACATTTAACTATTAAATTGTTTGTACTTTTTAAATCATTCAACAACTTAGAATTCGATTATTTTTTAACGCCTATGTTTATTTACACGTATTCATGTTTTTGTATACAGATATTTATTGTTATTGTATTCTTTCATTTTGATTCGTGAATGCAAAATGTTATGACGGATTCTCATATGAATGTCAGGATGAACGATGCCAAAAAAAATTGAACTACAGGGGCACAACTAAAAGTGAGAAAAACAAATAAAATAAATACAAAATAGAAAGCACACTAAGAAGTCATGCAAGGCATAATTATCATCGTCATGAATTTAAACGTTTGTTGATTTTCCACTTTTGGGACACATACCGAGCGAAAAAGACAAAACTTGTAGGCCGGGAGGTAAATTTTAGCTGCTACTCGAAAAACAAGGCCAGGATAAATTAAAACAATACACCGAAATGATACACAGAAGTCGAGCTACACAGCAACACAGCGAGATGGTCTTGGATTTAAAACAGAAAACGAAAGCACAATGATAATGGTAATGATTATGATCGGAATAATGACAATGATACACATCTACCAACAACAATTAGGGTTGAGCTTTGTTTTGCTTATCTACTGTACGTAGCCGTAGGACTTGGTTCCAGATAGGTTTGTGGATTTTAATTCGGTTTCCTTGACCTGGTTCGATGGGCCGCTCAATAATGATGGAATCTGATACTTTGGGCATTTATTAAAGTTGAAAAATTAAAATAAACACCCTTTTTTTAAGGTGTTTTGTCGCGTTTGAAAATAAATTTGAAATGAAATGGCTTGAAATAATTGAAAAGATGGGACTGCTAGATGTATGGTGTATGGTTTATGTGTTTTCTGTTCAAGAAGAATAATTATTAGTGGCTAAATGGAAATTGTACTGATCATGATCTGAATGAAATGAGTTATGGTAATATCAGCTTTTGATTTATATGTTAGTTTTTTCTTCAAAATTGTGTCCATTTATAAGGTTGCAATCAAGATAACTTACCATATTTGAAGTAACACTTTTGTAACAACTACTCATTAAGATAACTACAAAAAGGTTTACGTTTGTTTTTAAATTTTAAATATTTCAAAAATTCGAACTTTAGATATATTCCAACTCTCGTAAAGGGACAAAATTTTGTGATAGTTTTTCAGCCAATTGCAGGTCGTTCTTTGAGATTTTTGGTATTATATACAAAAACGTTGAAACGATTTATAAATGTTGTTTTGTCTTACAGATGGGAAAGATAGACAGGGTTGGAGATAAATAGATTCATAGAGAGACAGAGATCGTATTTCGATTTGTACAAAAAGTTATTAATATGTGAAAAAGTGAAACTTGAACCAGCACAAGATAAATCGTGTAGATTAAATAAATGGGTAAATATAAATATATATTGGTTAAGTGAAAATGCGCAACAATATCTCAACTAAATGTATGAAAGGGAACGGGTTCCCTTTGATGTGGAGTATATAGGCAAATAGTAAATAGTTATAATATAGTTCAAGAGAAACTCGTGTGTATATTGGTTAGTATTTAAGTAAATTGTGTGGAAAAAGGCTTCAACTGTTGGTTAGGCAAACTAATTGTAAGTAAAACCAAAGAAAACTTAAGTCTCGGTTCATATTCTTTCGGTTCTTTTTGAAGGGGAAGGAAGGGAAGAAAACTTTTCGCCAGCGACTTCAAACAAAGAGCAACCGAAAAAATTGAACAAAGGCCTAAAAAACTTGGGATGGCTTAAACGTAGAAGGTTAACCGAAGACGAAAACAAGAAACTAAAAGTACAAACGCGCATCTCATCGTCATTTCATAAATTTTTTGGCTTTGGTTTTTGTTTTGCAGCGGCTGCTTCGTATATAATTCCGTCATTGTCAAGCTGGCACCCATACCTAATATACCTCGACTTGTCGTCATCCTCGCCACCACTCACGGCTCCACCGGCGGCGGCCCCGCCCTCTCCGGCGGCAGCTCCCTCGGCGCCCTCGGCCCCCTCGGCTCCGCCGGCCTTGCGCAGTCCCGGAATCGATGGTATCGACGGCATCGCTGGCATGGCTGGCATCGATGGCATCGACGGCATGGCTGGCATCGACGGTATCGAGGCGTTTCCCAGCCAGCCCTTGGCACTTCCCAACCATCCGCTGCAAAAGAAAGAGACAGAGAGAGAGGGAGAGGGAAGGAGACAAGCAGAAAGGAGCATTAGTTGGGGTCCTTATTCCTTGGCGGTTGAGTGACTGACTGACTGACAAAATGACAATCAATCTTTGCCCTAATTTGACAATATTCAATGCTTGTGCTTGCATGTGGGTGGCGCTGGATAAGGGCCTGATAAAAATCTATAATGTACTCTGTCGAACAATAAGCAGGCGCCTCCACTTGTCACCCGCTTGCGCTTATATAAGCCCGCACATACAGGGTGATAGTAATTGATTTCTTTACGATATTTTATTTATTAGTTTGATGGGCAACCGTTTTATCAATATGCTGTGAGGAAAAATGAAGCACAAGCATTCCCACCAGTTAATCAAAAAGCTTCCAAGACCTAAATAGAACTAATAAACTAAATGTACACTCGTATGTTCCTACATTTTTCTGGGATTATTACGAAGAACTTTTTGCTTTAAAATTTAATAACAAATTTATACAGCTGTATGTCAACCCACTTTAATTTTTAATAATATTTTCATTTATTATTTGCTACAAATTATACGGATAAATAAAACGCAACACAATAATTACAGAATAAAGAATAATAGTAAGAACAGTTTAATACTTTAAGAATATTGTACAAAATAAATGAAGATATTTGGGTTCAGCAAACTTCAATATTTCATTTCAACCACTTTCCCTGTAAGGATTTCCCATTAAAACAAACACCCTGTTGAAGGACTTGTTTCTGTTGCGTTGATAGTCCTGCGCCATTCATTGAACCATTTCTACACTGTCATAAATAAAACCCCGCTGACAAGCCCATAGGATACGTGACAGGACGAGACTACATGCGAGTGGGAGGCATTGTGGCCAGAATGCCAGCGGAGGCGGCTTTGCTCTACACTTCGCCCTAGGCTGACACTGTGTCAATCACTGGAAACAACACAAGGATCACCTGCAAACTGGGAAACTGAAGCTGAGTCGGAAAAACAAACGCAATGTACGAACTGTGCCCCGTTTGCCTCGGCAGGCTGCGTCAGCAAGTGGACACCCCGTGCAGGCACACCTTCTGCAAGACCTGTCTGTGCAAGGTCTACAGACAGAGTCCCGCCAAGTCGTGTCCCCTCTGCCGGGCTCCCTTCGATTACTACATCGTGAGTTAAGAAAACCCTATTTCAACAGTCGGTATAAATCCAATTTCCTTCCCTTTTCCAGAGCAAGCGGAGAAACGTAGTAAAAATAGTGTTCTTTTCCTAAAATAGTATATTGGATCCTTAGTCTTTGTTTTGTTATCAGTTTAAAATTGTTGTTTAATTATGTTTTTTATTTTGTTATATTTTATTTGTTATAAGTTCTGTGTTAATGTTTCCTTTATTTAAATTGTTTGTAAACTTTTTAACAAGTCAACCAAGTACGAAATTAATTAGATTTCAATCAAGGTAAGTTAAGCAATGATGGCAATTTCCTTATATGATAAAACATTTTTCCCTCCAGCAGTTTAATGGTGTTTTCGAAATCTGATGAAGTAAGCAAATAAATTTAAATTGTCAAAAAGCCCTTTTAATATCGAAAGCTTGCAAAACATTGGAATTGTGATAAAATAGCTTGACTCGAGCCTTGAGGGTCTTATTCAGCCAAGTACAACAATCGATTGGGGAACCGTCTTCTTCCCCTTTTTTTTTTTTCGTTTTCCTCGCTCAGATATTCCATGCGCATATTGCAATATTGAATGCTCGGCCTGCGGCGGTACAAGGCGAAGGGAATCGAGGCGGAATGGGCGGAAGGACACGCCCCCTTGTGTGCCTAGGCTATAGATGATGGTGCTGCATATAGCATATAGCATATAGCACGCGCACATTCCCACACTGAAAAGAAGTGCCTTCAACTGTAAGGCGAAAATAGAATAGAACTCACAATGACAAGCAAAGGATTTTCAATCGCTATGCGGCTCGGGTAATGCGGCTCCGTTTCTATATATCTTCAGATCCTTATGCATTATGCTTCATTATGACAGGGCAAGGCCAGCTGAATGCTGGACAGGCATTGCGCATACGCCGCGTTGTGCGAGAAGTGCCCAGCGATGCGGAATCAGAGCAGAGGGAAAAAATCGCAGCCGTAAATCGAATAAAACTGCAGCAAACGCCATTAAATTTTTTTTTGTTTTTTTATTCGACTGCACTTAATTGTGGTGGCAAATTAAATTTTTACACAACTGGGTCAAGAGATTAAAGGGGCATATGTCGAGCATACGCCATGTTGTCCAGACCAATTAGGGAGCCAACTCGATGGGAAAGTTATTACATATTGATATACGGTCCGGCAACGACTATCGCGCATGGAGCTTATCATTAGCAATTGGCTAGCCTCCAAGTGAAGCACATCTCCTTTTTTCCCTTTATTTATTTTTTCCTTTTGTGATTTATGTCCTCGTCATTGGTTAAGAAGAGGAAGAACAGGAGGGAAGTCGATGGGCTGACTGGCTGGTTGGTTGGTTGGTTTCTACGCAGTTTTGCTGACCTGACAGCGGCGGCAACAGCTTCCGCTCTTATTTATGGCTCTGAGGATTCCCATTCGGGCATTGCATAACTTAGGTCGAGCAAACCGATAAGTGGTTGGACATTCACTTGAGGAATGGCCTCTTAAAGTAGCTCACCCACACTTCCTGCGGAATTACCTTGGCATCTCTCTCGAGTGAAGATCATAAATTTTCATCTACTTTTTATTATGTGTTACGTACGCATTCATATCGACTTTCTGCTGTTTTTTTTAACCATTCTTTTTCACTTGAACTTTTTAGTCTTCCCGCCAGATTTTTCCCGTGAAAAGTTTTAATTATAAAAGTTTGGGCAAACGTTGCGGCAAACACATAGAACAAGAAATACGACATGCCGCAATGCCAGAAATCAGCAGAAACAAAGGAGTGAAGTGGATTTTCCACAACCAAGGCTGACCTCAATTCTCCAGACATCTTCATCATAAATCCGGAGGGTAAACAAGGCCAGTGAAAACTAATTAATTGGTTTTACTGGCTCCGGCAATCGATATTAAACGCTTCCATAAGATAAATTCTGCTTCTGCTTCAGGTGCTTACTGCAAACCACAGAGTGTTAAATTGCAGTTTGCATAGTTGAGCAAACAAGTGCAATAACTTGGTCTATACTAAATAGAAGTTACATTTGTGAAATTGTTTACGGTATTCTTGAAACAAATTACTTTTATATTGAGTTAAACAAATCACCTTGAACGCATAAATTGCAATCAATTAAATTGAACCAATTGCAACTTAAACTGCTTTTCCTGTTCAACATATTGTTGTTTAAAGATTACCGACTATTTTCCTTATAGAATTTTGCATAATATTTCTCACAATTTTCTCTCTTTCAATATTTTTTTATTGCGACATTGTCATGGATTCGTGGTGTCATACCCTTCGGAAAAGTGTATGACAAAACAACGAGCAACGCACATGGCACTTATGTAAATTGCAGCCTGCCAGGAAAAAGCGAAGAGGGCGGCTTTTGGGCTGGGAAAAATATCCAGAGGACGCAGAGCCACGACAACTGCAATTGCAAGTGCAAATGGAGGAGTGCAAATGTGGCAAAAAGAGCAGAAAATATGGGGAGGTGGGAAAAGGGGGAGTGGTAGGGGGTGTTGGTTGTTTTGTGCGCTTGCCACGAAGCTTGACACTTTTCGTTCTCACTCAGAAACCCCCCAAAGCCCCAATGCTCGGATGCGAAAATTGCATTGTCAGCTTAGAATGGCGTCAACTGTTGCAGTTGCTCCATTCGCTTCCCGTTCCCTTACTCTTTTCACGGCTTTTCTGGCGAATTGGCCATTTTAATTGTTGTTGCCGTTAATTGGAGTACTGTGAAGTTTATTCGCCTCCTAATTGGATTGAGATTTTCTCGCGCCAAGCCGAGATTTATCCAGTTTCAAAGGGTCTAAATCGAAACAAGACACGCAACAGCAAAAGCTGAAGGGCCAATAACTAAAGACCATGGTAACACCATCCGTTGTCATGTTGAGCCCTCTATCTTTCTGTTTCCCCAGCCCTTCGGTCTTTCCGTTACACAATGGCCCTGTATTTAAAGATAATGCTTATAGGAAATTTATTACATTTGCCCCACGACGAAGGCGAAAAGAAAGTGAAGCTAAATGCGTGTATAAAGCAAAAATAAATGATACCCGGCTAAAGGCACCTGCTGAGCTTCCATTCTCCACCTCCACTTGCTGCCAAAGAGTCTTAGCCATCATCATTGCCATCAGTAACCCCCATCCAAGCTGGCTTTCTCTCTGGGGGAGTTATGTGAATATTACAGATACATATTACTTTAGGAACAATATGGAAGTCAAACCATTAAACCATTTTTAGTTCAACTTTAATCTTAAGTTGAATATATCTTATATCATATTGCAAGGGTAAAGTGGTCCCTAAATCTGTTCCGATATATTTCAAACGATTTCATTATAACATCTATATAATATTTCGCATTCCTTCTGAACTTAAAAATAGGATTAATGGTATGACAGTTCAGCTAAAGTATCGCTTCTTTCCCAGAATTCATACGATAATAATTCTTCCCTAATTCGGAAGAGAACTACATATATTTTTTTGAGCACACAATCTGTTTGAAATACTGCTATAGCTACCCTCGCCATTTGGCAAATGCCATACCCTGTCAGAGGCGCAACAGCCAGCGAATGAGGCTGGGAAAAAATCCACATTTGACAAATTACCAGCTAGCAGGTAAACAGAAGGCGGATAAGCCCGGTCCTGAAAAGCGACTCGGGGAAAACAGCTACAAGCAACAAGCAGGAAATTGGAAGGAAAGCCGGGATGCAGGACGCCGCGGGCGGACCATCCACATAATCATGGCCATGTGTAGCTATTAATAAAAGATGAACGAAACATTAAACGCCTGCATAAACGTGAGTCATCCATCCATCGACACGATTGCCCTCCTTATTTACGATTTGGCCATGTGACATTTGACTTTTCATGCTCAGCCGATTTCTATTTTCATATCGCATTTAAAATCTGCTTTCTTTTTTATTCCACGCTTGTGCTTCACTGTATTTACTTTGCGAGCTTTTTTTTATTAGCTTTTATTTTCAATTAAAGTGAGCTGCACAAACATAAATATCTGGCGGAAAGTGTGCTATCAAATATTCATGGAGAGCACAGACGAGGGCGAAAACAAGCCAGGGAAAATACCGAGCATAAATTATTCAAAGCGAGAATTGATGAACAAACTGGTCAACACAGATTGGAGCTCTTTGAGTCACGGATTGGCCCAATCAGCGGAATCGAGTTCGATGGCAGATTGGTAATTCATTGCCCAATCCGTTTGCCCACAAAGGTGGCAAAAATAAATCAACCCAGAGGTGATTATAAAGTCTGGCCTTTTTTCCGAATCTGTCCCACAACAAAGGCGTTGTTTAAGTATGATAATTACATATACTTCCCGCAGAACAACAGTTTGGTAATTGCATGCCACCATAAACTCGAATAGTTGCCACCGTTTGGACATAATCATACTTGTATAATTAAGCGCCCAGTGCCTCCCCTTCGTTCCCTGACTAAACCACTTAATATGATTGCCCAACGGCTGTCGCAGCTAGCGAGGCTTAAACATTAAGGGAAACGAGCACCTAAGCCATATCCATTTGGCAGGACGACAGCGATAAGCCCGGAAATGCGGCTAAGAAACATAATCATCAAAGCAAGTCGGGGGAAAATATCAAAAGCAGGTTAAGTAGAAGGTCCCATCAAAATATTACGTTTAGGCGGCTTTAAAAAGGTGAGAGATTGAATACATTTAAGTAGAGTTAGGCAATGTATTTAGTCCCACTCTTGCGTACATTCAGCATAATGAAGATGAGCAAGGTTAATTAGGCTAAAAGTTGACGGCAGCGTCTAAAAATAGGAAAACGGAAGGAAAATACCGCTCTGCATGCAAGTGACAGGTGGACCGACATTTCTGTGTACCCAGCTCTTGGAAGCCTTTTCGTTCCGGTTTCTGCGTTTGCAAGACGTCTCGCTTTTGCAGGGACAGGCACACCTGCGGCGAATGCCGAATGGAGAGTGCCGATTGTGGCCTCCCTGGCTGCCATTCGGATGCCCACAACAAAGGATATTGGATTTTGGATGAAGGATTGCGCAGGCACTGAATCACAGGATGGAAATAGGGCTAAAAATACACATCAATAGACAGCATAACGTATTATTCGTATTGTGACGTATGAACAAAAATCTAGAACCTAAAAGAAGCTCTACATTCATTATTACTCTTTTAACTCTTTAAAGTAATTTTTAAATTTCAGTGCATTTATCACTTTCTGTGTACCTTAAATTTGAAGCCAAAGCTTTGATATTTTATCCCCATTTTTCTTGTAAGCTATCAATATTATGTTTCCTTAACCCTTTTCTGTTTAAAGTATAGAATTTTGTGGATGTGACAGCATCGTTTTTCGCATTGGGCAAACACAATGACGCTTGTGCAAACACTGGTGACAAAAGTGAGGGATCTGATTGAAAATGTTATAAATAGAAGAGCATCAAACAATCGTCCTTCATCGATGGCAGGACATCTCATTCGCTTGTGATTAACTGTTTCATGCTATACACACATTTATTTATAGCCCTCGCTGACCCGATCCGAATTTAATGGGAATGTTGGCGACACCGGCCCCGAAATGATAAACATCCCAAGGCAAAGGTTCGGGACAATTGCCGCCAAGGGGCCTGGCTCCTGGACTCCGGCTCCTTTCGCTCAATCAAAAGCTGACTGGCGGGCGAGTGTGTGTATTATGGCCAGAAGCCCAATGGGCGGCCCAAAGGCGCGCGGCGGAAATAAACTGGTAGCAAAAAGGTGCAAAGTGTTGGGAATTTTATGCGCATTAATTATACGCAGCGAGCACGCCCCGAAAATGCAAATGAATTATTTAGCCTGATATTTAAGCTGATTGAGATGAATTAACTTGAAACGAATATCAAAGGATGGGGCCCACCGCCCGCACAAAGGCAACTTAATGCTCAACACGTGGGCGAGCGTTTACAGTCGCGTCTCGAATTTCCCACGGCGATTGGTGGTGGAGCCGCCCATCCAACCAGCATTTGGTTACACCAAGGAGTCACGAGTCCTTCGGCAAAGTGTCACTACACATGTGGTCGTGGGTGTTTTTACCACTTCGACGCTCTTAAACTTTCATAGCCAGCGGGCAAGCAATTTGTGTGAGTATTTGACTTTCCCCGCGGCGATTATGACGGGAGTTTTTCTCTGTTTGACAGCCCTTTGGATTTATTCTACCTTCCCCTCATGGTTTTACCCCATTCGGTGGCTTAAAAGGGCGTGGTCACGGCTGAGTTTGAGAAAAAGTTTGCTGTGTTAATGATTTTACGACTGCGAGGAAAAGTTTTCCTCTCACAGCCTTGTAAAAGGTAAATAGTTTCGTGTTGGAGGAGTTGGATAATGGCTTTTAATTAGGTATAATTAGAAAAGTATAAACGTAACAATAATACAAAAATATAAGCGATGTGAACTTACGTGGCTTCGGTGACTAATGAATCAACCAGGGAAGCGGATTTGGGAAGTCTAAAATAAATTATAAGAGTACAAAACCAAATAAATAAAAATATAAATAATAAAAAGTACACAAAATCAATTTAAGGTGTATCAATAAAGATAAATAAAAGGTATTTAAATTAATGGAATGAAGAGTAAACAAATAATACATTTTCAAGGCTATTTTCTGTTACCCTTTCCGTCTGGTTGGCAAACACTAATAAATTTATTTAATTTCCTTCCTGCGCTTCCTACTTTCCTTCAGGTTTTGTTCGCCGTCTGTATAATTACCTGCAAAAAGAATGAAAAGTTTTCAAAGTTAATGAAGATGTATTTCGCCAGCGATTTTGAATGTGTTAGGCAAATTAATTAGATAATTCCGTGTTAGCCCAGCGAGGCACAAAAGCCTTGCGAAACGCCCACCCGAACTAAAATGCTTCCCGACCTGACCCTCTAATTAAGCCGAAGGATATGATTACAAACGCGAAACGGGACCAGGGCGCAACATGAAAGCGAAAGAAAAGACCAAAGTTCACGCTCAAGCGGACCCAGTGGGCCATTCCTCTATATATAGACTCGTAAATCTCAAGCTGAGCGGAGAAAAACAATTTCTTAACATAAATCAACTCAACGGGGGAATTGTGAGTATATGTTTTCCAGATATTTATGTGGCAATTTGCCGACAAGGACGGCTCCGTATTGATAAACAATACGAGGCGAATCGAATCGAATTGAATTGCAGGTGGGGTAGGTTTCAAATCGAAATGTAATGCAAATCGGACTCTGACCTTGACCCAATGAAAATGCCACTCAATTCGCGGCCCGTGTCCTGTGAAACAATACCTGAATAGCAAAACAAAACAACTGTACTCGTAGAAGGTACAACTTACAAAGGGCAACCAAGATAAAAGTCTAAGCTGGCACACGTCGCGTATACGTAATGCAACAAAATGCATTGGGCAAGGACATTGGCAAGGGCTGAAATGCAAGTAGGGTGCAGTAGTAGGTTGCTGGTTGGTGGTGGTAGTGGAGCAAAAATGTTGGGGAGTGGCCATGCGTAATTTATGCCAACCGATGCCGCACAACAACACAGCGGCAACTGAAAATTTTATTCAATTAAGCGAAGCTCTTCGTTTTCATCTACCAACCCATTTTTGCAGAACCCCCACAGTCGCCCGTTCCAAACTTGTTTATGGCAAATTGTCAGCCACAGCAAAAGCAGGGAACGTAAACTTTCTTCCTCATCTTCCTTTCCCCCTCATCAGTTTCCTTGCTGCGTCCTTTTACATAACGTAGCATTCATTATAAGGCTAATTAAGTATACGCCATGTTGTGCGCTCCGGCACTCAATGCACGCTGCACTGTTTGCATTTGGTTGCTGTTCTTGTTTCTCGTTCTTGTGGCAAAAGCAATACTTGGGAACATATGGCAGAGCTACGTTGGATTTGACGAGGTTACGCCTGGGACTGATGAGATAATAATGGTTTATTGCGAAGGATAAATAAAGCAAAACAAGCTTGTCCTTCGAGCTGAACAAGGATAAAGTTGATTCCAGCATATGGATGAATTAATGATTGCAGGAGGCTGAGCAATGCAATGCAAACAAAATATGGAACGGAAGGCTATAAAATATTTAATTCAATTGTGATTGCCAAGCAGGCACGACTTCTAAATTGGACTGGGATAAAATCGGTTTAAGCATATGGATAAATTATTGATTTAATAAAATGAGCACAGAATAGCACAGATACATAACGACATAACAATTATAAGAGGCTAAAAGCTAACAGCACACAAAATTAAATGTAAACATAAGCGAAACTAATTTTTGAAAGTGGACCCCAATAAGTAGGCAACGTTTTTAGTGATTTTTGACTTGGCAGCCAATGTTGCTCATCCGCCGCGTAACCCAAACTGGCGCACATTGCGATGAAGCATCCAAGGACTGCGCCACGATGCAGCAACGTGTTGACCTTTAGCACACTTTCCGCAGCAATTCCTCTTAGTCTTGCATCAGCCTTCCTCCCTTCCCTTTCCCTTTCGTCTGCTGTATTATCTTAATTGTTATGCAGGCGAAACTGTGTTGGTTTGACTTGTATGACTTGGCATATTTCATTACTCAATTACAAAGCAAACTGTTTGAAGGGCCAGAGTTGAATGAAAGGACTAAGCCGTTTGCGATTTTCAATTAACGCCCGAGTTGCACAACACTCACACAGCAACGTGCTGAGTCACAGATGAACGAACGAATGAATGAATGAATGAATCGCTGGCAGAAGCAGAATGAATTGCAGCACTCACACTTACACTGAAAGCCACACCCACACGAAAACCGATTTAATGAAAGATGCAATATGGCAGGATGAGGTGACCCTGATCTAATGCAAACGGGCCACTGGCTGCGGTCGTCATTTAATTAAGAAATGCTTTGACTTTGGTATGCGGCCACTGCTGTCAAGCCAACAAGTGGAAATACCTGCTATTTATCCGCTTTTCTAGTCAATACATACGGCCAGGCCGAATCGATATTTCAAAGAAACTTTTCCCATACAAAACCGCTGCTGGTTACAATCGCTCAAGCCATAAAATCTTTCATGAAATAGTTGGAGGCGGCGGGACTTTAATTTCGCTTGAGCAACTTTGACAGCCATTTCGAGATAAAGTCAGAAACCTTTTAAGAAGGCCGTTGGGCACGAAAATTTCGGCTAAAAGTAAAAGGTTTCCCCGCTGTCACGTACAGCCATGGAATGTGTGAATTTTCACTTAAAGGATTGTTATCGTTCGAGATCCGAGATGCTGCGAGGGGTGACATTAAATTGGATAATGTCATTAGCAGTAAAGTTGAGTAATTTTGTTTATTGAAAAGCCGCGAGGGGAAGTTTCAAGGATACTGGCTCTCCCAGAAACTTGATTACAATCGGCCAAATCACAAGCCATGCTCATTAAAAGTTATATTATTCCCGAAAAAGGTCCACGGAATTGGATTAAAGTCGAGAAGCCGAACGGGCTGAGCCGAGAAAGAGTTGAAATGTCAGCTTTGGCCGCTACTGCTGGGGTGCCATTTAAATTGCAAATTGTGCGACGTAGAAAAACGTGGACCCGAAACCATGGCCACCAGCCATTCTGCTAGACTGTTAGAGCCTGTTGTTGACAGAATTAATTGCGCACGTTAGCGCTGCCTTGCGGGTGGCGTAGCCGTTGGAACCGAAAATTGAATTGGAGGCGACGTGGCTGCCGAAGGAACGAGGCTGCTGCAGCCTCTGAAGCTGAAATTGAATTACGCGTGTTTTTCATTCCGGCCATAAACACATTTTTGCCTCTTCCAGCCGCAGAATTGCATTAGTCCAACGGAAGAACAAAAGCCACAGAGCTTGGCTCTTCGATAAAGGGTCCGGAATTGATGCCCAGCGACAATCATCAGTTGTTTTGACTTCGTATGTCTGTGTGAACCAGATGGCTGCTCCACGCACCTACGCAGCACCGCATTACGTATACGCCCCGTCACTGTGATTAGGCAGGAGCCCCGGAAAAAAGCCCAGCCATAAATTTCAACTGCAGAGCCAGGCAGAAATTTATGAACCACGGCGCAAAACAAAATGGCTGCCCTGAAAGCTTAGGGCTATGTGTTTTACACTCGACCAAATCATCAAACACACCATCATCAGAGGGGAGGGCGAAAAGCTGAAAAAGAGAGAGAGGGAAAGAGGGGAAAACCCAGACACATGAGCAATTGGGACTGGCTTTTAAAACTGGCAACTGAGCTGCCATTAACGCAATGCAAATATAACCCTCACAGGTCCCTAAATTTGCCTTCCCTTCCCTCCTTTTGTTGGGTGGCTTATCAAACGGTGATGTTCTCTACTTTTGCTCTTCTGTATTATTACTTTTTTTTTTTTGGCATGTTGGCATTTTATAGAGCGTGGCAGTTTTATGTAAATTTTAAATATTACTCAAGAGGCGGTTTATTTGCTGGAAGCATTGGCTTTATGACTGCGACTGACAGCATCCCCAAACGGGGGAATGGAATGATGTGTGATACCAACAATCGTTTGCATAGTTGGATAAGCACTGGATATGTGCACCTAATGACCTACAAAATACCGCAGATAAGCGAGGTGAGCGAGAGCGTACAATCCTGAAAAATGGCCATAAACACGTATTTGTAATCCAATCGTAAACGTGCTTACAATACCACAGTAAAATTTTAATTTAAGTAATTTTGAATTTGAAAACAAATAACTTAAAGTTATTCAAGAATTACATAACTAGAAAATATCCGTTTTCTTAACTATGAAGCCTTTAATTTTGGTTCTCCAGCCACAAAAAGTTGTAACTACAAGTTAGGTTACCCAACCAATTCAGCAAGAGAATTTTCCAAGAGGAAACAACTCTTCGTTTGCCTTCGCACTTGTTTAAAGCACCAAGAGAAAACTAAGTTGTTTAATTTTAAACTTGCCGTTTGCACACTCACTTCCATAAATATGGGGATGCGAGCGTTGCTGACATCCACGAAAGTTTTTGGCAGAGCATTTCTCATGCTGCGAGGCCAGCGGAAAATAGGAACAAAGCACGTAGTCTGGCTGCCGTTTTTGCGATACGCTGTAATTTGCTACTTTGACGCAAGTCCTGGGAGTCCTGTTCGGGTGGGGGGGTTGCTTTTATGTGTGTGCGTGCTGCGGCCCATCACTCACACAAGCACAGAAGAACACACAAGTACAAACACACACACACAGATACACAGAGAGAGTCCCACGCTTCCTGTTCCCCGGATGGATGTTGCTCTCCCTGTCCCTGTCTGTTGCATCGTGGGTTGCCATTACCCGCCTGGCCTGTCACTTCCGCGCTCCGTTAATATTTATGTTTTGCCAACGCTTGTCTTGGCTCTTAACGCGACTTTATCATCGTCTCCGTCTGCAGCAGGCCCGGCAATATAGCAACATGGCAACATTATCGTGAAGGACTCAAACAGTAGCAGAAACAGAAACAGAACGATGGAACGTCGGCAGAAACGGAGTTGAAAGCAGAAAGTTTTCGCCGTGACTGGCCTTCCTGTTGCCTCGCTTTAGTTGACTTCCGGCCGTGCACTTTCCCGTCCTGCGGACATTCAATTTATCTTTATTCGAGCAAAAGGCAAACTGCTAACATATGTTTCCCTCCCGACTTCCTACATTTCCATATGTTTCTGCCGTGTCCTGATTTCATTGCGCTTTAAATCGAGCCACCGAAACATCTACGTTGTTCGCACCTTGGGCAACAACTGAGGGGTCACTTTACGAGCCGCATTAAATTTTATTATTTTTTTCGGTTCTCTTGCGTATAGGGTCGTAAAAATTCGTTTGCCAAAAACCATTGGCCCACTTTACTTTTTCGGGCATAATTGACCGCCAATTGGTGTGGCAGAAGTGGCACGGACAGCGTCGACGTGTCGGGGTCAAAAGGTGCATCTATAAAATCCGTGTTAAGTTGATTGGTCATTCCGATGGCCTTTGATTAGCAATGTAGCAACTGGGCAGCCAATTATGGGTATTCCAAAAGCTTACAAGAAAATATATGAGACTACCTTTTACCTTTATGCATTCTGTTTTTTTATTTTGAGATAAAATCTTTCTGCAACCTAAAAATCTAATTGAATTCAGCGAAATAACGTGGAACACGCATCGTGAAACAAATCAACCTTTTCATTTCCTTTGCCGTGGGCGTGGGAAATTCCCTGGCCAGCAATTAGGTAGTGAAAAACTCGTGACAAACACTTAATTTGCATAAAAATTACTATTTATATGGGCCGAATGATTTAGCACGAAACAAATGCCCAGAGCAATAAATATTAATTTGTGGTACAAACAATAAACACACAAAGCCGCACCAGCAAAAGATTCGAGCTCACTAAATACAGCAACAGCAGCAACAATAGAGTCCGAAAAAGGGCAATATAAATTGAATTAAATGCGACAGCTGAAAAAATAAGCACAAAACAAATAGTTTCGTCCGGGGGACCACCCACTGTGCAGACGGCAATTAAGGTCCTGCCGAAAGGAGGGGCTCCAAGTGAAATTGCAGTGGGTGTGGAGGAGGGGGGAGAAGGGGCACGACCATCTCCGTGCAGTGCTGACCACGGAGATGGCTGTTTTTCGGGGGCCAGGACGTTAATTTGGGCCGCAAAATGGCAAATGTCAAATGGCCAGCGGTTGGACAAGGCATCGTTAGCACCCACGCTGTGTCCTGCCGAATGGCGATGGCGATGGCGACGACGATATGTCCGGTGGCGGTGTCCTGGCCTGACATGAAATTTTAATACCGCCTTTAAATTTAAGTAGCCCGAGAGGTTGAGCAGTTTTTTTTTTTTTTTTTTTTGCATTCGGCTTGGCAGCGTTTCAATTGGATTCTCGGCGGGTCGGTTTCTTATTTATATTTTTTATATCCTTGGGAAATGTGTTTCAGGAGGCCAAATGTCGCGTCGATAAATTTCTGTGGGTTTCGCTTTTGGCTAGATCGCATTTACTTATTTATTTTGAGGCCATTGCTTTGATTTTATTATGTTTGCCGTCTCCAGGTGGGCGGAATGGCAAAACTTCGGATTGCTTTTGATTTGCTTTTCGTTGGGATTCGTTGGCCCAAATGTAATATTTATATAATTTTAGCTGAATTTCCATTTGCATACAGCAGAGAGAGGAGGAGAGCATATTTCAATCAGGCCAAGACCAAGCGACATGGGTAAATATTTGTTTCTTAACTTTTGTTTGCCCCCGTTTTGTTTCGTTAATGATGACCCGAATAGAGCGGCAACAACTTTTTTGTCCGCAATCAAAAGTTGCTGTTATTGTTGGTGAGCAAATTGTGTCAAGCGGTGTTAAAAATGCATTGCTTACTTTCTCAGGAGCGAGTCGTTTTTGTCCAGCTTGTTTGCCAAGCAATTTGAGCGCAAGATGAAATAGTTCTTACTCTTTTTTTTTGTATTTCTGCCTGCCTGCCTGGCCATGCCTTCGTTTTTGGCATAATTTTAGCAACAAAGGCAAGGGCACGCACACAGACACACTCGCAGAGAGCAAGTGCAAATAGTGTAAATGTCCTTGAAAGCGCCAACAACTTTGGCCCTGGCGGAGCACACAGAAAAAATCCGAAAAGGGAGCGAAGAAGCGCATGTACTACACTCGTATGTACGTACAGGTGGAGATTTGCAGGGCCAAATAGAAGAGGCCAGTGCATTCGGTAATTACTCCGGCAGACCAAAGTGAAATCTTAATCGATTTTTGGCCACAATCTGGGCTAAACTCGACCACTTCCCCCCTCCGTTATTAATCAATCGCATAATGAGCAACTCGTATGCGAGACAGCGAAAATTGAATAAATTAATTCATGGAAAATTATAGAGATTTAACGCTGATTGCCGAGCGTTTGGGTGAAATGGCAGGGAGACAGGCGAAAAGACAGGCAACAAGCCAGCACACACACGTTTTCTGAATGCACAATTATTAAATAGGCTGACAAAAGGACAACAAGGGGACTGGGGGGACGTGGCGGGGGAAAGGGGCGCCAAAACGCTAAGGGAGCGGGCGACATGGCGTCGTTTTTACTCGTTTTGGCCACATCACATGTGCACATTTCGCCGAGCGAAGCGAGAGGAGCGTCGTTTCGTGGCTCTCTCGTATCGATCCGCAAAACGAGCAAAAGTCAACTGGAAACTGGAAAGCAACCACCAAAGGGAACACATCCTGCCTTCCTGCCCCCCCCAAAGCCCCCTCTCCTCCATAAGCGAATCCTACGATTCGTCCTCCTTTTTACTCGCCGACATTGGTGACAGTTTTTCGCACACACAAAAAGCTGGTCGAAAACCCGAGTGTACGAGCGTTCAAAAGCAAAAGGAAGAAGAAGAAGAGAAGGGTAGGGAAAAGGGAGGAAGGCGGAGGACAGCAGCCAGCTCGAATGACTCAACATTTTGTGGTTATGCAGGAGCCACGTGCAAATTATTTTCATTGGAAACCCGCTAAAGGAAAACAAAAAGCGAGATACAAAAAAAAGGCAGCACGAAGCTGGTCCAACTTGTCAATGTCAATTGATAGTGAAAGGAGCGGCGGGGAAGGAGGGGAGTGGAAGCGAGTGGAGGAAGGCGGAGCCATTGAATAGGCGTGACACATCACGGACTCGAGTTTCAAAGACATCGACACCAGCTGTTGGCAGCTGGTTGGAAAAACGTGCCCCGGATTATTGACATCCTGGCCTCAGCGCACACTCGCACAATTAAATATTAATGCGCGAAATTAAGTGAAAAACAAGGGCATTAGTTGACTTTGGCTTGTCCAAAGGATTAGCCTGCAACTTGTGGCATTAACAGGCCATCACATCGAGCTTAACTTGTCCAAAAAATCAAGCGAATAATTGGATTTTATTTTCATTTGTCTCCGTTAAATGTTATCTATGTGTTGGGAGCGGAAAGTTGGGAGGTCTAGGTACACTTGTTTGCACTCTTATAGAACGAAAGAAGCCAAACTGAATTCTGGGTGCGGACTGTTTGCCAGAGATTGATGAAGTGGCCAAAAACCCAAGGAAGAGAAAGGTCAAATGATACGCAGAGGACGAACAGAAATAGGGCAGTACAATCATTCATTTTGAGCGAAGGAAACCATGAACAAAGAGGAGCACAGCTTGCGAACATGGAGTTGTTCTTTTCCGGTTTTGACACTTCAAGGGTTTTCTTTTGGTCAGCCAAACTGGTTGTCAAACAAGGAAACAAAACGTTTAAAACAGCATAGAAACCCAATAAATCATTGTAAGAAAGAAATTACATGAAGTTTTATTTAAGAAGTTGAACAACCAATACATTCTAACTAAAAAGTGGAACTGAACAAATTGAAATTTGAAGGAAGAGAGAGAAATATCTTTAAATTTAACATCCTAGTAAATGTCCATTTTAATAGCCACTTCTTCAGGCAAGCTTTAAATTAAAATGGTAGAATAAAACAGTCTGCACATCTCATTTCGCAATTCCACGAATCCAATTCATCAATCCAAAAGCGTTTTAGCCAATTTTCCTAGCGTTTTCAAATTGAAATTGCTTGCCATAAAAGTTGAGGCAAATAAATCAACTCGAATCACAGAGAAACGGAGCTTCATAGAATATATATATTGGAGTGAAATTATCGGGCATTTGGCTTGCAGTTTAAGCAATTATGTTCAGTCACGTGAGAGCGTGCGGAATGCAATGAAATATGCAGGATAACCGAGGACCGGAGTGTGCCAACTATGATGAATGTGGCGTGGAAAAGCGATTGGAGGGCAGGTGGTGTTCCGGCGGCGAAATGTTAAAAGGTACAAATTGCAAGGTCACATTGGCACGCCATATCCACCTAAAGTCAGGATCTGGCTTTCGAGTCACGAAAGACAAATAAGGATGGCCAAGAAGGATAACCCCTTTTGGCTGGGCTCTTTAACTCACCTTTTGCCAGCTTCCTCGCCCTCAAGTCCTTCGGCGCCGGCGGCTGCGGCTGCCTCGGGATCCACGGCTGCCGCAGAGTTCGCCTCCAAGGATGTGGAGGCGGCGGCTGGAGCGGCTGCGGCCGCCTCGCCTGTGGGCGCGGGCACATCCTCGTCGCCAGCGCCTCCCTTCACGGCGCCCACCAGCGAGGTGAATTGATTTGTTAGGCCCGAAAACATGTTGGTTGCTACTGCTCCTCCTCCTTGGCCGTCGCCTGCTCGATTCTCTCAAGGATTAGTGGTGTGTCCTGACCAGGAAAACGTGCGCACGTTCAAGCTCTCTCGCTCTCTCGGCTTTCCACTGCTGCTGCTGCTCTCCCGCTCCTTGCGCTCCGACTTTTACTACACTGGGCAGACGATATGATACGATATTTTGTAATAGGTTTTTCTTTCTTTCAGTGTTCCGTTCGCACCACAGAAGTTTCACTTTCAAACGCTTTGGCGTTATGTAAATTCTCGCATTTAACTTGAAATTTGCACGCTGCAAGATGGCAAGATGGCAGAATGGAAGGAAAATCTTTATTTTATTGCAACTTGGCGAGGCAGTGGGGAAAATCAATAAAACGGTCTGCGAATTGCGTGGCTATTGGGCACAATTACACGATAAATACTCTACGATTCGATCGATTTTCCACATGGACACACGCCACGCTCGAACTGTTTTCTTTTTATTTTTAATTTTTACTATTTGCTTTTCGCACAACTAAAGTAATTTGAGTCGCAGCCAATTTACCACTTGAGCTTTTCTCTGCCAACTGGGATTTTTTTGCTTTATGGGGTTTCTTGTTATTCGTTGGTCGCCAGGAGACTTTTGGATTCTCGGCTGCCCACTTCGAAGGTCCTCTGAAAACTGACGGAGCAACGGAATTTCAATGGCTCAAATACGAAAAACCGAGCTAGAGTGTCGTCTTCTCTCGCGGATTCTTGCTTTCTCCCTGGAAAAGTGGAGTCCACCCCTCCTTCCGTTCTTTATAGCCGTTGCTGGGTTATTGGTATTGCGATTTTCGTGGGTGGTGGAAGTCTCCTTTGTGCGCTGGAATGCTGTCTTTGGTTCTGCGCATGTGCCAGCTGTTTTTCAGCGTCGTTGGCTGGCGCAATTAGACAAACAATTGACACGTCTAAAAACACAACAACTGCGCAGCAATAATGATTATTCTCGGTTCGTTTGTTGGCCAATGCTGCCCATCTAACAGCTGACTAACGCCGGCCGATTACTAAAACCGCCCTACCTATCGATATTTGCCGATTTTCGCATAGCTACTTTTATCAACAGCTGACTTGAAAGTTAATTTTAAATTTCCTAATTGTTAAAACCAATTTCAACAGCACTTATGGAAAAACTAAACAACCTGCCTGGCACAAAAGTCAGAATGGACTCGGTTACGGAACAGTACTAAAAGACAAGTCACCTGCCGAAAAACACTTTTAAAATAGATTGCACACCATTCCATGTTCGTAAAACTCTATTTACATCAACAGACTTTCAGTTTTTGTACTTAACAAATAGTATTTAAATCAATTATTAACTAATTAGTTCGATGGAGACAATACGCATACTCAGCGTCCCTGCCGCGCACTTTTTTGAGGCTCTTCTTGCGTCGCTTCCGTCGTCTCCTGCTTCGGTTGTTGCGCCTGGTGGGCTTTAGTTTCATGGTCAAGTCGCTCTTTGGCCCGAAAGACCTTCGACTGGAGGTAAAAGGAGCCGCCTTTGGACCGCTCGTTTACCTGAAACAAGTGTTTGTAGTTATTTTCAATGCAGTCCACACTCTTCACATCGTCCACGTTCAGGATTTGCTTGGCCTCCTCCAGCGTCATGCCTGCAAATAAAGTAGGATATGAATTTAGTGTTTCTAAATAGTTAGAAAATACAAACCTGTCCGCAGGTTGGACTCGGCACTTTTGTCGCCCTTTTGACCACCGCCCGCCCGACGTGCCGCTTCCTGGGATGCGGCTATCTCCTGGCGCAGAGCTTTGGTGAAGGCCCTTCCCACAGCTTGTGCGCCCAGTACGATGATTTGGGCGATGTACTTGGCCATGATGTTGGTGTCTTGTCTCTTCGAATGTTAAATCTGAGGCACGCTGCGATTACACCTTAATTTTGGGACTTCAAAAACGTGCCGCTTAAATTACGCAACAGCTGATTGGATTCTTGTGTTCCAAAAGGATGTTCTGTACAGATATGCTTCTGTAGATACGAATACAAGGCGTTTTACACACAATTTTAAAAAATTTATTTTAGTATTATCCACTGTTCAGGTAAATTTTAAAGTGTAAAGCCAGGTAAATGGCCAACTTGCTGGCGGTGAAAAGCAGGCGAAACAGCTGTTTTGATAGCGGTGACATCCGGCCTCTATCGATAGTTACCGGTGCACGTTTTGGAGTTTTTCCGATTAGAAACTAGCTTTTTTTTAACGGAAATCAAAAAATTAATTTAAATAATTATTTTTTCTTGTTATTGTTATTTTGCATACTAGTTCATGACGGAGCTTAACATAATACAGTTTTTGAACATATATTTGTTTTTAACATATACATATTTGAATTTTTAGCTAATCGATAGCAAAAACGGCTAAAATCTATCAAGAGCCTTGCTTTTGTCAGATATCGCTTTTTAAAAATTCAAAATTCAGTTAGTTGAGCTAATGACTCAAGAACCCAACTGGAAGAAGGTTTACGACCGCCTTGTTCGTAGTCACTGCAATGACCAAATCCAGGTGCATCTGCTGGAGCGCCAAGTGCGTCACTTCCGGTTAAAACGGGAACGCCTGCAAAACAAAATTGAGGAGGAGAGCAGGGGAGTGGAAGCCTGGTTGAAGGTTGTAGATCGTGTGCGTCGCGAAGTGGAGCGGTATCAGAAGCACAAACACCTCCTCAGCCCCAAAAAGCAAAAGCAATTGGACCAAATAATGCGGAAGTTGCCCATGAACACGTTGGAGGAGCGGGTGCGATTGATGGAGGTGTCGGAGAAGTTAACGCCGAAGCCGTGTATAGATGCTTCCCTTAAAAAAGCAGAAGACCAGGACAGCTCGAAGTACTCCGTTCCGGCTAGGAAACACTGTGATCCGAGGACTCAATCAAAGGTGGATAAGCGACTATCCAGGATTAATGCGGATTTGCAAGAAATGCGAGACATCCACGAGCAGACGATGGCCGTGATCCAAGATATACATGACATAATGGCCACCATCAATTATTTGGAGCATGGACAATGCACCAACATTGAGATCACTCCGTATGTGGCGACCACAAAGAATTCCTTGCCTTCCTTGAAGGCCACCATTAAAGTGGACCGGGTGTACAGGTCCAAGAACAAGAAACATTTCACTCGCGAACTAATGGACGTGCGTCCTCCATATATTTTGGACCATGTGCCTCAACTTAAGCCCGACATCTTTGAAATAACGGAGAGGAAACCGAAAAAGCAGCACTAAATCACTTCTGGTGGGGACAATAATTTATTACGCCAAGAATTAGTCTACTTAAACATAGTCTACTTGAACATGTTCTATGCTACGCTAATCCTGTCCGGCTTCCATTTGATATTTACAATTTACAATAACAACTAAACTCGATGATCACCTTTAGCTAAGGATAGAAAGTATTGGTTTGTGGCAAGGTGGTGGCAATCTTGAATAGCTTCAATTTACTGCGGAACCAATATCTTCCCATCCTTTTGCTAAATGATCCTTGAACTAAAACTTGAGTTCTGAAAGTCCAGCTGATTTCCGTGGCACTTTGTTATTATGGGGGTTATCCCAACTGGACTAAGAACCCTTTAGCCCATAAATTCCCTTATTCTGTGCAGTTGGTTCCATCAAGAATCACTGCTTTTATGGCCTGCCTCTGTGCTTTTGTGTTGGCTGCCGCCAAAGGAGCTCCTCAACAGAATCCCGGATTGGTGTGCTCGATGATGCAGCGCTTGCAGTACTTCTTTACCGCCCTGTAACCCTCGATGGACACTGGGCAATCCTGGATATTCAGCTGCTGTAATCCACGGCAGTAGTATGCGATGCACTGCACCCCGCGATCAGTGATCATGTCGCAGCTGCGCAGACTCAGCTTCTTCAGATTCGGACAACTTTCTGCCAGGGCCCGCAGTCCCGCGTCGCTAACATCGCACTTGCCAATGTCCAGGGCTCTCAGCCGCGGACAGGAACGGGCCAAAACGGTGATGGAGTCGTCACTAACAGCCTCACATCCCCGGGCGTTCAGATATCTCAGCTTGTAGCATCGCCTGGCAATGACCTTCAGTCCGGCATCCGAAACCCGTTCGCATTTGGCCACGGAAAGATAGCGAAGAGCCGCTCCCAACTTGGCCAACTCGTATAAACCAAAATCTGTGATGTTCAAACAGTCGGACACACTCAACTCTTTCAGCGAAACACAAAAACTGGGCACGAACTTCAGACCCGCATCTATTGGGGTAAGGAAAACAATTATTTATAGTGATTTAAAATTAAACTTTTTATCATTACTCACCAGTGATTTGTATGCAGCGACGCAGATACAGATAAACCAGCTGGGGACAGTTTTTGACCACGATCTTAAGGCCCATATCGTCGATGGCCATGCAGTCCGTGAGGTCCAGGTATTGCAGCAGGAGGCGTCTAGGTGGCTCCACGTGGGGATTCGGACTGATGCTGCTTACTTGGCTGCAGCCTGCAAAGCGCAATTGAAAATGTAAAAGTAATTTTATAAGTTTAGACATTGAAATGTATATCAAATTGGTTTCGTATAAACCACTTAAGCGATTAATATGAAAGCCAATTAAAAAGTCAATTCAATTTTGGGTGTACTCCAATTAATCTTATTAATATGATTAAGATCTTTTAAATGAAAAATAAAATTACAATTTAATTGAATCATTGATTCAACAGGTATTATATTCCCTAATCTTTTGAACCCGGAATGTAATTTAGTAAACACTCACCCGTCACATCGAGATGCTGCAGATTGCTGCACTTGGTCAGAGCCTCGACGAGAGCCTGATTGGAGACGCCCACGCAGGTCTGCAGCTGGAGGTGGGTCAGTTCCGGGCAGCGACGGGTGAGCAACTGGAGGCCCTTGTCTGAGATGCGGCAGCCATCGGCGAGCATCACGCGCTCCACTTCCGGACAGGCGCCATTGCAACTCTGGCCACACAACTGCCGGAAGATCATCTTGAGGATCTTGTCTCCATTCAGGTGCTCGCCCCTTAGCGAGATGACCTTCCAGAGGACGGGACGCCAGGCGAGGTGCTCGAATCTCCGACAGACCCGCGCCACGTTGCACAGCTCGCAGCTGTCCAGCCAGGAGAAGATCCGGACGACGGCCTCGTCGGGCAGGCGATCGAAGAGCGGTCCGCAGCGGAAGGGACCCTTGCGATTCCAAGGCGGCGGTCCAATGGCCGTGCCAGGTCCTCCTCCGCCCACTCCGTTGCTGGAGACTCCTCTTCGTGGCGTGGTGGTTGGCGTACTGCTGGCCATGATCCCCGCTCCACTGGCCGTCGTGGAGTTGGTCACGTTGCCCACGCCACCACTTGAATGGTGGCCAGTTGGCGAGGGCGAGACCAGTGTGGCATAGCCCTGGTCCAGGCTGGGCGAGAAGCGACCCAGGTTGCACAGGCCATCGGAGAGGCTCTGCCCCTTGGAGTGCAGGTGGTTGGAGTTCGAGCTCCGGTTCAGCAGGTAGCGGTCCGATCCGCTCGTCTCGCTCGGACTGGAAGTGCGCGGGTGGTGCATGAGTTCTGCGGGGAAAGTCACAAAAGAAAATATTAATTTACATTATAAAAATTATTTGGTATTGAATTGAAATAACCTGTACTTAATGAGTCTTTTTCAAATAAAAATTTATAAGCAATTGTTCACTGTTCATTAATTTTGTAAATTAATTAAAAGTTTACATAAAATAAAAGTGAACTAATAATTCATAAACACTCGCCAATAATGTTTACATTGATTACGTTCATAAATGAAGATCGGACGTTATTAGATATAAACAGATGTTTAATCTGTGGCGAGGAAAATATTCTTGACTGATGCGAGTGTATTTAGAATTAAAGTTAAATTTTTTTTATTTAAAAAGGACTTACCTGGCAGTCGCTCGTTCCCGCTGCCGCTGCTGTAGTCCTCCAGGTAGTAGCGCTCGTTCTGGAACTGACTCGCCTCGGCGCCCAAGGGAAGAGCTCGCAGGGCGTTGCCCAGATACAGGGACTCCATCTTCTTGTCCAGCAGGTACTGTGCCCCATTGCTGCCGCCGCCATTGCTGCTCAGGACAGTGGGCACACTGCATCTGCCTCCTTGAGAGCGTCTCCGTCCTCCCGGACCTCCGGTTCCTCCACTCCCACTGCCCGTTCCCCCGCCACCCGCATTGTTGTCACTGGAGTCCTCCGTATCCGCACTGTTGCCGTGCATCCAGCTGGGTCGCTGGGCCCCGAACTGTAGAACATGCTCGAGGGTGAGGAAGTTTCTGGGCTGCGGAACCGGTGCCACATTTCTGGAGGCAGGAGCCGGAAGTTCGGGGGGTTTCTTCGCATGCCGGCCCACAGAAGCCGTCGAATGGGCGCCATAGTTGGCCTGTTCGGGTCGCGAGTGGCGACCCCGGAGTTCGAAGGTGGCCGCCTTTTGCTGCACCATGTGGAGCACGGCTGCCGTTGAAGATGCCGTCGCCTGATCGCTGGGCGGCGTGGAGCCGCGGGAGGCCAGGGTTTCACCCACCACATCCATGCCGGGATTGGGTGACTTGCGCGACATCATTTTGTAGGCCTGCGGATCCAGGGGGCTGGAGCTCAGCGGATGCGGATGGTGGTAGTGGTCGCGCACCGCGTTGCTGTTGCGGCCCAAGGAGGCCAGTGGACACTCCAGGTCGCTGCTGCGACGGCTGCTCGTCTTGTGCGACATGGCTCGATCCTCTACGGAGGATTTGTCTCTCGGCTAGAGGCCTCTAGAAAGGCGCAGAAGTCTGCATCATAAAAATATAATATATAACTATTAACATTAACACAGAAAACCACGTAAACATTTTATTGAAAAAGGGGAGTAATTAGAAAAATTTAAATAAAGAACTTTAAAAAACTAAAAAAACACTCCTTGAACAAATAACTTATAATATTTTAATAATGATTTTATTAATTTATATATAGTATTATGGCATGCCTAATGAAACCCTTCAAATCATTAAGTGTATTTAATAATCAGCTTAAAATAATATAAACTTTAAAGTGGCACGCCTCTGATCGTTTTGTAATAATTTAATAACCCTTACAGATTGCAATAAAATGGGTGGAAATTTAAAATTAATTTTAATTCATTATAGCATGCTGTAATATTCGAAGCTCAAAAAGGTAAAAAAAAGCATTTATCGAGACAAAGTCTGTGTCGCAGTTTGGCAAATGGAATTCAAATCTGCGATGGCCATGGGAACACGGAATGCCTTTTGGATGTGTGTGGGTTGCTTTTGTGGGTCTGCATGCCATTCGCGATTATTAGAGGAAAAAGCGGCGATGGAGAGTCATAACTGGGAGTCGTAAATTGTATATATTTCTACGCGAAACCACTCCTCCGAATCTTAACTGCAGTTGACCTTTCAAATCTCGCATTTGCCGTTCGGCTTGTGGGTGAAATGAGCCGGGGATTGTTGGAATTATCGGTTGTTGGCAAACAAATCGCTCGGCGCACGTATATATTTTCACAATTAATAAGGGGATCGCCCACGCTCCAAACAAATCATTGGTTAGGTTTTTTCGGTTATATCTTTTATTTGGCCACACGTATGCTGTCATTTCCATTGACTCGCGGCTGGCTGCTCCATTCATTGTTGTTGGCCCGGAACCAGTTTTATATTTTATTTCGGGAAGGTGGGGGCTTCTTTTTCAGATGGGAATGGGTATGGGTATGGGGACGGAGATGAGGATGAGGATGGGGCCGCAGAAGGCGTGGGCTGGCTTGTGGCCATCCGCAATTTGGCCTAACCTCAAGACCTCAAATTAAGCCGAAAGTAACCCAATTCGGCAAGTTGGGAACAAGAGATCTGGCAGAAGCCATAACCATTTTCTGGCTTCAGCGGGCTTTGCATAATTTACTCGCCCAGCTAAGCTAAGCCATCTAAATAGAAAACTATAAATTTATTTCCAAATTTTACCGAGGCATTTCTGGGTGGGGCCCGCGTTTGTTTTTTGTTTGTTTGTGGCACACCTACGGAAAATAAAAACGGAGGGGCAAGGGGTAACATACTTTAAGACGAGTAAATCAAAAGCTGATCACAAGTGGAGCTGCTCCACTCGCCTGCTGGCTTTATTTTTATTGTAATCAAATTCGAAATTAATTTCGATTTTTGTGTTGTATCATTTCTGGCCGCGCCATAAATAAACACAAATAGGCAGCAATAATAACACGCAGCTCTAGCACATTTGGAGAGCCGACAGAAATATGTCTTGTCATTTGGCTTATGGCAGCTGATTAATCTTAGAATCTCCGAAACCGAAACCAAAAACCAAGCCGAGACCAAAGCCAAACCCAAACGCAAACCAAAACCGAAACCAAAACCAAAACCGAATCTCCATCTGAATCCGAGTCCGATGTGAAGTGGAGTCGCCGCCGCCTGTCGCCTGTCGCGCCTCATATGGAATGTCGCTCAACTGGTTCGAAAAGCCAAAGACGAAAATCTCCGAAGAAAGAAAGGAAAATGCTCCAAGCCAGAGATCACTCCACTCCACACTCCACTCTACTGGAGAGTCATTTGATTTTTTCCAACCTAGACCACGGCCAGCCATTGCCATAATTCACAATAGTTGGACAATAAATAATTAATAAAGCACGCTCGGTGTGTGGACAAAAGTGTCAAATGGTTCATTGGGCAACACAGCATGGAATTTGCATAAATTTACATGCAAATGTAATTCATTTCGTTTGTTTTATTCTTTTTGTCTCCGGGCTGAAGGGCTGAAATATCATTAGTAACGCATTTAGTGCTGTAAACAACCCACAGAGCTTGTAAAGTTCTTGTTGGCCAACACTTTAGGCTGAGATTAGGTCTTAGACAAGGCCAAGATATCAAAGGAGAAAGTTGTCTTCCAGGCAAATACATTTTAATAATATTGAATGAGCATTTACTAGACGTGAATACATATTTATTTAAATTAAACGTTGTGCCATAAACGATTTAGTATTATGTTATACTTAAAAGAGCAGTTCATATTATTTTAATTTTTGTGGGAACTTTAGTTTTCTCATAATTATATTAATACCTTGGACCTTCACGTTTGTTACTTTTTTAAGAATGGGAACTTCCGAAGCTATGATTTATTAAAATTAGTTAGTAATTTAATTACTTTAATAACCTATTACTTCACTTTTACTTTCGTAAACATTACTTTTATTAACAGTTTTAGTTCCACACACTCTCAAAATAAATGTAATGTTCCGGATTTCCTTCATATCTGTCCAGTTTCTCAATCAATTGCTGGCCAATTAGGCCGCGTATATATTTCAGCAACTTTATTGGGCAAATAAAAATTAAAAAATCCAACAAAGGCCAACGCTCGACGGCCATCTATTGGAAACTGGTCCAGAGGTCTGTATCTGTATCTATATCGATCTGTGTCGATGCTCCTATCTCTATCTCAACGTGAATGTCCATTTTTCCCCGTTTCGAAGCCAAGCCTCTTCAAGTGAGCTTAACGAGCACATAAAATATGACAACAACAAGTACTAATTATTTAATATGCTTAATGAGCAAATGTCGCCATGCTGGTGCCCACGGTGCACTCGAACATGGCAATACCACTCCGGCACACTGGGGAAAAGGTGGTAGAGTTATTAAGTGAAATTGCCAAGGTAGTTAAGCACTTGATTGCCGGTAAGTGGATAAGGTTGAGGGATTACAAATAATATACTATTATGGGATTGTTTTAGTGACCATGCTTATTACACTTTCCAACTTACAGTTTTATGTTACATACGGAATAACAAGGCTATGATAAACTGTTCAGAATATTACACTTCCCTCAGATTTAGTTCTTTTAATTAACCTTATTTTTTATTGAGCATCCAAGGAACTAAAATTTACTAGAATTATAAAAATTATTATTATGAAAATATTTTTGAATCTTTAAAAATTCTGGTAATATCAGGTATTTCTCCCTCTCCACAAACACAACAGTGTGACGAATTATTGATTGCTCTTGTAATAAACACATGGAATAGTTCGATGCCCACGTCGATGGTTTCCAGCACTGTGATTATAATTTGTTTGTAAGAAAATCTCTCCATGGATCCCATTGGCCACACTGTGCGCTGTGTGTCAAACTAATAACTGCTATTTCCATCGTTTGTGTGTGGCGACCGTTGTCTGCACATGGTTGAAATCTAACGCCGACTGCCAACAACAACAAGAAAAACAACAACTAGAATAACAACAACAACAACAACATCTTGGCGCCACAGCGGACGGCGAGCACCTTTTGGCCTCCATGGCTCGGCATGCTGAGCGCCTGGCCCGAAGTCTTGGCCCAAAGCCACCGTCGAATTACTTGATGTGAGTATGTGTTTGGGTTTGTGTGTGTGTGTGTGCGGCTACCGTTTGGTGCAGCAATTGCCGCTCTGTGGGTTGCTGCCTTTTGCATAGTGTCAATTTTGATTTACCAAAACGCTGATGTTGCTGCTGTGGCTTGCAATTCCTGTTGCAATTGCCGATGAAGCTGAAGTTGCCTTTGCCGCCAACCGCCACCACTGCCGCTGCCTTTGTGGTTCCACTCGGTTGTCAGCGCACCCGCCTAACACCTCCTGGGCAAATAGACACCCACTCTATGACTCTGGTCGGCGCTGCCTAGAAAGTGGGTGGCGCTGACAAGTTTTACAAAGTAAAAAAAAAAAAAAAAAAAAAAAAACACACCAAGCAAAAGTCATAAAAAATATTTTCTGCGCTTGCCAACAGTATAAAAAAAAAGAATAAAACTGGGCGCAGCTTCAACTTGATTTTCTCAGCGATTTCACACAAAATGCAATTAGCCCGACTTGCCTTAACTTATTTAAGTCTCGTTTATTATTTTGAGTTTGATTTAAATCTTTGTTCTTTTAAGCTCCATCAACGCGGGTTGCTAAACTAATTGCCGCAGGCACTTGGGTTAGGCAAATTTTGCGACATCGAGCTTGGGTATCGAAGTTGTTGCCATTCTTCAGTCCGCCAAAGAAGATGAACCTTTGGCATCTCTGCGAGGTGGAGTTGTAGAACCAATTGCGCATAAAAGCCTTACCTGAGCCCTCTTCCAGTGGCTGAAGGCATCTGCGTTTTACTGAAACCACATTTCGGTTAACAGATCTTTCACGATTTCGAGGTCAAAACAAACTTACTCGAAAGACTCTGGTGCAAACAGAACACAAAAAGTATTAGGAAACCCCAAATCTTCAACATCTTAGTAGAAACAATTTGTACTAACATGAATAAATATCAATTGATGGCTTTTATACCAGAATGTTTCCAGAGAAGCGGGTAATATTGGATCAGGCGTTATAAAACAAACTTGGTTGCTAAACTCACAGTGGCGGTGATAAACCAATATTTTGTTAGTTGGATGTTCTCTCTCATTATTTGATCGTACTTCTTAAAAACAGGTGTGCCATTATTGTAAAGAAATTGATTGCTTGCAGTTGAATTGAAAACAATTTTTATTTAATCAAATAAGGACTTAATAATTGTGGAAATACTTATTATATTTATATTTATTTTAAAATCACTTGGAATGCATTCTTAATTGATTCTTTTTATCCACTTGACCTGTTCCCACAATACAATTGGCAGTTTTGCAATGTAGGAAAGTTATTTGCATTTCCATTTCCATTAACTCGCCTTCCGAAAAACCTGAATCTTTGGCAAGTTCCCCATTTCTTGTTGTAGTACCAACGAGTAGAAGGAACGCTTCCAGTTCCTGAATTTCTTGGCAAGTAGCAGATCGCGTTACCTTCGTTTAGGTTAAAAGGGTCGAACTGTTTGAAATGACGTTAAAATATTTTATGGTGCTCTACTGACAGCTGCGGGTGTGAGGTGTGAAAACCATTAAGATCAGTCCGAGATATAGCCATTTAAACAGCATGATTTATGTGGGACTTGTAACTTGATAAATGCAAAAGGTACGAATGTTAGCCAGCTTTTATAGCTAAATTGGTTTGAAAACCGAAAGCCCCAAGTTAAACACCCTATAAACTGCAATGCGTTAACGAGGCATATCTATTAAACATTATTTATATTCATCAGATACATTTATGCGGGATTGTTTTTTACCTAATAACCCAATCAGCCAAGCAACACCATATAAAAACTGGCTTACCCAGTTAATACCTATAAAAAGTCCGAAATTTACTTATTTTATGGCGTTTTGCAGCAATTAGGCGAAGCTTAAATATTTATTTTAACACATTTAATTTGGTGAAACAACAGCTGAACTCCGTTTACCGTTCGCCCAAGTTAAATGAACTCCATTTCTGTGGCCACTCGCGTGTGTTTGTTGTGTCTATGCAAATATGCGATGAAAGGAATTGAAAGTTGACACAGTTCACAAAGAATTTCAAATTTTTGGCGAGCAGAAAGAGGGGAGAATGTGTTCGCGTTATTAAATATGTATGAATGGGCGGCATATTGGAATGGGCTATATATTCGCTTATGCATGTATAAATAGGCATTCATTATAAGGGTTCCAACTCAATAGGCCGTAGATGGGAAACTAAGAAGAGAGAAGAGATTGATCTGGTAGAAAGTATTGAATGGAACGAATGAAGAATCATTGTGGTACCGGAATTAATCAGAGCATTCAGCTTGACTCGCAGCTATGCGATATCTGCGGATATATCTCTGCCCGGCTAACTGTAAATTACTGGAATTTTGTATCAATTTGTAGATTCTGCAATCTCAATTACTTAGGCGAAAAAAACTTTCTCAGGAAGCTGCTCAGTGACTGTGGAAAAACTCGTTTAGATTTCCACTTTGCCATCGCTCATTTTTTGTTCACCGCTGATTGATCTGATAGCGCAAAAAAAATGTTTAATATATATGTATATACAGATATAAATTGATTTCTCAACGACTAAGCTCTATTTATCAAAATTGGACTTGGCTGCCGTTGAGTTTTTTTTTTGTGAAATTTCCTTAATGGTTTTGTGCCATTTCTTTCGTCATTATCTGTAACTAAAAATTTCACCCGAGCCATTAAAGAGGAACGCGCGGATTTTGGTCGAAATAATTAAACCGAATCTTATATAATGAACCGTGAACATAACAACAACCGTGAAGAGGATCCGCGGCGATTGAAACATTGAGACTGTCATCAATCAAAGGCAAATTCTTGGGCAGCTTCTCATTCGAGACTCGAGCATAATTCAAATTCCAAACGAACCAGTTCGTTGCCTGAGTCTTTTGTTTTGCCCGTCGCAGCGAGAAAGAACTTTTGGCAGCGACTGTGGGTAAAGTGGGGCTTAAGCCAAAATTAAACAGCCAGCCCAGGCGAAATAAATCACAAAATGAGACCCAGAAACGAGGCGAGCTCATTGCAAATTACATGCTGTTCAAGGGGCAGGTTGACGTTGACGGGGCCAACACAATTGCGGACGTGAATGATGGCACCACGGCTAATCCCCAGATACCCAGATTTCAGTTTCCAGATTCAAGATCCCCGATCTCGGATCTTGGATCCCCGAAACCGAAACATATAAATCCAGGCCAACTCAAAGTCCAATAAAAATGTCGAGCAAATGCAAAAAAAGCGACAAATGCTTGACGGACCAAATGTCAGAGTTAATTTATCTAAAAGCGTTGCCCGACTTTTCGCAAAAGTCGTCCGTCTCCCTCTCTTTCTCCCTCGTTTGCTGCCAAAAAGAGACATCGAGAGAGAGAGAGAGAGAGAAGGAGATCGGAAAATTTTAATTAAGACAAAATGTTTGAAATTCTGGGCAAGACAACGAGGTCTCTCTAACAAGAAGTCAACAATTTGCCGCGTGCAATTTTTCAAATTACATTTCATTACAGAAAAAGTGAGAGAGAAAGAGAGAGAGAGAGAGGGGTGGGGGAAAAGGGGGGTGAAAGATGGCCATGATCGAGTGATAAGTTGCAAGAGAAAAGCACCGTTTTGTCTCCGACTCTTGGCCACTTTTCACTCGGGAATCCGGCGAGAAAGAGAGCGAAACAGGTTATATCTCTGGTGGCCCGCATAACGAAAAGGCAAAAAAAAGAAGAAAAGCCAAAAGACGCCCGCATAGACAGCTTCAGCTCTTCCCTGCCGTCTAATATGCTACACATAAATTGTTTAACAAATTTAATTTTAAAGTTCAGCCAGCAAATGCCCTGCGACAACAACAACAATAAGAGCAAGTCACAATTGCGACAACAACTGAAGCAGCAACTATGTCAGTCACTCGGCAACATTGCCAACTAGCAGCAGAAACAACATTCCAGCTCAGTACCGCCGCCCCCTGCCCACCTGTACCGCCTGTTCCCCCTTCCACCGCCACTCCCCCCTCCTTCCGCCCAAGTAATCGTCAAGCTGGTAACTAGCTGCAGCTACAAGTTGCCGTTTCTAATACAAAACTGTCGCTTGTGGCGTGAGAGACTGCAAATGCGACTGCAACCACGAAGACCGAGCTCTCTTGGCCACGATTCGCGGCGAGCTTTGGCTTCGAGACAAAATAACACAACAACAAAAAACTCAGCGCGGAGAAAAATAAAAATAAAGGAAAAACAAAAAAAAATAAATAATAAAAAAATACGTCGCATTGCATTTTAGTATTTGCTGATTGCGCTGTTGCAAGAGCTATGAAATCATACAAACAGACACATAAATACCCGCACTCACACAGCGGAGGGAGACATACAATAAAAGTTGCGGGCAAGAAAGGAAAGTCGATTAGCTCCCGGGAAATATCGACCTGGAAATGCTCTATTAAGGCTAGGCCAAGGAAAAGGACTGGATAAATAATAATAATAGTATTTATTCATAAATTTAACTTGAACGACAAAATAGAAAAAAAGGAAGAGGTAAAATAACCTATTAAAAATAATTTAATAATTGCCTAGCTAAGCATTAGTTTCTATGCAATTTCTTTGTTTAATAAACACAAAAATTATATGAATATGTTTTAGTTTATTCCACATTTTGATAACTTTTATTATTTTGGCCATCAGAACCCCTTTGACATACTTTATAATGGCAAGACATTAAAATGCCAAAATCTGTGATAAATACAAAGGCATTTGTTATTTTTATGAGTTTTTGTTTTAGTGAAATAGCTTGGAGTTAATTACAAGAAAGGGGTAAAATTGTTCAGTTGTAAGTTAACCAAAAGACAAGACTTTCTAAGCAGTTAATGGATCCTGAGCAGTAAAGTTCGAAATATAAAAATAAGAAATAAATAAGGAAAAAACTGTTGAAAATCTCATGAAATCGGCGAGTGGCTTTTCCATGTCGGCGGCGGCGATGGCGGCAGCCTTTTGGCTTGAAAGCTTTTTGGCTTTGATTGGGGCTGCGGGCCATGGCTGACTGCCGTACTGCCAGACAGCCGGACAGTCGGACGAATGGATTGTGGATTGCATTGGCTCTCCAAGTGGCCAAGTAGTGGCCCGCTGGCCGGTTGGCCTGTCATTGCAATGCGCATATGTTGACATTTTTTGTAGGAAATATTTGAAATAGTTGGTAAATGCACGGCTAAACGGGCGATCTTTGGCCGCTTTCGATTCACCGCCGCTGGCTGGGAAAGTGCGACTCCGACACGAATGCCAAAATGTTGTGATATCAAATGACCAATTTGTAATCATTTAACATGCAGAAATTACAAGGGAGAAGCCAGAAATAATAAATTCGACCGCTTGTTTTCGGTCTCTGTTGGGGAGGAGTATACCATATGTAGTATGGTTTCCAGCTAACCGAACTACAGGGGCAAACGCCTCGGGCGATCCGCTAATGATGTGAAGAGCCGAAAACATTTGGCCAACACGTGTGCGAGCTCAACGATAGAATTATCTATCTATCTACTACGGAGTTCCAGGAAAATTATGAATATGTCTATTTTTCGCGGGGAAAAAAGGAAAGTCGTTCCACGGATAATTGCCAGGCAATAGATGTGTATGTGTGTATGTGTGTGTGGGGTTGTATGGGTGTTGTGTGAGGATGAAATTCAATCAGTTGGCCATAAACATATCCGTTGCAGCAACTCCTAGTTGAGTTAATGACCAGTCGAGAGATCCCGACTTCCTCTACGTGTATAATTTGCATGCAACCGCTGGTCGAGAGGGTGTATCTGTATCTGCATCGGTGGTTGTATCTCGCGAACGAGTTATATGCCAAAGTGGTGCAGCAACAACAATAAATATATATCTCCAGAGGTGTGATTTTAATGTGACAACTTTTGCAACTGGTTTGGGGTCGAGAGTTTTCCTCCTTTTTTCGTTTTTTTTTTGAGGTGTCACGGGGAATGGGCGTACGAATATTTCCATTTAAGTTTTACGATCGAGCAATATTAATAAAGAAAACTAAAGAATATATGCCTAAGAAGCCATACAGAGATAGACAGAAAGAGAGAGAAGAGGTAAATGAGAGGCTCTGTCTTAAAAAACCTGAATCTCGTATTGCAATTTAATAAGTTGTGATCGGTGGCTCTACCTTGATGATTATACAGGTAACTCCCTTCGGGTTCTCATTTATGCATCGCATAGCACTTTGTTTATTTGGCAGTTTTTGCAGCTTCATTTAATTTCCATTTATTTTCTCTGTTATTCCAGCACAAAACACACACTCGCACTAACACACACACACCAACACTGGCGCACTCTTTTCTCTACTTTATTTTCATTGCAGGTCGCATATGAGTGTGTGCGTCTCGATCTTTCACTGTGGCTCTTTGTGTTATCTTTTTTGCGCTCACTGACTCACGGCACCACCAACACACGCGCGCACTTCCACACACACACCTAGGACACGTAGGCACGCAACGAAGAGCGGCGCCTTGAGGTTCGATTGGGTCCGCTTCTACGACTCGTGGGCACACGGACACGCGGGCACCTGGATCCGTCGACAGGTAAATGGCATCTGAGCGCGAGCCGAGGCGCAGCGTTCGCAGAAGGCCCAAAGATCGCAGCAAGGTCTAAAGAGAGCCAATAGCTCTCTTGAGCGTGGTGAAATTCCGTTACAAGTGGTGGGACAAAAGCATTGCCAGGCGGAAAATAAAAGACTTAGGCAACGAACCTGTTGAATTCAAAAGTCAAAATCTTTTAAATAATACTCTTAATGTAGTCAAATCAATTATAAAAAAGTTATAAAACCATTCCAAATTATACTTAAGCTAAGAATTGATTCTTAGTTGGCTTTATTTCAAGTTATTTGATACTAACTGCCTTGTTTTAAAATATGTTGCATACTTGAAGGCGTGATTTGGGTTGCGTAAAATACAATGTTCATATAAATGCATCGACAATTGCACTGTCATCACAAAAAGGTCCTTCGATTGAGAATTGGATTTATAGTTCATTAAATTTTTTTTTTTAAATTGTACTTCACCACATTTTTTAACAGTTTCACCATAGTTATGAGTGCTCTCTCCCCTTGAAATACACCGCCTGTTGAACATCTTGTGCTACTTAAAAGTTTTTGTTGCTTTGCTGTTTGCTAAAATATTTCCACCACGGCATAACTAAATATGCCTGTGGGCTAAACTGGCATACGAGAAGAGAGCCAAGGTGGGAGAGCCATCAAGATCGCAGCTCGCAAGGCTGAAAAAAGAGGCTTAAGAGAACGGATGGGTTGCGTGCGTGTGAGTGAGCTGGATTACAGGCGCGCATGCGCAGCGCACGCCTCTCGCCCTCTCCCTCCCTCTTTTGTTTGCAATGGAATTTCTTTCTTTTCATAAACATGTTTTCTGGCCGCTGTTGTTGGCTTATTACAGCATTTAAGAGGCGAAGAGAGGGAGGGGCGATCGACGGCGGGGATCGGGCACACACTAAGCCCAAGTGGCATGAAACAAGTTCAGCGCTCGACTTCCACTTCGACAGCTCAGCTCAGTTCAGTTCAGCTCACCGATGGTCCGCTCTCGGCCTGCTGCGTTTCAGCCAGCTCGGCTCTTAACTTCTTCTTGAATGACTGCGGCGCAGGAATGCAGTGTTGTAAATAGCTAAGGCCGCAGCGACGTTCGCGGCGACTGCGACGCCGGCAGCGACTGCAAGCGGTCCGGTCCGGGCCACATTGTTGTTGGCCGCAGAATCAGAGCAAGTCGGAGGACGACCGGGCCAACAGATCGCGACAACGATCACAGCAGAGAACTCGAGCTGCAGTTTTGCACAGGGGAAAATTCAGTATACTTTGTGGTGCTAAAATAATAATTCTAACTGGTTAATTACAAAGATGAAACTGAGTTTCCTTTTTTTGGACTATGAACCATCAAAAAAGGAAATTTGGGGAGCTTACATTCTTAAGCATTTATTAAAAATATATTAAAATTTTTACTATTTCCTGACCAAAGGATGTTATATATGCTATAGTTCTTCCGCATCTGATTATAAAAATCTCTAATCAAATGAATTTGTCTTATAGCTTAATAATTTATTAAAAATAAACTTTTAGAAGGTTTTTGGGAACAGATCTTTCATTACTCAAAAAACTCTATCTAAAATCTAACAAATTTTATTTTTGTAAATATTTTACTGAAATCAGTAAAATCTATACTTCTTGTAACTAAATCATTTCTCCATGTGCATCTGAAAGCTGTTGCTGTTGCAGTTGGAGTTGCCGGAGCTGGAGCAATGAAAATTGCTGAGAGCGCCCCGAGGGCTTCCAAGTTGGATTGGGACTGGACATGGTTCGGGATCGGGCCTCTTGCCGCTGCTCTTGACCACGATCGATAAGGCTCACACTCACATACACACACGCACACACACACACAGGCGGTTACTTGGGTGCCTCGGTTCGTGTAGGTTATGTTTATGAATTGTCTTGCAGATTTTTGCACACGGAATTATGCGTTTATCTCAGAGGGTTAATTTCGCTGGCTGCTGTTGCTTTTGTTGTTGCTACTTTTGTTTTGTTGTTGCTCTCATTGTTGCTGCTGCTGCAGTTGCTGCTGTTTTCCATGGCCCGGGTAATTAAATCGCAAGAAGCTGATAATATATGGAAAAGGGCTCAAAGTGTGCAGGAAAATGGTTTTTGCTTGCCCCCTTCTTTGTGCTTTTTGGCCAAAAGGGTTTCTGGCTGCAATTGCTGTTGTGCCGCGGTTGCTGCTGTGCGCATTTGCCCGCTAGGAAATTATTCATGATAACAGAGATTGCATTGATTGATTGTGTGGCTGCACTTGGGATGGGTTCGCCGCGGATCGCCCGATCAGGCTGTGCGGCTTTGGGGCAAGTAAAGGGGGAAGGGGATGGGGAGAGGGGCAGGGGACAGGTGGTGGTGGCACGAGGTCGCCGGGTTGCTGGGAGCTGTTGCATCGACGGCTACCGCGCCTGAGTTATTTGGGCCATTAAATGTCTGTGATTTGGCCATAAGTTATAGGAACATCGACAATCAATTGTTGCCCCAACCTAGGCGGTTACCACATGTGGCAGTAGCTCGCCCCTGGCAACTCGGCTCTGAAACTTAATAGTCTTCGCGAGGAATTTGGAAAGAGGAACCATTGAAGGATGTTCACGTTGATTACGGGAAATAATAAAATCAGATTTTCCTTCATCATTTTATACGTTTTGTAAAGGCTTCTGTAAATAAATTATATCTATATATGTATGTACTTAAAAATTGAATCAAATTGAAGGTAAGTCAAATGTAATAAATAAAAATGTACTTATAGTTTTCAGAGCTTGAAAAAAGTAATTACAACTTTATAGAAAAATTTATGTTTCGTAAGTTCTTCAGAATTTTGTATCAACTAGACTTTTCTTTTATTCAAAGCAATAGTTTTTTATATTATTAATGCCTGCTAACTATAAATTTCATTAAATCCATTCTGACACTTTGACCTTGTTAGCGCCTTCACATGTTAATTATTTCTAATTAAAATACCCCAGTTAGGGGTGAACTGCTGTTCCAGTGGATAAAGTAACTCAAAACTGAATATAACCGCAGACATAAACCCAAATAGGAGCCTCTAAAATATGCAGCGGAAACGTTTTTGGCCTCGATTCGGCAGAAAGACAGTCGCAGAGTTGAACAACCCAGATGAGCAGAGTGGGGTTCCGGCTGTACGACCAAATATTGGCACAAATGAGCGTGTCTCCAGTGCATTGACGAGTCCCCCTTTTGGTATCGATCAAACAGGAGACGACTCGAAATCGGAGAGATTCCAGGACTGGCCCCCCTGCGAAATCGCTGGGCTGCCATGGCGACAATTGCATTGCAGCGAGGCAAATGGAAATGCTAATGGAAGTGTTTTGGAATCTCGCTGACAGGGCACGACGTGGCACCAAACCCATTACCAAGGCACACTAAACCATATAAACATTGGATGGGGATGGATATATAGTGTATAGTATATCATCAGCCCAACCGAGTCTATAAAAGCTTCGACTTGTGTTTGCGGCCGTTTCAGTTCAACTTCATCGCGTTGTCGTCCTGTCGTCCTGTCGCTCATTCTGGTTGCCGCAAAAGGAACAAAGAAACAATTAAAGTGCAGACCGCAAGGCGGAAGGAAGTGCATACCGCAAGTGATTCCCCCTGCCTCCCCCCTCTTCTCCCCCTCCAAGTCGAGTTGCATGTTGGATTGTGCCACAAAAACTTTTGAGCCAAGTTTCCCTTGCACTTCCACTTCGACTGCCACTTCCCCTTCTGCTGGCTTAACCCCCAAATGCCCCCCAGTGTAAAATGAAAGCAGACAACTTCTTCAAGTACGGCGCCCCTTTGTACCAACCGAAAAGTACACGGAGTCACTCGCAGTTGCAGAACCACTCCAGCAACATCGGCCATCTGACCTCGTCCTCGCTCCTCACGAGCGACGACCTGCGGCATCTCACCCAGCAGCGGGCCACCGGATACTCGGACAGGGAGAGCCTCGCCAGCGCCAGCAGTGCGGGTGGCCGGATTAAGCGCCGATCGAGGTAATCCTTTGCCAGCGGGTTGCCAAAGGGGGTTTCCATCCGGAGGGGGCAGCAAAAAGTTACCGTCGCTGACAGAAACAGTTTAGAAGAAGTTCGCCTTGTTGCAAAACAAAGCAATTGCATAACAAAGTAAGGTTGCAACGTCAAGGAACAACCGCAACCACTGGCGAACTGGTAAACATGTTAAGTGGAATAGAATAAATAGAGGTAGTGGGTCTCGAGAATACTTTTAGGAAAATCAAATTGGACAGGTTTAATATTTAATTTTAACTGGATTAAATCGTTTAAATTTTAAGGAAAAAGATATTATTCATAATACTTTTAAGAATAAATAACAAGTTATTTTACAAAATTAAGTCTAGAATACGTTACTTTCTTTATTACACGAATAACCACAGAAATCAAGGATAGACACTTAAGAAAAATAGTATGCTAATATGTTAACCAAAATTTGTTTTTCAAATTTTGATATTAATATTATGAATTCATAGGATTTTGTGTTATTAAAGAATTTATTATGGCTGGGAATTCTTTTTTAGTAATAGTAAGTTTTGAGAAAAATTCTGAACTTCAAGAAGTTGATTTAAACAATTTGCAGATAGTATCAATTAAATTGATCGAGGGAAAATACCTCGTACTAAAATCAGGTTATTGATTTATGCTTCGAAAATTCCTGTCCTATTTACATTACACAACCAACATATGCCAGCATTATTAGACAGTTTCTATACGAATCCCCGATCCACATGGTTATCTGCAAACACTTGCTGCAGGGTGGCCAGGATTTAACAACCCCTGTAAAGGTGTTGACTCAGCCATGACGGCTGTACTCGGCCACAGGAGCAGGGTTAAATTTCTATTTTGGCCAACTTGTCGTCCTGGCAACAACTGCACCACCAACTCCAATTGTCACCCCAAAAAGAACAGCTTCAGTTTCGCTTTTTCAGTTCCACTTTCCAATTCAGTTGCCGAGCAACTCCGTTTTCTAGTCGAATTCCGTGTAAAAATGTGATCTGCGATGAGTGTTCTTTGTTCCTTGTAATTTTTTAGAAACTTCCCCATGAAGTCCTCGAAGGGGGGCATCAGCAAGAAGAGCAAGACCATGGATTACACCAATTATGCCTACAATGAGGCAGTTGGTCGATTGAAGGTAATGCTGGCCGACAACTCCTATGTGGCACCGAAATTGGGCGGCGGTGTGTCTTCCTATTTGCGCAACTTCAACGAGGATTCTGGGGATAACTTCTCCGACAATCTATCGGTAAGATTTACCCTTTAAAATGGATTGAATACCTATTTAATAATACATTTCTTAAAGGTCATTGAGCGTCCCGTCTTCTCGGACATTTCCAAGTACTTGTCGCCCAGCCAGAAGTCGCGGATTAGCTCGTATCGCCCTAAAAAATCCTATGCCTCGGGTTATCTCTCGGCTTCCAAGGAGAACCTGGCTTCCACTGCAACTCTCTATCCGAGTAGTGCTGTTCCGGTTGTTCCAGCTGCTCCCCTTCCCTCGGATAGCGTTCCTGCTCCAGTGGAGATCTTCAGCTTTATCGAAAAGCAGGAGGACTACATCGAACAGCTGGAGAAGGAGTCCAAGTACTGTCGCAATGAGCTAACCAATCTACTTGGTAAAGTCAAGGATGTGATTAATGAGAACGAGCAGCTGACGGAGAACGCTCGATCTGAGTTGGTGGCTCTTGGTTCGGGGAAATCCCAGCCAGTGATTGCCACCACAAGTCCTTCCTCGGATAGTGACGAGCACTTGGTGTTCGCCAGTGGACGGAAGACTCCTTCAACTCCGAGGAAGAGTGCCACCAAGGGGCAAGTGCAGAGTCCTCGTTATGCCAGTGCTCCAAATATTGTCTACGAAGCCAGGATCAGCGAACTGGAAGCCGAATTGATGCAGGCCAGCATTGATCTCAGACGTTTGCGCACCGAAAACGAGGAGCTGAAGAGAAAGTTGGCCCACACAGATCCACTTTCAACTGTGGCCACTTTAACCGGAGGATCCAATTGCGAGTTGCATCGCAAGCAGCTGGAGAACCTTCAGCAGGATAAGAACACTCTGGAGGAGAGTGTTCGCCACCTGCAGAGGCTTTTGGACGAGGCCAAGGCTCAGGGTCAAGGAAGTGCCTCCTCCAAGCGATACATCAACGATCTGGTACAGATGGAACGATCGCAGGCGGAGTTGGAGGTGCGTCATCTGCGGGATGAACTGGACAGGCAGCACGAGAGGGTCAGGGAGCTGCAGCACGAGATGGCCAGGCGGCTGGCCGAGGAGCGGGCCAGTGCCGAGAGGCGGTACAACAGCCAGGTGGATCAGCTGGGCGGAGATCTCAGCTGCCAGTGGGAGCAGGTGGCCAAGCTTCAGTTGGATCTGGAGCGCCAGAAGCGCTATGAAACCGATCTCAAGCGGGATGTGGCGAGTAAGAATTCGCAGATCGAGGAGCTGAAAATGGAGCTGAGGGCCAACAGGACCACTTTCCTCGCTGACATGGCACAGGTGAATGCGGAGAAGCAGTCCTTGGAGCAGGACATCACTTCGCTGCGTCTGCAACTGGATCGAGCTGCCAGGGAAACCAAAACGGAGACCGCTCGTCTCACAGCCGAGATAAACTCCTTGAGGCAGCGATTGGATCGCGGGGATGCGGATCTCCTGCACTCCAAGAGGGAGGTCCTGCGGCTCAACGATGAGATAGCCAATCTGGAAAAGGAGGTAAGTGGAGTCAATAACCTAAAAAAATAGATTAAGGTAGAAAGGTTAAAGATAGCAATAACCCAAAAGTAAATACATATTAATATAGGAACGTGTAAAAGTGAATCATAACATAAAAAGATTAAATTTTCAAAAATTTTGGAATTAGTAAAATAAAATACATTATACTTTTGAAAGATTTTAGGATAAGTTAGCTTAAAATTAAAAGGCAAAGGAAGACTTTATTTAAAATATCACTTTTGAAAAGTATGTATTATATTTAATCCATCATAAGAATTATACTTTTAATATAACTTGTTTTTCACTTACCTTATGAATATCTAATTTTTTCAATATTACAGCTCGCTTATGGAGAGTTGAAAAACGAAATACGTCCCACCAAAAAAGACCTGGATAAGCGGATTTCCGAAATGCAGGATAAGCATGGTAAGTCACCAAGAATAATTACTGGATCACTTTTTCCTATCCACACCCCCTTCACCTATCACTATCCCCTCTATAAACTCTGGTTAAGCTATTGAAGCTCCTATTGTGTTCTGCGTGTGTGCCAATAAATACGAAAAATATCAAGATACTCCCAAAGATTCGAACTCAAAATTACCTACAGAGAAAGGTTCAATAGTTTATCCATGAGTTTTGTTCTGTAGCGCGTTGCATTTAATCCCATACCAAACTATAGTATATAACCACATAATTAAATCGAGTAATGTAATCTGTTTGTAGCGGGAACTGTAAATGAGCTTGAGGAAATGATAACATCTCAGAAGCAACTCATGGATAAACTGACGAACGAGTGTAAGACCCTAACGGGCAAATTAGAGGATACGACCTACAAGCACAAGTAATTATGATTAAATATAAACCAAGCTAATCACCAAGCAAAACTGCAATTCCGAACAATTAAAATCCCTATAAGATAGTTTTAATTTTAAGAGGTAAAATACTTACCATTTGATTTAGTTATTCAGTCACCTCTTAATTATTAAGACACCATGTAGAATATGATATATGATTGAGAGTCTATTGTGATATGGAAACCACCGCACAGCGCAATATGAAATTCAAGGCCAAACCAAAGTTTTCCCACCAGTATCCCTTCGAACACCAATTTTCTTTTTTCCGAGATTCGTTCCACACCAAAGCAAAAGCAAAAAGCAAAAGCAAAAGCTAAAAAAAACATCATAAACATCTCGACTTCGCTTGAGACTGGATTAACACGCTGTACTTGTACTTCTTCAAACCTTTCTTTTGCTGCCTGCTGAATGCCTGCCACGCAATTTTCATGGTAATTAGAACCAATTTGCGATCTTGCGATGCCAACAACAACAACAACAACAACAAGCGTGCCTTTGCCTTTGACCACAACAACAACAGCAACAACAGCAATTGCGGCTCCTACAACGTTAAAAGAAAGCGCAAACGAGTTCACTTTGCTGCCTGATTTGGAGCTGACCGATTTAGCAGGAGATCATGCTGCTGCTACTGCCACTGATGTTGCAGCAACCGATGTCGCAGATATTGCTGCTGTCGATGGCGATGAGATCCTGCAGAACATAATCAGAAGCAACGAGCGGTTGGCCAAGGAGTTGGCCAAAATGCCGCCGTTGCCAAAAATATCCAGCTACAAGAAGCCCAGAAGCCGCGCCGAATCAGCAGCAGCAACATCAGCAACATCTGCAACATCAGCACAACCAGCAACATCCAAGACAACCAAATGCTTTTGCCCCAGTTTCATGCGGCACAGACACGAGCATGAGCACATACACACGTTGCGCAGGCGCAGCAGCGGCAGCAACAGTGAATCAAATGCTGCATGTTGCCGCGGTCGCAGGCCGGCTGCAACATCAGCAATATCAAGCAACAGAGCGCGTACACAAACCACTCACCACAGCAGCAACAGCAACAGTAGCAACATGCAATGCCACGGTTATGAGTCCACCCTAGACACGCACCACCAACACGAGCACCACCGCACCACTTGCAACACAACCGCCGAGCTGCAACATCCTGGCTGCTGTCATCCCTGCAAAACGGAGCCGTTGCCCTGGTTGCAACAGCATCTGGTTTTGAATCAGACCCTCGGCGGTGCCACCGCCTGCCAGCCCGCGTGTCAAGTGCCCCACTTGACGGTGGATGCTGGTGGTGCGGCAGCAACAGCACCACCACCACCGGATGCCGCATCATCCGCCTGCCGAGGTCCCGGGAGCAATGCCTTGAGTGCCAGCATCAAGCCGAAGATGTACTTCGAGCAACTGTTGCGGCGCGAAGGTTGCCACAAGAAGCCACGTCCGCCGGTGAAGGTCGATGTCAATGTGCGACTGGTGCCCAAGCAGCCCAAGCCGAAGGTCAGCCGCTCCCTGAACGAGACCTTCGTCAAGGAGGTGGACGAGGTGGCCCAGGCCCTCAACGAAACCTTCGTCAAGGAGACCTCCCCGGAGTTGGCCAAAATCGATGAGCAGCTGGCGGAATTGGAGAACGATCGAGAACGGGAGGATCACGAGGAGGAGGATGAGGATGAGGTGGCGGAGGAGCAGGCCACCAAGCTTTGATAGTGTTTTTTTAGGCCACTAAATAGTCTTAAGTATAAGGTATATAATTAGGGAAAGGATTGATGGTACTTATTTAAATCACTTTATAGCAATTTTCAAGAAAACTTTGGTTGAAAATAGTTTAAAAAACTGTTTGCATTGAACACTATGATTTTATAAATTACTTATATATTTTAAAACACTACAAATTGCATCATCTTAAACATAAATATAAGGGGACTATATAGCATTATTATTAAATTATTTTAGCTAATTGAAGCTGCTTATAATGTATTGCAATAATCACAACACATATTTATTTAGAAGAGATGTATCTTTAATAACTAGCATTTACTATATATCTATTGTAATCTTTAGTTGTAGTTTTTAAGTTTTTATTTGTTTTTTAAGTTATTAATATTGTTTGTTGACTCTCAGTCTGGAGAAGCAGCAGCTGCGTGCCACAAACGAGCAGCTGATGTCACGCCTGAGGCAAATCTGGGGCAAATACAAGTCACAACTGCCCGTGCACCAAGGATCCCCGGAGTTGAGCTCCGAGGAGATGCGGGATGAGCACCCCCTAGAATCCCCGTCGGTAAGGATTATAATCAGTACCTGACTAATACGTTTCTTCTCCTTCTTTCTTCCCTCTGCTTTTCTTTCTATCTTTTTCTCTATCTTTCCAAACTTTTCATTTCCGAAGAGAGGAAATATCTGCTTTACAATCGAATCTAGAATATCTATCCAATCGCATGTTGAGTAATGAGGAGCATATGAGTAAATTAGATAGCTCACCACATGATTATACTAGCTTAGTTCCTGGAAAAGGTAAATTCCTTAAGGGGATATAAGTATATAACCAAATAGAGCACTGATTACACATGATTCATAATTCTTAAATGGTTTCACCACTCCAATCAGAAACGGAAGCTGAAGACCAGGAGGCGGAACTCCCCGATAAAAACGATATTTAGACCCAGTTACACTCCTACCACAATTACACTGAATAGCATTCCATTGGCGATCCACTCTAACCAAAATTCTTGTACTCACACAGCCGCTTACGACTACCAGGCAGCGACATATGGCACCCCAATCGAACCCATACAAAGCACCGCACCACCACACAACAGCGCCACCGACGACGACTACGCCACGTCCGCCGGTCTGGGCCTCTCCGATGGAGGAGGAGCAACTGCATCCGCCTCGGCAGCAGCAACAACAGCAGCAAGCATTGCAGCAGGAGCAGCAGCAGCAGCAGCTGCAGGAGAAGGATCCTCTGCAACGGGAAGGAAGAGCAGCATCGCCGACTACGGACTCCAGGATAACGATGACGAGAATCTCAAGGACAACCTTGGCCTGGGCGAGAAGCAGCAGCAGCAGCAACAGCAACAACAACAACAGGATGTGGACAGGCAACGGGAGCGGGAGGAGCGGGATCGGGAGCTCCAACAATTGCGGGAGCAGCGGGAGAAACGAGAAAGGGAAAGGGAGCGAGAAAGGGAACGCGAGCAGGCAGAGCAGCAGCAAACGGAGCAGCAGCAACAGTTGCAACAGCAACAACAACAACAGCAGCAGCAGCAGCAACCCTTGGCCGAAAGCAGTATTGCCAATGCCGGAAGCGCCAACTTGGCCGCCTACAACACCGATTACAGTGGCTACGATCAGCAGCAGTACGACGCGAGTGCCTACGATCCCAGTGCCTATGGCCAGCAGCCGTACGAGGGTCAGCAGTACGACTACGGGGATGCAGGAGCCGGCTACGATTACGGAGCAGCGGACTATGGACAGTCTGGATACCAGTATGACGCCACGCCAGGAGCAACCACAGCCGCAGCCACAGCCGCAACCGCTCAGCCGCAGTCCCAGTATCAAACGCAGCAGCGAGTGGCCACGGATTACAATCGATCGCCACCGACGACCGCGACAACGGGCATCACATCACCACCAGCAGGATCAGCATCAGGAGCAGCAGGATCAACTGGAGCAGCAGCCACGTCAGCATTATCATCTGGAGCAGGTGGAGCAACCGGAGCGAGCCGATCACAATCGCGCCCGGGCAGCGGAGCTGTGGGGTCAGCAGCTGCTGCTGGAACAGTCGCCGGCGGAAAATCCGCTCTGCCACAACAGCCTGCCGCGTCAGCCGCCGGCAAGAAGTAGTTGGAGTCCCGCCTTCGAGGATCGCCTCTCGCTGGAGTGCTCCATCAGCAGTCCCAGCCTGATGCGATCGTCCAACGATGAGACCTGCTCGGAACTGGCCGATCTCAGCGAGACCTTCTTGGTTTTGGTCGAGGGTTCAGAAGGAGAGGAGGAGGATCAAGAAGAGGAGAGCCTGTCGCCGGCCCACACCACCATCATCACGGCCAGGAGGTCCAGTGCTCCGGCGGTGGTCCAGCAGGCGGACATTGCCAACGAAACAGTCACCATCGAGCGCCATCTAGATGCCCAGGAACAGGAATAAGAGTAGGGAATGGGATCAGCAGCACCGAGTTCTCCAGCAACAGCAGTTTCTTCAGTCAACATACGTATAGTACTTCTACTCATGTGTTCCGCGATTAATCAAAGAAAATAAATTCAAGTTTTTTAACTAATAAAACAATTAGAAGACAAAATGTATACAACTTAATAATTAGTTTTTTTAACGTTGCCTAACTTAGTGGTTGGTTTTCATAGGTTTCGGATTTTTAAATTTTTTTTTATAGATTATTATGGAATAAGATTGAAGCTTTTCAAGGCAGTAAATTTTTTTTTAAGAGTGGAAATTTTTACAAAACAAAACATAACTTTTTTAAATTCTTTATTGTTATCTAGCTACTCAAAGGAATTTAAATTGGATATTTTTTAATGCTGATTGCTATTACGGTTTCGATTTGCAAAGTTTTTTATCTTCTTATTAGTCAACATAATTATAAAATACATTTTGTATGAAGGAAGATGAGACCTTGATTCTGCTTTCAAACAACCTAAAGAAATTGTCTCCTGCGAATCTGGATTAATGACTGCGTAATACTTAAACGTCACAAACACTTTTCCTCTCCGCACACTTTCATATAGTTGACTTTTCCCTCTGCTCAATTTCCGCGAGCAATAACTATTAATGATGGAACTAATAAACAACTTCGTGATGTAGGAGCAAATGCCTTGGGGCCACGCAATGCTGTCAAAGTAACTAAAACGATAGACAGACGGACATTCTTCATGTCCTGACTGACGTGCTCGTCAATTGGCCGCGACAACCGGGCCAAGAACTCATAAAGTGCCAAAATAAAATGAACTTGACTTTCAGTTTGGAGGTTAGTGTTTTGCCTTTTTCGATGAGGTAGCACTGCGACACGAATTAAACTAATTTTATTGAGTTTGCTAGATGGGGAGGTGGTGTATACTATAGTATCGATGATCTAGGAAGCATCTGGATAGGCGGTGGCTATCAGCCGCATGCCATTCCACTTCCATCCGTGTGACACAATCGAGACGGAGGCGTGCCCCAGTTGCAAGTTGCAGGGCTCCTCCTCCGCCGTGGTCAGAAAGCAGGCGGTGTACAGACTCATCTCCAGTTCGGGTGAGGTGCCCACAAAGAATGAGTTCACCGGCTTGTTCATGTTGTGGAAGGTGTGCCGTAGGCTAAGATGCATTTGATTGGGCTAAAAAGGGTTTAAAGGGAAAATTGAATAAGTTACAAGCCCAAATTTACATTATAACTACTTTACAATATTTACGTAAATAATTATACAAAGAGAAAAGCTTAAAAAGTTATTAAATTAGATTGTTTTACGTAAATATTTTGTTCAATTTTTAAAAATGTTTTATATAGAACTAATTGTTATTTTTAAAGACTTTTTGACCCGCCTTTTTAACCTTATACACCTCATTTCCATCTGCATTTTCCGTGAATTTCTAACTACATTTGCCATAAAAACTCACCTTTCCCATTTCCTGATGTCTTAACCAGCCTTTGTAGTCCACATTGCCGCGTTGCTCCTGATCGGCAAAGTAGAGCCAGTTGTGCAGTCCCAGGACCTTCTGGTCGCGAATCTCAGCCATGAAAACATGTTCGAAACTGGAGCTTCCCACGATGCCACGTCCTCGGGAATAGGGAGTGAACCAAAGTTCTTGTAGTAAACGCAGCTGATCATCGTACTCAATGCTGACGACATCTATTGGGAGATGTGATTTAGTTAGGTGGTCTATTGAGATACTGAACTAGCTTACCCTTGTTTACAAGATATTTCATGGTGAGCTTCATCACCCGAGTGTTCATCACGGTCCTGAGGAAATCGTGTTGCTCCTGCAAATGCTCGGGAGTTGGTTTCTCTGCAACGGAAACATCCAACTCGTAGTTGTCGAAAAGCCGCATTAGAAGGGCTGTGGTGGAATTGGCATCCCTGGCCAGAAGATCCTGATGCAGTTCGAAGAGACTGGAAAAAAAAGAATGATTAACGATTAAACAGGAGTTATAAACAATAAGACTAACTAACTAATTTATTTAGACTGTAGTGCAAAACAGATATCTTTTAGATTTTCTGAATTCTTAACGATGCAGTAAACTTTTAAAAAACTATTATATTTTACATCTTAGTATTTTTAAACTCTAAAAAAATAAATAAATTAAAAAACTATTCGAATTTCAAAGGTAAACAAAGTATACATTTTACACACATTTCTCGTGCGGCTAATTTGACTAATTAGACCCCTTTGAACCATAGTACTAGGGCAAAATTCTAGTTATCTTCAAATTCGGAAATACTTACTTCCTAGGTGCTTTATCATCGTGGGCACCGGACGTGGTCTTCCCCTGGAGATTCACCTTGTAGAGGTACGGACTGACCTCGGTCTCCTCCGCGTAGAGATTCTTGGAGAGGGTCAGAACGTCATCGGGCGTTCTGGGCAGCGGCTTGCTGTGGAAGTACTCTAAGAGAAACCCCAATTAGTACCGAACGATTCTCTTAGCGATTATATCTAAGAGAGACTACTCACCGTAGAAGTGCCAACTCAAGATGCCAATGGTGATCAGCAGGCCGACGATCACGAATCTCTTGAGTTTCTGGCATTTGGCACTGTCGATGTTGCCACTGCTGTTTGTTTGCTGCTGCACTGCGTCCATTATGGTATTATTATGGTACAATTATCTAATAACGATTAGTCAAACATTTGTTTTTGTGCCTTTGTTTGTGTCCCCTGTTTTCGCTGTTTATCTTTGACCGAAACTTTCGCGCTGATCGTGTTTTATCTGCTCATTCCGACCGACTTGCTCTGTGGCTAAAACGCCACTGAGAAGTTTATTCCAGTGCTGATCCGCCTGCTCACATGCTGAATACATGAGCAGTGCCCCCGAAAATTGGATAAATTATTCTCCCTCTCTCTTTCTGGTGGCTCTTTTGGGTATTCATGCTCTCTGGGGGATCATCTGTTGTCGTTTGTTTTCACCAACCGCTTCGCCAGCAGCTTTTGTTTTCTCAGGACCGGATTCGATGGGCCCGGTTTTGTATATATTTGCTTAAGCTTAAGTTCCTACGAACATAATAAAATATGTCAGCATATGGTACACATTGATACTATATTTTCCAGGAAAGTAGAGCAACTTACGTGACCCCATTTAGTAGTTTTTGTAAAGGGGTTGTCTGTCGATAAAGTTTAGCAAAGCTGATATTTGGAAATAAAAACTCTATTGTTTTTGTTTCAGAAATATTTTAATCCGATTTAGCTTTAGATTTACGATCTATAACTTTTTACAAAGAAATACTTTAAGATCTATTTAAGACTCCAATTTACATTACATTAACATTTTTATTGTGTTTCATATTCCAAAAGATAAAAGTAACAACAAATTTTGTTCACTTTTTTACTAATTTAAAATTTGCCTAAAATAGTTTTTATAATATCTTTAGCACTATTATTAAATTTAACTTTTTTGGATACAAAGAACCAGTATAAAATAACACATGCCTAGCAAACAGTAATGTTCTTACTATTGAAATAATTTCATGCATAAGTATTAATAATTCCCAAGAACGTGACTGAAATCACTCATTTGGGGGCAGTTAAACAAAGAATTAAATTACGAAGTTAACAATTTGTTTGTTTCGCCAAATATCTGGTCATTTGTATTGCCGTCTCGACTGCATTATAATTACTTCCAAAACGGGTCTGATCCAAAGTGTGCGCCTCAAAAAACTTTCAGCCGGAAACTATGACGTGATTAGAAAAAAATCAACAAATAAATTGTGTGCAAAATATTGGATAATTGCATACTTAAAGTTAAAGTGTGAAATTTTTGTCAAGGAATGACGTCTCTTTTTATAACAGCAATTTATTTTATTCGACAGCAGTATAATTACATCCAAATCGGTTATAAATAGTAGTCCATCGCCAAAACAATTATTTAAACCGAAATAATATCTACAATTTGATACAAAGTAGTTTGGCAATCATAATATACATTTTCTTTGCAACATGCTAAGTATAAATTAACGTTATTGTAGACTTCTTCAAGACCACCAAAACAAATTGCTTGACACGAATAATTGACACGATAGCCAAAGTTAAAAATGCTGGGATAACTTTACAATGGCACTGAACACAACCCGTTAAAGATTAAAGATTATTTTAAATTCGATTCATGGATTTCAGATGATTAAAAGCCTTAATAATTATTCAAATTAATTATGGTTTAAATAATTAAGAAATAGTCTCACGCAATATTGACAAAAACTGGGGAAATGGCTGAGCTATACCTACACCCAAAACTCGTTTCACTATTCGGCTTCTGGCTGATAGCAAACGATGATTAGAAGTTCGGAAAAATGTGTAGATTCGTTTGTTGCGTTCATCTTGTTTTTGTTTTTATTGCCGCTCGGGAATCTTTTATAAGGCCCAGGCGAGCCACAAACTTTGTTCAGTTCGACTTTTAACGGCGTCGTGAACAGTTGCTCGAATTTAAATAAAACTTGTGAGTGTATATTTAAACCTAGTGTTCTATCTGATCTATAAATGAAAATATTTCAAATTAAGTTGATTACATATGAATTGTCTCTGCTCACAATACTCGTAATTATATACAAGAAAACAATTAATAGTCTCTGTGTGGTGTGACATTTGAATGGAACTTCGTTGTGCGACATACATTGATTTTGTTTGTTTACTGGTTGGCCTCTTGATTAAATGGGGATCAATAGGAATAAGCTAGAAATATTTGTTCAGTCAGTGATAATGAATACTATACTATATACTATATGAAATAGCTCGAGAATTTCACAACTGATAACAGGCATTTGTTTAAAATATTGAACTGAACAAACGTCTGTATTTAATAAAAATATATTATTTTTTGATTTCAAAGTGCAATAATTTCGAAAGAAAAGCCAATTTGTGCGTTGTAAAATAAAACTTAAGTCTTTTGAAGATCGACTGCATATTAATTTAACAATAAACTGATTTGCTCATTAGGATTCTCGGAAAATGACTCCTAAACCAGCTATAACTAATCAACATCATACTTTTAAGATATCCATTTTAATACAATTAATTTATATTTTTTTAATTTGAAGTTTATTTTAAGTCCTTCAAGTTATTTTGTATTTTTGAACCAAGCCCTTAGAGTTAACGGTTATCTAAGCTTTTCTTCGGTATGAGCCGAAGCTTTTGGGAGATAGCTTTGTTAGAGTCATCGCTACGCTCTTCCATAATCACAGAAGGTCCACAGGTGTCACTGGAACTCAATTGCTTTGGGCGTGTTAGCTCAATATTTGCAGCCGTATTTGGTACTTATTATAAGAGGTAATGCCTTATAAGCATTCTGTCTATAGTTTTTAGATCGGCATGACCGGAATATCAATTGTTTTGGCAGGTGGCACTCCTCGAGCCCCTTAAACTACGCCCCTGTGTCGGTTCTCCCTCTCTTTGGAGGACAGCTTTTGCTCCACAAGGTTTTTGGCGGGCACTCTCTCGCGAATCTTTGCCGGCAGAGAGTGCGTAATTGGTGAATTCGCTCCACCGAAGGCCCCACAATTTGCCCGCGCTCAGTTTTCAATCTGAACGGAACGTGAGCGGTTCTTTTAAGCCCCCAATTCGCTATCTACGGTCCGGTCTTCGGTTTTCAACGGCACAAAAACCAATCAAGTTCGCCAATAAAAAATAGTAAACAAATACATCGAAAGCGATAATAATATATATATGCACAAATAAAAAGAAAAACTAAAAAACAGAAAAGAAGAAAGAGGCAACAATTGTGCGACAGTGGAACGCTAGCGGAATTATGAAAGAATTGGGTGAATAAAACGAACGGCAAACGAACTGTAAATACGCACTATCTTCCTCATCGAAAGCGCTCAACAGGCAACAGCTGATTAAAACGCTCTCCATTCTGTGCGTTTTTACTTTGTATATTTAAATTTCGATTTGATTCGTTCGGGGCTGGATTTTTGCATTGCCAGCCATAAAAGAGCCGCACAGCGGCGGACTTGGAATTTATGGATTTCTGTGGTGTCCTTGCAAACAAGTGTCGCCTCTGGCAGCAGCAGATTGTTATTGTTGTTTTTTGTGATTACCATTTGTTGTTGTCCTTATTGTTGTTCTTTCTGTTGTTGTGGCAGTCATTATCCTTAATGCCCGTGATGAGCAGCACATGAGTGTGCATCTGTGTGTCTGAGTGGCTGTGTGTGAATCCTGGCAATACGGCTTTAAACACAATTTAAAAAAGATTTAAAGATTCATTTCAAGCGGTGACATTTAAATGATTTATTCCTTTTTGAATTTCTGATTTTTAAGCTCAATCGGAAAAGTCATTTTCAATATAAATAGATATTGGTCTTATAAAATAAATAAATCCGTTATCTTTGCTTCAACAAATACATTTTATAGTCAAAAGCATTCTTGTATTGAGATACGTTTAAAAAAACAAATTACTTTAATTTAATCTGTACTATTGTCTTTTCATGCTATCAAATTTGGCGTACACAATTTACTTAAACTGTCAATATAATTAATTAAAATTGATTTCGATTTGATGTATCAAAAGTTCCTTGAAACTGTTATTTAATCCGTATTAAACTTCAAAGCTGATATTTATCCAACTTTAATTCACAAATGCATAAACTTTCAGGGCCTTTGAAAATTGTTTTAAAGTTTTTATAAACCAGCTCATATTTCGAGAGCTCGCAGCACTTCTCATCGGCCACTTGGCAACCGACAGAATGTTGTTTTTGAGTTCTTTAAAATAAATTCACATACCGAGTGGCGAAAAGAGACAGGAACAGAATTGCAACCAAATCCATAGCGACACTTGAGTGGCAGCATCACAAAACAAATATACACATACACTCGCACAAACACATTCCTGTAGCAGGCACTTTGGCAACACCTGACCTGCCAGCCTGCCCCCCGCAGCCACTCCCCTTTCGCCTGCACCGCCCACCTCCCACCGCCCCCCTCCACCTGCTCCACTCGGCTGGCTGTCTAGTAGCTGTCCATCAAGTTTGCCTTAATTTAATTAAGCGCTCAATGTCCTTACTGGCAACACTCTCTCACCCGTACTCACAATACCAGAAAAGCACGGAAAACAATTTGATTAATTTATAGGCAAGGATAAATGATCAAACTGAACTGATAAAACTAAATAACCAATCTTTTAAAAGCATTCATTAGCAAAAAATAATGAGTAAAATTATAGAACAGAAGTGTAATAAAAAAACATTATATAGGTGAAAGTGGAATTTTAAAATTTATTTAAAATTCATAAAAATTTTCAACACAATCGAAATAAGCATATAAAGCAATAAATAAAATTACAAGGCTTTCCAAACCTTTAAACTTATTAGGATCTCAGGATAGAAGTTCTCTTAAACAGTTTCTTACAAGTATAAAACCAAATTTTCTCACAGTGCTGGGCCACAAGGCAACGCTTGATTTGTTGCTGCCTTTTTTCACTCTTGACTGCAGCCGACACTCACACTCGCGCGGATACACACACACACCAGTGGGCAGCACTTATACACTTACAGGCCCAGACTTGAACCGCAAAAGCCACAGGCCATTTTGGCATGAAGGATATTACAAAACGCACACAGACCCGCACATCCTGCCATTCGAACGCCGCTCACATACACATACGATGTGTGTCAGTGTACTGGTGCTCCCCGAAGGGGTCTTTTAGACAAGGTTACTGAGAGATGGCAAATTCTTTATAGTGGATCTTTGCCCGAACCGCCCACCACTCACCTCCTCCCCCTCTTTTTTTGCCAGCAAAAAGCAACAATAACATGGCGGCCACCTGCTGCGGCTGCACTTGAGTCAATTTTCCTGTTTTTTCCGCCTGCTAAGTTCCCTGACCACCCAGCTCCACATATCTATATCTATTCCGTTTGTATTTTAAATTTTTAATCAACTTTTGTGTTTACTTACTTTTTTCCTAGAATTTTCCTTGGCACGCTACTGTGTTTGTTTTGTCGTCGGCAAAATGTTTTTGTTTTTAAGTAAAAGGATAAACAGTCAGGTCAAGTAAAGAAGCTAAATACTAGATTTAGTATTCCTCTAATTCCGCTTTCTTAAAGGAAAGTTTCTGGTGGTTTCATACACACTTATTTACAAAATGCGGTTTGCATTTAAATTATATTTCTTGTTTGACTTACATGTATCGAAAATATTTGTTTGCAAATTAGTAAATAAATTGTATTTGTGAAATTCTATTTGACTAAATCTCTCTCGACATAATCATTTGCATATTAGTTTGATTTTGTGAGCACTCTTGCTGTTTACATTTCCGCTTTTCGCACACTGGGAATTCGCCCGCACCCTCTCCCATTCGCAATACCTTTCGCCATCTCCCCCCAACTCTTCGTGGAATACGGGGGAATGATAATTTTTGCCAGCGAAAGCCAGCCACAAAGCACGGGGGATTGGGGGTCAACTGGGGGCAGGTCGAGGGCTGGGGGTTGGGTCAGCTAATGAACTCGAGAGCAGGCCATGCTGGCTGGAAAACGATTAGAGATGATAACCTATTACATAAGCCGATTTTTAGATTTTAACCTTTTTTTTAACTAAGTTTTCAGTTGTCTCTAGTATATATTTTTAATTGTTTTGAAACAGAGTTTGGTACACAATAAAACAGTATCGTGTACTTTATAAGTTGTAAAAATGTTAAAAAATATTTTTAAACTTTTAAACCATATTTACACAATTATTTTTTAATTTTCACGATGCCATCTCTATAACACGGTGATGTTAAAAAATGTATGAGTAAGTGGGTTAGGTTTTTGGGATTTTGGTTAGGGGAGGAAGGTGTATTGGGCTTTTGCCTCGGCTTAACTGACAGATTTGGGCTTGGATATAATGACGATGATGATGATGTTTTCCTTTTGTTGCCCGACGACGAAGGCATTGACTTTTAGCACGTGCTGTGCGCACATTTATATAAGCTACTGTTTGTTGTTTTGATTTTGCTTTTTGCCGGGAAAATTCGGCTGCATTGTAAAACTGTCAATTACAATTAGAGCGAAAAAAGAGAGGATAAACCAAATTGACTTAATGCTATTTTCCCCTTACATTTTCAGCTTAAAAGCCACAAAGAGAGGCCCAAAACGCTAAGAGTGAGTTAGAAAGTGAAAACTGACGAGAACGGAGCGTAAAAATGAACAGCGATGAGGTGCAACTGATCAAGAAGACCTGGGAAATTCCCGTGGCAACACCCACAGATTCTGGAGCGGCGATACTGACATTATTCTTCAACCGCTTTCCGTCCAACTTGGAAAAGTTTCCCTTCCGAGATGTTCCACTGGAGGAGCTAAGCGTGAGTCTTATAAATATATATAAATATTTAAAATGGCTGGGTATACTCACTTGGTTTATTTTGTTTATAGACAAACCCACGCTTTCGAGCGCATGCCGGCAGGATAATTCGGGTCTTCGACGAGTCCATCCAGGTCCTGGGGCAGGATGGCGATTTGGAGAAGCTGGACGAGATTTGGACCAAAATTGCTGTCAGCCACATTCCACGGGCCATTTCCAAGGAATCGTACAATGTGAGTCTCTGATTATAGGAAGTTAACTAAAAGAAACGAATTTAGAAAACATTAATAATTGTAGAAATACACTTGAAAGTCTTCATAAGTCAAAAGTACACTTTTATTAGTTATATGAAAATTAATTTTTAAAAAATATGATGCCTATAAGCCTAACCCAAAAAAAAAGTAATTTTAACAATTTAACCAATTTATATTCAATTTTGTTTGACTAGATTAAAGATAGCATAGTTAATTTTAAAATTTGATATTGTATGTATAATAAAGTAATTTCTTAAAATTTCTTCAAAAATTAATAATTGGCAGAATGGCTCTTTTGAGTATACTTGCACAAGTTGACCAATTGTTTAAACTCAAAACGTTGTTGGATTAGATTAAGCTGCCATTCGGGTAGTAGTGCGTTAATCAATAACATAATTAATTTCTACTTTTTTATACATGGGAAAAAAAAATTATTTATCTAAGATTTTAAATAAATTTGAAATTCTTTACCTTTTGCAGCAACTAAAAGGCGTTATCCTGGAGGTGCTGACCGCCGCCTGCAGTCTGGACGAGAGCCAAGCGGCCACGTGGGGCAAGCTGGTGGACCACGTCTACGGCATCATATTCAAGGCGATCGACGACGATGGCAACGCCAAGTAGAGGAGACACCTGCAGCAGGTGCAACCGATTTCGGGATGCACCTGATTTCGGTGGTGGCAATTGCAACACATGCACAGCTTATGTAGTTCTAAGTAATTGATAAATGTTAGCTATTCTCATTTTGTAATAATGAATGCGAATGTCCAAAGCAAACAAACACACACTGGAAACTTATGTCTGCGTAGAGCTACTCACACACGCACACCCCACACACAGACACAGACACTGACACACACACACACCCGCACTTGCATTGCTCTGTAAAGCTTTAACCCATTGTCAGCCTTAAGCACTTGATAACAAAGGAATAAATGAATTCAGCAGAGGAAAAATAAAAAGCTTATGAATAAAATCCAGTTTAAAATCAAACGTTATTTTATTTTATTTTTACGATTTATACTCGTATATAAATATTTCTTTTAAATTCTGTAATATTTTCCCCCATTTCTATAGTCGTTTTTTAAAGCTCGATTCAATTTTGCTATAAAAAACTAGGTAAACTGGTTTCTCTTTATTTTGTGAAATATGTAAACATGATTAATCTCATATATTATGTATTATTTAGTGCGGGCAATATTATCAATCTTAAATTTAAATTATAACCAGAAAATTTTAAAACGTAAAGTATTTCAATTGAAAATGGGTTCTATACAAACGCATTTCCATTTGAAACTACCTCACTTTGTGTCGCAAAGCAATAGAGTATTTAAACGGCTTTCATTCCGTAAAGCCGCATGAAATCATAATTATTATAATTGTCCACTCACTCATAACTAGGACAACGCGAAAGCATTTAAGCACACTCGAAAACCATTTCCGCCCATGATTTTCCGCAACGCACCGCAACTCACACTATAAGTTTGAACAATCGTTCAGCTGCGGCCGAGTTGAAAATGCTATTAATTTCGGTGGATTTAAAAGCACATAAGCAGTGGGTGGGGGAAAAACATCCTGGAAAACCGGATAAGCTGCTGCTGTTTCAGCTAAAATGCGTATGCCGTTTAAAAATATGCGGCGTATGAGCAATGCAGGCGGGTAACATTGCGTATACGCAATGAAAGCATTTGCAAATGAAAGCGATTCAGGAAGTGTTTAAAAATATACCAAGAAAAAAGGAAATGAATCGAGAGCTTTCTAAAATGGGTCAACAAATATTTAATATAGGAAAACAATTATTTATTTTCCAAAATTATTGTTCCTACTACTACTACTTACAAACGCTCCAATTAGAGGCGTATCAACTCGTAGATTTTTAACCAATTAACTTTGACCAATGACAACAGAGCCCGTTGAGTTAACAGCAGTCCCACAGCTAAACTGTTATGTCCCCCTGTTATCTAACTGTCTCCTTATCATTGGTGAAATGTTCGGGGTGTTGGTGAAATGTTCCACCAAAACGCCTTCGACGAGCTTTTCCATAGTTTGGCCAATAATGAAGAACAAAAAATAACAAAGCGACCAGTTCAGTTTACCAAAGCGACCGCGAATTTCAGTTCAATTCCGGCAACGCGCGCGTATCGAAGTGAGCGAGAAATTCTTTGTTGACGCGAACAAATCCCTCGCGATACATTTGGTGATATTTTTTTGCTTGCCATTCACTGCAGAATATATATTATTTTCACACGGCCCAGTGAGAGTGCGTTTTTGTTACAAACAAACTAATGTCGGAGAACTGTCTGCCGTCAATCGTAAAAATATAAAATGTGTACAAGTTTCGAAAAGTGTTTGCACGATCTCTAATGCTCTCGAATGGTATTTAAACAAGCAGAGAAAGCAGATTGTTATAGAAAACTAGTGAAAATAAATGTAAAGAGTTTAATATATTCCAGAAAGGGGAAAAAGGTAAGCTCGGAGCTTCTCCTTTGAAGCCTATCACCAGCATTCCGGACATTCATCCTCAAGTCTTCACGAACTCTTACACAAGCTTGTTTGGAAAAGCAGAATTCTGCTCAGGATTAGAAACGCCCTCAGGCAATATTTCATGCAAATTCCCATTTTCACACACCCGCCACCCCTTTCGTCTTGTGATGATAAAAGCAAATGATTGCAAAACAGCATTTGGCCCCAGGGTAAATATCGCAAAGTTTCTCCCTCCCCCTCGATTGGGAAATTAAAATAAAATACCTGAAAGTAAATTCCCATCGGGCTGTGGCAATATAGACAAAGTAACTAAGCAATCAAGGAAGGGGTAAAAGGACCATTTGACTGCGTGGCATGCATCGCATTCTGTTATTATTGAATTTGCATAAATCATTGAAGCGGATTCTTTTCAGCATCGCTGAATGGGGATTTCTGCCCTGACATAAACTGGAATTTAAGGCTTGGAGTATAAAACCTGCCTTGTGGCATGGGGGACTGAAACTATAAATTTCAGATCGGAATTTCAAATCCTAATAGTCGAATAGTCCCTCAGTTAGTTATTGATACAAACAAAAGCACAAACAATATCTTTTTGTTACCTTTAACTTTTCAATCTTTTTATTTATATAGGTAGCTCGGCTATAATTTATTATTCCATTTATCTGGATGACCTTGTTTTGAAAGAAAATTCATTAGTCAAATGTATTTCTTTGTCCAGTGCTCTGCAAATTAAACTTTTTCGCTATGCGAAAATATCAATTATCCGATTCTCCTTTCGTTGCGCATTGCTGCAACTGGCAGTACTATCCTTCTAATGGAGATTTCTTTCAGCAAATTGAGCTTTAAGCCATGTTTAGCATTTATTCTCAGCCAACCCCTTGCTACGAAGCTGTGAAGTATGCAGCACTTAGTAAGTCAAACACCACACTGCGTATACATAATTCTGCCGAGGGCAGGCCCAAACTTTCGGTCACACCTCCGTCTGGCATATGAACTCGTGTGTGCATATGCTATAGCCTCTAGCCGAGCGATAATGTAAATACTCATTAATCAATTGGTAAGCCAACACCCGAACAAATATGAACACGTTTCTGTAAGAAGGGGTTTGGCTAGCCAAATATTCCCAACTTTCCCCGCCCAAAAGTTTTTGGCTTAAGCAGATTAGAGGTTGCTTTTCGAGCAAGTTGCGAAGCAAGTTTTCCTTAGTTTTATAATTCCTTCGGGGATATGTGACAAGATGGAAACTTCTTGAACTCAATTGACTAGGCCAGCGCTTTGTTATTTAAGAAAACCAAAAGAGACAGCAGTTTCAGTTCTGCTATTTTAAGTTCAAAATCTATGCTAGCCAGCTTTAAAGGAGTCAAGCTGCAAAAAATACTTGAACAAGACCCCAGCAGTGTTAAATAGGTCGAAATTAATGAAATCCATTAAAGCACAGATTTAATTACAGTTCAAATAACTGCAGACGTCGGTCGTTCGACACATGTTGATTCGAGGAATTTAACACGCGTGCCATAAATGCCACAACAATTTCTCTGTGGGGTGGCAGGAATATTTACACAAGTCTTAGGGCAGCAAAACTTACATGCTTTTTATTACATTTATCTGCCACGTCTAGACAATAAAACGAGGGTCAAAATAAAGGAGGAAAAGCCACAAGTTCTGCTCTACTTTAATTGAGTCTAAATTTAAATGGAAATTATGTCCGCATTAAAAATTCATAAATAATACAAATTTAGCATGTTTAAAGCCCTTCGAATTAGCTGATGACAAATGGGCATTTAAGTTTCATGCAAATGGAGGAGATCTAAAACCGATTTATATCATTGAATTGAAAGCAAGGCTGTGGACTGATATTAAAATGGGGTTGGCAACTGATGGTTTCTGTGTGGATTCGCACGCCTTCCGAATATCGTGTACGAATATCTGTTTATTAAAGACTTTTCCCTAATCTTATCGAGCAGGGTAGGCAGACGGTAGAAAAGCGGTTTGATTGCACATTAAAAATAAACAAAGGTCTATAAATAGACAAAAATAAAAAGGCCCAATCGTAGACGGTTTGTCTTCCGACGGCGACTGCGGTTCATTTCCATTCGATCGTCGGTTCTGTTTGCCAAAGGTTATATATTCGCAATAAAAAAAAAGCCGATACACTGATTGATATTGAACATAAAATTTCTCAAGTAGCTTAGAATCAAGTGTGACAGCTAATAGAGTGCTCTAATCGATGTGTAAGGTTTATATTTGTACTTATTGGCATTGAGTAACTCTACTTATAAATAGAAATTGCGTTTAGCGATAGACTGTTTGGAAGGGTAAGTGACATAACAATACGCAATTACACTTATGACTTCCGAAAGTGATTGAACCAAAACACAATATGCGATTATGACTTCCTAAAATGATTCATGTACTTTACTGTTTACTGTATTAAAATCTTTTTTCGGTTTCATGCTAGAATAGTTCAGAAACACTTTAAATAAGTACCAATTGATTTTTAACTTTTTCGTGCAACTTTCTTGGGTAAATGTAATGTACAACAGCTTGTGAAGCCAGTGGAAAATAAAAAGAGTCTTTTCTTTTGTGCAGCTATTGATTTCAGGAAATAAAACCATTTTTTATTGGCACAGCTTGCAAACTTCTTGAAGTTATTATTATACCATCAACCAAAAAAAAAACTGGCAAACTTTGTGACATTATTTCTGGTACTGAAGTTCACTTTTATTTGTTGTTCCTTTTACAAAATAGTATTTTTCTTGGCTCGCACAAACGTTTTCTTTAAAAAGTGAAAAGTGAAATACAAATGCTTGTTTGAATTATTCCTTTGTTCCCTATTTCTGCATTTCAACACAACCCGAAATACAATGCATACATTTTGCAACTTGCAGTGCGGAATTTTCTTGGTCAACAACTTTGTTTTGCGGTTTACAAAAACAGTGTGCATGCAAAACCCAAAATCACATCGGTTTAGACTTGTTTGCCTTACACGTTGAGTGGCTGATAAAGCGCAAAAGCAGAGGAGCATGAATACTCGTATATAGAATGGTAAAAGCACGGCAACGCGACCGCTGTCCATGTGTGTCTGAGTAGTGGGCTTAGCACGCTCGAAGCGAAGGGCTTATGGCCAAAAGCAGGCTCCGGGCCAAAAGCAAAACGGGCCAAAGCACCGTGAGTGGCAAAATCGAGCGGCGAGCCTTTCGCCAGCGGACATGATTGATTCGAACGCTCGGCAGTTAACCAACTGAATTTTCGGGCGGGGCGATCTTAATCAGTCAACGCTCAGCGTTCACTGCTGACTAGCTAAAAATAAACTGACGTTCGGTGGAGAACTTGGCCTGAACTGAAACCCAAACTGAAACTGATAAGAACGCCCCTGATGTCCATGCCAATTTGTTAATAAATTTATTTTGATTCAGCCTGCGGTTCTTGGCTGAAAATATTTACCTGGCTTCTATTTCTGGCCCCCAGCTATCAATGCAAATAATGTGCTTCAGTATGATTGATGTTGG